TATATACTCCTATAATTTAAAAAACTAATTAATAAATAATATTTATTTTAATACTTATATTATATTATTAAGGAATAAAGATTATAATAAAAGATATTATAATAGCTTATACTTAATTAATTATATTAATAAAATAAATAATTTTAATATACTTATTAATTAAATTTAAAGAAAAATATCTTAAGGGGACGTTATTATAAGTTATAAAACTATTATATAATTTTATTAAATTAAGAATTTATTAATTTAAAATTTATTTGTAACATTATTAATAGTAGTTATATATAAAATTATTAACGTTTAACTTATACTTATTAATAATATAATTAAATCTTTTTAGGTTTATTAGTTTTTAAATAAATAATATTTTTAACATTAGTATAGATAAGTTCCTTGCCGTTAAAGATAAGACACTTATAAAAGCAGGTATTAAAATATAATTTTAAAAGATTTTAGATAAAGGAATAAAAGATTTTAACGATTTAAGAATTATAATTTACGAAGAAGGCTATAATATATCTATTATATAAAAAGGATAAATTAAGAAGTTTAACCTTTTAAACCTTAAAACCTTAGATATAATTAAAAGGTTTATTAAATAAAAGGTTTAAAAAGTATATATTTTATTAATTTATTAATTTAAAGCTGCCTTTAATTACTTAATAACAGCTTAACACTTATAGCTAAGGCTTAAAAAAATAAAAACATTAAATATTAAAATTAAATAATAATTAAATAATAAAGATTAAAAGTTTAATTATGTTAATTTTAAGTTTTAAAACTTACGCTTATATATTTTCATTAATAAATTATTCGTAAATAATTAAAACCTTAGCTTATAAATTAGTTATATTATTATTTTAAGAATTGAATAAATTATTAACTAAAATAATAAAATGCGAATTATCAAAAATATTATTTATTAATTATTTATTAAATGTAAATAAATTATACGTAATATATTAGTTAATGAAATTTATAAAATAATTTAAGGTTTTAATATTAATTACGTTATTTATTACATTTTTAACATTATCTTAAAACGGTTATCACTTTTTAAGATTTCTTTCATATTTTATATTAACTTTTTTTCGTTATATTAATGTTTGATTTAAATAAAAAGCATAAATAAGAAGTAATTAATGATTAATTTAATAGCTTTTTAATAATTTTATGAGAATTAGGAAATAAATAATATCCGTTAAATTTAAGAGCAACACTAAATCCGCAGTAGGAGTACTTAGCTTTTTGTCCGCAGTATGGCGCTAGTAGCGCAGCTCCGGCGGCTCCAGTACACACCAAGCTGTCAATCAATTGCGACCAGTCCAAACCATCTTCAAATCCTTGATTGAAAGTATCAATTTGAAGGTCTCAATCTAAGGAGCAGATTGACCCCGGTTGCACGATTGCACCTGCTCTATTGCAAGAGTTATCAATGGTTGAAGTTGCAACCAGTACCGTGCATGGGCCACCTCCCTTACCACCTTGATTCAGGACACCATACAGTAGGGCCCGATGAGATCAATCAAAGATCAATCAATATCTCGATCAATTGAATTTTCTGAGATCTAAAACATATATCAATCAATCCGTCTCGTCGAGGCGAAAAAGATGACCGTCTCTGGAGATTTTTGAAAAATTGTTTGGATGGGCTAGAGTGGGTTTGATGTGGCGTTGAATTAGGCGTGGCGGAGGTACTTGTGCGCGCACCTAAATTTGTATGGGAGACCAGGTAGTACTGCGGACGAAATGCATGTACTCCTACTGCGGATTTAGTGTTGCTCAAATTTAAAGTAATTATAACCCAACCAATGTTATAACTAAGGCATTTTCAAATAAGGTTATAAGGATGTTAGTGGAAGCTAATTAAATTAATTTATAATTAAAGGGATGGGTTAAGCGTGAGGTAAACGTAACGTTCGTAATTAATTAATTATAAAAAGAAAATAAAGTAAGTGGTGGTTATATAATAAAAGTATATATTAACGCGGTATGTATATAGCTAAAAAAGATACCCATATAATTTAAATTATATAAGAAGTTAAATCTTTTTCTTATTTTTAAATTTAAACCTTTTTTTTTAAATATTAATATTATATTAATTTTACCCCTATTATTTTTACTTTACTTATTATTTAATTTATTATACGTATATATTTACCAATAATTTTTAATAATATAAGCTTTAATAATTTTAAAGCGGCTATATTATTAAAAATAAAATTTTTATTTTTTAATATCGATAATAATTAATATAAATTTATTAAAATTAATAACCTTACTTTTCTTTAATTATCCGCCTTTTTTATAAAAAAGTTTTTTTAAGAATATTTTTATAAGGAATTTTAATATATATAAAACGTATTAAAGATTTAAATTAATAAGTTTTTCGTTTTAATTTATAAGGATAAAATAAGTTATTTTTATTTTTCGTACGATTATTAATTTAATATTAATTATAACCTTATAGCTTTTATTTTTTATAATAACAATAATATTAAGTAATAAGTTTTATAAGTTATTTATAATATATATATTTACGTTAATATTAAATAATAATTTAAAAATTATATATTTATAAGAAAAATAATTCTCATTATTATTAATTATTTAATAATAAGTATATCTTTTTTTATTATTAAATACGGCGGTTATATAAAAGGCTTAAAAAAACTTTATATTTAAGGGGATATAATCCGGGTTTTATAAGCGTATTTTATTATTATAATATTATATAAGCTAAGTAAGATTAATATTTATAACTTTTATTATATAAATGCCATTATTATTAAGGCGTTATTTATATTTTTTATAATTAATAAGTGGCTTAATTTAATAAAAATTATTATTATTTAAAACATTTTTATTATTATTTTTAAATATATTAATGTTTAAGTTATTATTATTTATTTTAATATAATAGTTTTTTTATATGTAATTATATTTATTATATTTATAATAAAATAAGTTTTTACTTTCCTTATAATTAAGAAGGTGTTTAAACTTTTAAGGTTTTTTTTTTTAATTGCCACTTTTAACGTTATTTATAAACTTAGTTATTTTAAACTTTTTCTTATTTATTTTATTTTTAAATTTATTAATAAAGTTATTAATAATTTATTAAATAATAAAGTCTTTTATACGTAGTATTTTCGTTATTATTTTAATTTAATTTTTTGCTTTTTTTTCGACATTAATTAAAAATATAATAACTTATTAATTATTATTGTTTTTTATATCGGTTTTACGGCATTTTCGTACGGTTAATTATTATTTAAATGTATATTTAACGGGGTTTTTATTATCGTATTTTCTTTTTAATAAGGCGTTTTAAAGGTTTTTTTAATAAGCTTTTTCGGTGAATATATATGTTTTTTAAAATATCTTAAATATTTTAATGTCCTTTTTTATTTTTAAGATTAAATTAAGTAAAATATATTTATAAGTTTAAGTGATTACTTTTATAAATTAAAGTTTATTTTTTTAATAAACTTAATACTTTTTTTATATTTAATCTTTTTAAAAGCTAATATTAAGGTTTTTTAATAAATTTAATAGTTTAATATATTTTTTAAGTGGTTTTTTTTATTTAATTTAAAATTAAAGTGTTTTCATTTAAAGTTATAATCTTTTTATTTAAAGGATTTTTTTTTTTTTAATTTCGATTTTTTTTTTTTAAGAAAAGTTATTTAAGCTTTTATTTAATAATAATAATAATAAGCTTAATAAGTTAAAGTTAAAATTAAATGAATCGTTATTTAATTTATAATTATCCGTAATAATTATATCGTTAAAAGTGGTTTTTTTTTTAGTTTTAATTACTTTAACCTTTAAGGCTTTTTTAAGCATTTTAAGTTTTTAATAAGTTTTTTAATCGTTTTTAGATTTTAAGTTTTTAAATAACTTAAGTAAATTATCTTTAAATTTTAGATTTTTATTATTAAATAATTTTCGTTTAAGTTTGTTATTTTTACCATAAGAATTACGACGGTTATTATTAAGGAATTTATTGTTATTAATAAGTTTTTTATTATAAAAGGAATCGTTTTTTTTTTTAAGTTAACCCGGGGGGTTTTTATTTAATAAAACGGGTTATTATTAAAAAATAACTATTTAAAAGTTAATTATTTTTATTAATTTTTTAATTTAACTATTATTAACTTTTCGTTATTTTTTAATGTTAATAAAATTACGAGTTATAATAAATTTTAATGTTTTCATTTTTTTATTATAATTTACTTAAGTTTTATCGAGTTTTTTTTTTAACTTTTCCATTTTAATAACTTTGTTAAATAATTTAATAATGCGATTAATAATAAGGTAATTACGTATTTAATTCTTTATAAACCGATATAATTAACTTTTTAAATTATTAATTTAATTTTGCAAATTAACGATTATTATTTTTTATTTACTTTTAAAAGAAGTTATTTAAAAAGTGGTTATCGTAATTAATTAAAGTGTGAGATTAACGTCGAGGTGTTATTATATAATTAATTACGAATTATAAAAAAAGTTAAGTTAAATTATTACTTTATTTTATGGGCTTAATTATGGCCTTATATATTAGCTTAATTAATTAATTATATTATAGTGCTTTAAGCAGCTGTAATTAAGGTAACCTTAGGCTACCACTGCTTATAAGTATAAAAGAAATATAGTGGAGTGGGGTTGAAGTGAGCCAAGGTTTGCATAATGTGTTTTCAATCATGTTATCCTATTGGTTAGCCTTGCGAGCCCGCCTTTTAGCTCGTTGATCCACTTAAATTTTCAATCTTCAATTTTCTAACTTAAGTCCATAATTTCTCAACTGCTTTTAAATTCTTACTATTTTATACGACTTCGACGACATCAACCAGAGCCTTTCTGAGGTAGGCTCTAGTAAATCACACTACCCTTCCTAATCGACCTCAATGCCATCTCAGTAATCCTACCCTCCACGCCGAAACCCCATCCATAGGCGCCCACGCGACATACCACATACGACCGTTACATACACCATGGCCAGCATAATGCGCCTGTCGCAGCCGTGGGTGTACTCTCCCCTACGGTCAAGGGCACCATCTCCTATACTTTCCAGCTTCTACCGCAGTTTTAGCGTAACTGCGCCACAACCATATGCCGTCAAGAGTAAAAGTGCGAGGAGGTTGAAGACTCCCTCCAGGAAGAACGAAATCGTGCAAAGAGAAGCCAACATGACCTTATTAATACCTCGTTAGTCATTCTATTTTTGGCTTTTTTATACACACAATATATACATATTCCAACTTACAATCAACAATCTGACCGGACTTCTTCCCCTAGATACCCTCATAGCCCCTCCGTTATGGCGCTATCCGCGCCACCCTTCCAAGTTCTTCAAAATGATGTGGATTCACATCAAAGCCCGCTTCCAGAGCATATGGGCCATAATATCCATGAAGATGGTGTCCCAACCGAACATCCTCGTCAGCAGGCCACGCTTCAAGTTCCATAAGTCCTCCGTCGTCCCTACCGCCAAGGCCCTCCACGTCCGGATGTCTGAGGCCATGGCCGCCGGCGACAAGGAGACTTTACGGAGCATATGCACCCCCGAGCTCTTCGAGACCCTCGCCGCCACCATCGACAGCCGGCCGCACGGCGTGCGCGCTAGTTGGGAACTCGTCCGCTACACCTACCCCCTGCGCTACCCGCGCATAGCCGACTGGCGAGTCGGATACCAGCCCCTCTCCAACAACGACATGAAGATCGTCAAGCAGGTCGTCGTCAGCATCGCCAGCGTCCAGCGCATAGCCCGCTACGACGACACCGCCAACGGCGCCATGATCCCCGGCAGCGAGCGCACCCGCCAGATGATCGAGCACATCGTCATGCAGGCCACCGTCGAAAAGGACACCTACATCAACGGCCCCTGGAAGATCTGGGGCACCCTCCCCGAGTCCACCTACGAGGAGTACTTGGCTGAGCTCGAGAATATAGAGGCGCTCATGGCGGACCAGGCCAAGTCACATAGTTAGGTGCCTATACGTTCAAGAGTAGTAAAAGCAAAAAAAAGTTAAAATGCAAAAAAGAAAGGAGTATGTAGGTAGGTAATCTACTTGCCTGATTACATGAAAAGGAAGAAAACCACCAAAACTGCACATATGTACCTATGTCTGTATTATGAATAAACAAAAGCTGGGGGGTAATGCTACTTTTGATGTCTACTCATACAGGCTGCTTCTAGGCCTCTCTTATTACTGTACGTGAATAGGTACTAGGTATCCTGGTAGGTATGCCATAAACATTGCACAGTGAACAACTCGGATAGACAGGGTAGGTTTGTTTCCTACGTGTATAGGTACATATTTAACCCCATAGCAAAGGGAAAGAACCTGCCTTCGCACCCTTCCTAGGGGTATGCGGCGTGTAGAGGTACTCCAGTAAGAACTATGTACATACCTACACGAATCCCCATTATCCCATAGACAGGACAGTGACAAGCCTGTTCCAGTATACCTACTACCCTAGGTTAGGTACATATCAGCCCTTAAAAGCCATCCACGACGATGACATCTGTAGGTATGCTCCAACTGTTCCCCCAGTCTCCTCCGCGTGAAAAACCGTGTCCGGCGCAGATTATGTTAAAGGGCGTTCCTAGGTACCTAAGTACACTCGGCCACACTGTTGGGTTCCGTCCTGTTAGTGAATGTCAGAGTGTTAGACCTTAGTTATAGGTAGTAGGTCTGGGGTTTTCGAGTCTTGGTATATAGTTAGGTATATAGGTATACCATACGGTGTGTAGGTATTTGAAGCCTACCTACCTACCTATATTATCAGCGAGGGAAAACGCTGATACCTGGGGTAAATGGGGCAGGCACCTATGTAGGTAGTAGGTAAACATCTAGTCTGAGGCCTCTGCACGCATATCTAGGTAGGTAGGTATGCACCCGGGCATCTAGTAACTTGGTTATAGGTAGGTAGGTGAGGATAGAAAGATCGTAGGTTTGTCGCGAGGTACGTAACAGCACGTGTCAAGGCTGGGTAAATTCCTGGGCAGGCAGGCATTTATGGATTAGAAAGCACCACATGGACGGACGTTGAGAGTAGAATACTTGCGTGCATGCTTTAGACTTGGTAAGTGGCAAGTAAACGACAACATCATGATTTTACTTAATTACTAGGTAGTAGGTAGGTAGGTAGGTAGCTAGCTAAGCAGGCACGAAGGCGGTTCTCCTATACTGCCCAAGTCAAATAACATTGTGATTACAAGAGTCCATAGTAGTTAAGACATCCATGTGTAGGTATCCAGTTGTGTACCCAACATATCGCTGTACATAGGTAGGTAGGTATTTAGTGATAGTCTTCAACAAGTCTTATAACATACAACCCCTATCATCTCCTACCTATCTCCCTACCTGCCTGCCTGCCTGCCTGCCTGCCTGCCTGCCTGCCTGCCTGCCTGCCTGCCTGCCTGCCTGCCTGCCTACCTGTCTAGGCATCTATTTATTCCAAACCTCTCTTACATCTCCTCTCCTCTATCATCCCAACCCCTCCCGCCCCTTCACGCGAAGCCACACCAACCCAACCCAACCCAAGCCTAGGCCCTTCCTCCCCTAAAAGAACTTCCCCGTAACCTTCGACGTAAGCCCCACCCCACAATCCCCCTCCACCTCCGCATCCGTCTCCTCCAGCGGCGCCGGGGGCCTCGGATAATCCAGCGCCTCAAACCTCGTCCCCCTAGCCCTCGCAACCACAAACTGCACGCTCAACCTAACCCCCAGCGCCACAAACCCACACACCAACCCCCCCACCGGCGCCGCCACAAACGCGCCAAACGCGCCCCAATCACCCGTATACAGCCCCTGCTCCAGCAGTATCAGCTCCGCGCCCAGCCTCGCGTCGCCGTAATACACGGTTCCGAAGACAAAGACGGAGAGGATGCCGCCGAGGCCGCCGACGAGCACCTCGCAGCCGCGCCACCAGTAGCAGCGGTGGGAGAGGCCGAGCATGAGGACGGGGATGGTGGCGGCGGAGAGGAGGTCGGAGATGAGGTAGATCTGGAGGATGGAGGGGGCCTTGAGGGCGAGGACGACGACGGGGACGATGACGAGGACGACGGCGCCGCGGATCCACCAGATGTTGAGGCGGTTGCGGAAGAGGTCGTTGGAGGCTGAGGACACCATGGCGGATTGTAGGCTGTCGAAGGCGGCGGTGCTTAGGGACACGGACATGACGATGACGATGCCCACGACCCAGTTGGGCAGCTGCTCTAGGAGGAGGAAGAAAGCGACGGAGCCGTCGCCGCCGGGCTCAAAGGCGCCGGACCAGACGGCGATCAGGCCGGTGAAGCCGACTAGGGTCAGGATGATGAGAATGACGACCATGGCGACCGAGATGCCGATCCAGAGGTCCTTGTCCGTCTTGGACGCGAAGGCGCGGAGCCAGAAGTTGGCGAGGAAGAAGTCGTTCGTCAGAACGGCGACAGGTAGGATGTACACAAGCTGCCAGCCTACGAGACTCGGGTTCAGGAGTCCGGAATCAGCGATCAGCTCGGGCTTGATGTCGGTTTTGGCCCCAATCGTGATAGTGGCTATGATGATCAGACAGCAGATCATGGCGCCTTGGACGTTGTCGGTGATGAAGGAGATTTTGAAACCTCCGAGTGCTGGTGGGATGTTCTTAGCAACAAGACCTCTTATTATTCAAGTATTCGTACGGGCAGCTTACAAGTGTAGACAGTAGTCACGATGCATTCGACAATAACCACAGGAAGGCCATCCAAGCCGGTCAAGGCCTCGATGACTTGACCGATCGCTGAAAGCTCAGCAACCATGTACAAGAAGAGCGTCAGAAGGGTCAGGGCACCCAGGTAAAGGGCCGCCACTATCCCATACCGCTGCCTCGTCCACTCCGTGAGCACGAAGCCCTCGGGGCACTTCCTACGAATGATGGGCGCGAGAGCGGCAAAGACAAACAGTGGGGCGGCGGATGAGATGGCGTAGATGATGACGCCCTGGAGGCCAGCAAGGGTAGCTAGCTGAGGATAGGAGAATAAGATACCCGAGCCCATAGCTGAATTAGTTGGTAATGGCGGTTAGTACATCCGAAAATTAAGGGGATAAAAAGGGGGGGGGGAGAAAGGGGGGATCGGAGCGGCAGCACGTTTCCCACGCAAGCATTAACTTGATCGAGTAATTACGGTACAGTCTCAGCTTCATCTCTACAGCATATCTAGCGATCTCTTCACAAGCCTCCCCGTATAGGAGAAGTGCGAAGTTGGATCCAGAGAGCTTATATCGAATCGGCGCCCGTAGTGAGCCGCAATCTACCTCCCCTCAGTCCCAGAATCCTCCAGAAGAGGAGTCAGTTCCCAGAAGGGAGGTAGATCTATCGTACATGGGTACAAACCTACTTGTCAGTTATACTACTCGCAACATGATCTCGGGATTGCCATGCCGAGCCAAGACCAGATTGGCTCTGTTCGTCGTGCGTGCTGTCATGTGAGAGAATCCTGGCTGTGGATTGGCACGAAAATTGCTACCGCTCTTGATCCGAAGGGGGATAAATCGCCTATGCGCCATAGCATCTTGCCTACTCACCGGCAGCGATAAAGTTGAGAGCCAAGGGGAAGGCTATAAGGGTGTTAGTAAGCGTACCACCAAGCAGGTGCAAGACTTTTATGAAGAAGAGGAGAGGAGCAATTAGAAAGCGGCGAGAGTGATATCGACGCGTTCAAGTCCTATTTTGGATTTCTAACCAGTCTGAGTTCTGTTTCCTGAGAGGAAGTCGGCCTTGCTCTGGTTTCTCATCTTCCAGGCCAAGCCTGTTCCCAAGACTCTGGATATTTCATGATTAGATGATCAGCAGAGAAGAAGAACCTGATACGATATCACAACGTACAAAAATGCGCCATAGGTAAGGTAAATGATGGCGTTCGAAGCCTCAAACGAGGGTTGCCCCATCTTGAAGGGTTGTTTCCTCGGCGAGGGTGTTTAATGGGGTGGATCCAAAATAGTTGAGACCTCTCAACGACTCATACAAAATCTAAAGATATATCGCTGAATAAGAGTCGCAATGACGAGCCACAGCAAAACAAGTCAGTCACAAAATACGAGGAGAAAAAAGAAAAAAGAAAAAAGAATCAAGAATAACTCGAATTCCTTGCAAATACTAATTTAAAAATTAAAGCGTCCGGGTTGAAAGAAACCAGTTCAGTTCAGCTAACGATACTAATCGCGCTTTAGCTTCCTGATCAAGTTACTACCATCTTGATGTGGAGGTCACGTTGGTAGTCACGTTGGTAGTACTACATTTACCAATATCGTATCGTCTTACGTAATTGACTTCAAAACTTGTCATATAAATCAGTTACTCGACCTAGAATATCCATATATTACACATAGCAGGAGAGGAAGGGCCACACGAATATAGTTGCGTACCATGGTCAGTTTGAGGGAGATTATAGGAACAATAAAGTCGGGATAATAAAGTAAAGAGGATAGCAAGAAATAACCACCCAACAGCTGTACATCAGCTCCAATCATCACCTCTACACGACACAACATTACACGACGACACGATACACAAAACATCAAATCACCGTGGTCGAAACAGCATCACCCCATATACACATACAATACACATACACGTATGCACGTACAGTATATACACCCACAAGCCAACTCTCAGATTCAACCATGAAACGTATGAAAAAAAAAATACACATCTACGACTCCGCGCGTAGGCGAGAAAACAATAGTACAAACCTCATAATAGCCCCTTAATAATAATAATAAAAATCATTCTCGTATGAGACGCACCAGAAGTATTCCTTTCCATTCCCCGAAAAAACCCCCTTCGTCCCTTTTTTTCATCATAAAAACATTTAATCTCTTGATCGAGAAACTTTTCTTGAAAAAAGCGTGCGGCTAAATGGTGCCGTTATTTTACATGTAAATCCCCTCCTATCTAAATAAGGGGGCATTTCTCCTTTTTCTCTTTATTTTTTTTTAAAAAAAAGGAGAGAGATAGAATGATAGTGAATTTTGAGTGAGAGAATAGAACAAAAAAGTTGATTGTTGGGGTATAAAAAGACATTACACAGAAATGTAACCAGCATCAAGAACATCTGACGTATAGGTCATCGAGGAAGAAGTAGGGTAGTAATTAGGTAAGTAATAGACAACATCCGTTGGCATTTATCGCATAGTGGCTGTAAGGTTACGCAAAGCTGCTGGCCCTTGAAAGCCGGTAGTCGGTGCTCCCACAGCCTGCATCTCCATCTCCTGTCCGTCTCCAGTAGAATTGTTTTTCTGTTGATTCCGATGCACTCCGAATCGCTGGTCCCCCTCTTCAAAGCGGTACTTGAATCGATAGTACGTTGGCGGTCGTGGTCGGCACAGCACTACAATCCAGTTCTTCCACATGCTACCTTGCGTGAACGCCCGGTACCGATCCTTCTTCAAGAACTTGTGAGAGTTGAGGAACTCTCTTGTTGTTTCGCCCCTAGCCATGAGGAAAAGGTGATATCCCATCAAGGCGGCCGGATACATGAAGGCCAGAAGGCCGTAAATGACCATGGCGAATGGAACTCGAAAATGGCTTATAGCTTCGCCAAACGAGACACCCTCCTGGCTCGAGAATACCGAAACTTGAACCAACGACACAGCCACCAGGTATATCGAAAGGAACGTGGCTGAAGATAGAAAAGTAAAGAAATATCGATAGTTCCGTCTGCCAACGCAATTATTAATCCAAACGCAGTGATGATCCTGTGTCTCAACACAATTATCGCATAATCGACAATGATGAGCTCGAGGCGGGCGCCAAATATTGCACGTTTTGCAGTATTTCGTTGGCACTTCCATTGCCGCCGTACTCGACTCAGCCGATTTAATCAGGGTCCAATCATTAGTTGGAGGAGCCAGACGCAGAGGATCTTCTTGCTCATCCGCTGGGGGGAACTGATGGAGATTTCGTGGCAGAATCTAGACGAGGTTGTTAGTGGTTTGAGGCAAAAAGGATCATCATGACGCTATCTCTACTTACTCCTGGATCTGAGCCCGACGCATGAAGGAAGGAGGATACACAGATGTAAAACACGTATGCAAAGAAGATGGGGATGGCAGGCGATACGTGATGCCAAAGATAAGACGCAGAGAATGCGAAGAAGAGGATGCCAGGTAATATGACAAGGAAACCAGTCGCAATATTGATAGGCCTGTGACGGGTATTTTGCAAACGGCCTCCAATACAAAATACAGTATTCCCTTCGAAATACTCGTGGTTATGTCCATGGCCTACCACCTTCTCCTTGACTGCTTTGGTTTTGGGTGCGGGAGTAGTTGGGGCTGAGGTTGTGAACCGAGGAGTCGACGCGCCAGAAGACAGCTTCTCCGCGCCATGTGTGTTACGATTAGCGGCCGAGCCCGTGGATTCTCCTTTGCTCGGTAAGAAAAGACTTGACCTGAAAGAGCGTGTCGACGGCATGGGGCTTGGCATATTCCCAACTCCAATGTAGTTTTTGGACTTGTTCATATCCAGGCTGAGCCCCTTCTCCTCGGCCTTACGTTGCAAGGGGCGCACACTTTCACTAAGACTTCCCGTCGGATGGTGGCCGCGGGTCGGACTGGTAGTGGCGGTGATACGATCATAAGGTTCTGTTCCTTCAGTACCCCTAGAAGGAGGCGATTGCATATCGCCGTCGTCGTTTATGTGGCGGACCACAAGAGGTCTCGAAACAGTAGCCCCCTGCGGTGCTATTTGAGACAAATCCTCGTCCGGTACGTCGTCCATGCTGGGCCGATGCTGGAAACTGCTAACGCCGCTGAGATGATTCGCGGCCCGCTGGGCCTGTAGCTTCTGAGAGCTCATGGGTCGAAAAAAGGCATGGGAAGCTAAGGGGACATGGCTTCGGCTAGTCGAGCTAGTTGGGCGACCATTGTTAATGCTGCCGCTAACACTTTTCTGAAAAGTCTTCCTCATCGGTGTTGTTTGTGACCATGCACCACGGGAAGATGATATGCCAGTCCTTGCAGTACCGGGACGCGAGTCGTTGCGGTAGCTTCTTCTCTGGCTGGGGTTTGTTCTGGCCTGATCTTGGGTACCAGCATCGCCATCCTCGGAAGCAATGTCTGTCATGCGCGACGAGATAATACTCGGAGGGCCGGCGGGGAACTTCGGACTCGGGAAGCTGCCCATGCCATCTTCGGGGGATATTGGCGTCTCCGGATCGTTGGAAGACATGATGAAGGCTGTAATTATTGGTCGAACAGTATTAGGCGGTATCTAAATCCGTCGTGACCGTTCCTTACAACATGGCATCCACATACACGGTAGTTTGAGCGTTATCTCCCTAAAGGGAGAGTTGCTGTGATTGTTTTTTTTTAGGTTAGTTACGACTTATGGCAGACTCTTGATGAGTGACAGGGATCTAATGCAATCTCAATTGCGAATAGTATCGTATCATAGGTCGATTATGAATACCAGTTTCTTGGGTATTGGTAAAGAGTGTGGGGTAGAGATCGAGGGGTTGAAAGAGAGGGTTGGGCGATGAGATTGAGATGATGGGTGAGGCGGTGGATGGTTCGTTTTGTCGGATGAAAAGTTGGAATAGAAATCAAGAGAGCGTTCTCCGTAGAGTAGTATCGTATGGGTTTGTTGGCAAGTCGATCACGTCTGCGCAGCAGGTTCTGGCGTAGCGGTGAGATCAATGTGTAGGAAATATTAATTATTGCGGTGAAGATGTAAAAATTATTAAAAGAAAAGAAAAAGGTAATTAAGGAATGACAATCGAGTCAAGTCGAAGGGATATTACAGGTGGTTCTCTGCAGAAATTGAGAGTTCGCGACAACTGCAAGATGAGATGATGCAGCAGACTGCAGTCAGTCGTGGGTTGGAACGGGGACAGGACTAACTAAAAAATTCCAAGGTTTGGGATAGGTTGCTTTTTGGGTTGCCTGGGTTGGATTGAGTGGATAAGTTGGGATAGCAAATCTTAAGGGGGCTTGGGTCTTGGGTCTTGTCCTCTCTTGTCCTGCATAAATTTCCCTTCAGCCCTTTTCGGTCTTCCCTATGTATTTACGCGGTACCTTGTGCAAGCCTTGGCATTCTACGCGTGTGAACAAATACAACACATATGATGAATGTGACAGCCAGTCTGAGCCAGATAATACTAGGTAGTAGGTACTGAATACATGGGAGTACTTCAGGGAGAGCCTCTCGCTTAAATATCTTGGGTAACACCAGTGACCAGCCGTACCTGCTTTCGCCCTTCAACAGGGAATTTTTGATTATTCGATTTTGTTCATTATGTAGCAATGCTCAGATAGTAGTCGAGTAGGTAGTAGTTAAGCAAGCTGGCTATATGTAGGTATAACTATGATAGTTATTCGTATTCATCATTGAAATGTGTCTCTTTCCTTCAGGGCCCAGGATGCTATCCGGAATGTACAATTCACAACACCAGTAAAACATGATATTGTCTGGAACAATTGAATCAAGGAAATCATTAACCTTAAAACAATTTCAGGCCCAAAAACGTAAGATGATAATAAGATGCAAGTGACTGATTTCTACGTCAAATCGGTTCCAAGTAGTATGACGCAAAAGCGCTCGGACCAACTTGTAACGAGGCATAACTAAAGATTTTAAACATCGAAGGTTTGCATGCGCACATGTAACTTGATGTAAGTAGGTAGCCCTTCGCTGATTGGCTCAATTGCGGTACAAAGCTAGGTACTTACTACTCATACAAGTTCCAGTTAGATCGCCAACAGGCCCAACCAATCCCATTTGTCCACTTTCCACATCGTACCACCTTCGAAGTCCTTTCTTCCTAAGCAGCCGAAAGAAAAACCTGACTTTGATAAGCCGAAACCAAACCACAACCACCCTGTTACAATTACAAACAACTCAAACCTTTCAGCCATGGCTTCCATCATCGCCCGCCGAGCCTTCGCGCAAAGAGCCCTCTCCCAAAGGGCTTTCTCAACCTCTGCCCGCCGCCTATCCACCAACCCGGCCCTCAAGGAGGAGACGAAGCGCAACCCCGAGTTAATGGTCCGTCACCCACCCCTCCCTTCCCACTCCCGAAATCCGGGGTCGCCCGTCCGCCCGCCCGCGCTTCATCGAAGAAGGAAGAAGAAAAAAAAGCATGTGCTAACCTGTCTCTGCCTTTATAGATTCTCGGAGGTGTCATGGTTCTAGCTTTGGGTGGTGCCGGTCTTTACTTTGGTATTCTTCCTTCCCTTCCCCACTTTCTCTTCCTCCGCAATCCTTGATATCGAACTACAATTTCTAACCTCAATGCTTTTCCCATTAACAGGCCGCTCCCCTACCGGTTCGACCTCCGAAGAAAACGTCGGCATGGCCAACTCGGGCATGCCGTGGGAGACCGGCGCGGGTGATGGCAAGTACCAGTACCACCCCGGTGGCGATCCGCACGCCGAGCCCAAGGATGCTCCCAGCGCCGTCAACGTTGTCATCGTTCCCAACGTGAACTTGCCCAAGGTACGCCCCCCATGAGCGCGCGCACACACACACACACACACACATATATGCCCTCTCATCACCTATCATAAGCCATACCTAGAAGCGATGCTTGCAAAGCACACATGCCTGCCTCCCTACCTCCCTACTCACCCATAGCATCACGCTACAATAAAAGCGAATCCAGCTAACGCCTCTTTTTCTGCGCAGGAACTCCACGACAAGTACAACAAATGGGGCAAGGACGGCTACTAGATCAAGTCCCTACCTACCTACCTACCTACCTCCCTATCTAGGTATCGACCTGACCTGACCTAACCCAATCGACGAACGAGACAACGTCTAGGACGATTTCTTATGTCACCATGTTGTTTGGTTAAACAATACAACGCAACAAACCACAATACACTGCACTGCACTGCACTGCAGACTGTAAGGACAAATGCAGCATTTTTTTTGCGCTGGATGTACATATAAATTAAACCCCTCCCCCCCTCCCCAAAACCTGGGCATCGGGCAAAATATAACTAGTACTACCAGAATTAACTGGAAAATTATGAATACGTATTCTAGTTACTGGCAATGGGGGTTTCATACAGCTCAGGCTACCCCGATGTAACACCGTAGTCTGATCATGTCGGTAGAGTATAGTCACTAGCATATCAATGATAGTTTTCAGAAAGGGGCAAGAAACGTGATAGAAATGCATCTGTATCACCGTCCCAAACGATAGCTTGGCGCATATGAAAGCAACCGGTAAGAAATCTCCAGGACGGAAAGTTCTTCTCGTCATATCCCCCCTATGTAGCCTAAGCAAAGCATTAGAAGGCCTCCTTTTTTTCTCCCCCTTTTTTTGTTCTTTTTTACTTCCCATCCAGTGATCCAAATAATCTAGGCGTGGACATCAAGACAGACCCGAAACTATATAGGCAGGTAGGTAGGTATATGGGGCAACCGGCGCAGCAGACGGTAGACGGAACCTACCGATCAGATCTATGCTGTCAGCATATCCACCTCCTCACTAGTGAGTCCGAATAGATATAACAGGTCGACTAAACTCTTGCCATTCAGTCGCGCACCAGCTTCCAACTGCACCCTCGGTTTGGCGTTCCAGGCCACACCCAAGCCTGCCGTGTCAAGCATCAGGAGGTCGTTGGCACCATCGCCTACCGCCACGACTTGTTCAAGAGCGATTCCTTCTTTCTTAGCAATTTCCAGAAGTAGTTCTTGTTTTCGCTCCTTGCCGACGATGCGACCCTTCACTTCACCTGTCAGACGCCCCGAGTCATCTATGACGACCTCGTTCGCATATGCATAGTCGATGCCTAGCTCACCAGCCAGCCAACTGGTCAGTGGCATAAAGCCCCCAGACAACACAGCCGTCTTAACACCCAACCTCTTGAAAGCCTTCAGGACCTCTGGAACCCCCTTCGTGATGTCCAACACCGGTCGCAACTGCTCAAAGATGGTGGCCGGAAGCCCCTTGAGCAGAGCAACTCTCTCCCGGAAGGCGGAATCAAATTCGAGCTCCCCCAGCATAGCTCGATGGGTAATATTTGCAACCTTGGCAGCCAGATCAGGCGGGTCCTTGATTGTCGCCGCGAGTAGGTCGATCACCTCTTGTGTGATTAAAGTGCTGTCCATGTCGAAGACGACCAGGCGCGGGTAGCGCCGCCAAATGGTATCGCGCTGCAGCGCAACGTCAACGTTCCATTCACGTTCAAATCGGTAGATCAACTCATGCTTCCGGAGATCGGCCAGCGAGAGATAGCTAGGCGAAGGCGCCGGAGATAAAGTCAACTCGACAACCAGCGGATGCTCCGGATCATCTAGGCAGCGATGGGACGAAGTGGTCTCCTCAACACCTCGCGGCAGGGGAAAGGTGGACATGAGATGAAGGAAGGATGTGAGACATAGTGGAGAGATGTATGAACCATACAGATGGTCCAAGGATTCGGGCTCGGACGGAGTGGGTGGCTCCAAAGGAAAGGAGTCGATATTGGTAGTCGGGGCGAGGTTGGCAGGAATGTCGGAGGAGGATGGAGCGATTCGTGGGGAGGGGTTAGCATTACGATTGCGAGGGGACGCAGACTTGTAGACCAGGGTAGCTACAAGCTTATCTGATTTGGTGCCTCGAGTGGGAGCGCAGTTGGGATGGGAGAAGTCGTGACTAGCGCCTTCAAGAATGCGCGGTGGTTCGTCTTTGGATGGTACGCCATTAAAAGGGCTGAAAGACTTGGGAGGGGATATTCTAGAGCTTTGGAGGTCTTCGACAACAGTATCTATGCCGAAGTGGCTGTCCAGATGCTTAGGGGGACGATACTGCTGATGCTCTTTTAGATAGGAACTAGTTCTCATGGATGACAACTGAGGTCGACCTGAGTTCTGATGTGCGGGGCTTTCATCGGCGGCCATGATGGAATGGAACCAAGGATTTTCTTTCCTTTTCTTTCTTTTAATTCTCTTCTTCCTTCCCTCTTTTTGTTTTTCCTTTTTCCTATATATATATATATATATATATATAAATATGATATATATAGGTACGGTACGAAACGGAGTGACTAATAAGATACAACTTGAATACTTATAGCGTATGGTCTGCACTTATAGAGAAGTAAAAGTTGGCTTTAGGATGTATGTAAGCTGTCAAAGATGAGGCTCGTACAAGGGAGGGTTTTTGGTATATCTTAGGTGAGCATGAGCGATACCGATAGGAATGATATGATTCCGTTCTCTTTTACTGGAGGAGCATTGAACATTGAAGAAATGAAGTTCAGTTCACAAATTGCGCGGGGTGCTTTTCCTTAGGGTGCTTTCCTTAGCTGTAAAATCGTCTTGGTGGAGCACATGCACCGGAGTTAAAACGTTAATAAAAATCCAGAAACCCCCAAGAAAACCCACCGTTCCTGGTGGTTGGGTCTCTACTCGACTTGTCATTGGCCAGGTAAATAGCCTGCAATGTTTTTCAACGCTTCTTTTTACTTATGTCCAGCGTGTACAACGGTACCAAAGTTTTAGGTGAAGCACTGGTGAGGTTGAACATTGAACTTAGCTGAGCCGAAGAGCTACCGACAGTATTAGGTAATCATTCAGTATAGAATGTGCAGGGATCAGATGTTATCAGTGAAATTTCAACATCATGATTGAAACTTTGAAAGCCCTCATCCTTCTCAGAGAGATGATATTCAATGTTCTTGACAAGAAGTGGAATTAAAGAGGAACTCGACAAAAATCAACCGACAAATATCAGGGCGCACTCCCTTTCTCTATTAATAGTCGAGTGAACCCCGGACACCCCAGGATTTCGCCACAGTCCCTAGACTCCCTACCCAGGTCCCTACCTACTATGTACATGTAGGGTAGGTATGTGATATCACTGATATGTACGTACAATTGTCAATACATATTACTATCAAGAGATTAGTACAAGAGATAGGAGGGCCTAGATGGCAGAGGCGATATTAAGCTTAGATTATACCTAGTAATGCCAGTTGATATGTACTAGGTACAATACTAGGTAAGCTTACAGGTAGTACATGGGTACAGAAGATAAATTGTATCATCAAGGATATGGATCTATCATCTATGAGATCTGGGTTTGTACGGTTGTCGGTCCCGACGTACCGTTGAAGCGGCTCTTTTATCCAATACAACATATTGCAACTTCATCCCGAGACCCGTAATTCTCTTAGTCGTCTTTCCAGTCAAAAATTTCAAATTTCAATGTCAACTTTCCGACAACCGTCACCAATTCGCAATGCGGTTGAGCAATCACGACATTATCAAACTTCGCCTCGCTTTTTTTTTAGAGCCGCCCAAATATGTATACCAAAAAGGGGGAGTTACATTGTCCCGTGTCGCGACTCGCGAAATCCTGCAGAAGCATATGTCGTGAAACTAAAAGTGCCTAACTGAATATGTAGGGAGGCAATCGATATTAACGACCAAGCGCTCCATCATCTTGCATTCCGTCATACTTGAGTAAACAGAAAGCAGTTACTTAAAAACAAAGAAACCGCAAGTCTAAATCGAGACCTGCTAAGATGCTCGTGACGAAGGTTCAGAGTCTGCTTTGTCAAGCATTTCCCGTGGTCAAATACGGGTTAACAACAGTAGATCGAAGTACGGCGTATAGTAGAAGAGGAGCACCAGCATTCGTCTGCAGCATCATGGAGATAATTCGATACGGCGGGAACTGAATGAATGAAGTACGGCTGGGCGGAATACCTAGTCTAAAGTCTAAACGTCGTCGGAAGTCGAGACCTATCCGATCGACAATTGCGTGCTTCGTACTTCAACTTGCAAATATTTACCGCAGGTACCTACTTGTGTAGGTAGCCAGGTGTGTTGAGTCACACCAGATTATAACCAAATCTGTTCAGTTATAATTAGGAGCGATTCGCACCTTGGCCATTTTCGATAACTATCGAGCTTATAAGTATCCATGTCCTTGTTCAAGTCAGTGGCATTATTGCAAGTGCACTTTCTTGCGAAGAGCTAAAGTAAGAACTTAGAAGACTACGAAGAAGAAAAATAAAAACTCGCACGGATAGGAACTGACCTAGTTTCTTTCTCGGTCGTGACGTCGTGACGTCGGAAGAAAGATGGGAACATTTGAACCTGGTAGCATCCCAAGCTCCAAGCAAAAAAAGGTACCAGGTTCCATCATTGCCACCGCATTGGGTCGGAAGTCTAAAGCGGATCAATGGCATGGCATTGGCATCAGAACTTAGAAGTATCGGGAACTCCCTTGCGGCTTTTGCCAATCAACACATCGGCTTTGTTGCTTGCGACTATGCTAGCGTCGATGTCGTGATCGGTGTCTAAAATTTCTAACAAGACTTTGACGCCTCCGGGCTTGGGCGTTAGGCATGTTCGCCTGTAAGATCTCAGCTAAGCGGATCGCGCAATACCCCCAGCTCCATATGCGACAACTTAACAACCTTCATTTCCCCGGTTTTTACTCCTACTACTGCCCGAGAACCGGATTAGTCATATAGATACTGGGGAAAATGCTAGAAGAGAGAGTAGCTACAGCACCGAGCTACGAGACGATGTGCTACATAGTACAGTGTCAACGCAAGGTAGATTTGTAAGTACCGCTCGGACGACAGGCTCCTTCTCGTAGTCCCCCCTTATAACTCAAACATTCACCTCTTGACGCCTTTCCTTATACTGAATCTTCTCGAAATATTCCTCCATCAAACACTCTTATTGTTCTACCACTGTTCACTTGTCGTCATATACAGGCCTGTTATAACAACCTCTCATCCTCTTTGCCCTCTCAATCTCCTCTAGTGTAATATCAGCTTCTGCCGGTATTCCGTCCCGACAGCCATCCCTCTTAAAACTTTTCCTTTTTCAACCCAAGTAATTTTCTGGGCAAATAGAAGACCAGAACCTAAGACACACACAAAGCAAGACGATGGAACAGGCGTCTTATAGAGAACCATCTACGAGCTCTTCCAGCTCATCTTCCCCACGTCTCATATCCAAGACAATGCCTCCCATGTCTGAACTAGAGTCTGGATATGCGTCAGCCACATCGTCGACAGCGGGTTCCTCAAGCGAGCTACCCCTGGTGACGCTCTGCCGGCCACACCTTAAGCATCTGAACCAACAACTGGAAAGGATGAACGCCATGGACAGGCTTCGTTTCGTCAAGGCCTGCTTCCCCAACCTTTACCAGTCTACCGCCTTTGGCCTCACTGGATTGGTCTCCACAGACATGCTGTCCAAGATAGCGAAGGAGGAGGAGCCACACTCGTCACCGGTCGACCTCATCTTCCTCGACACATTATACCACTTCAACGAGACCCTTGACCTCGTCGAGCGAGTCAAGGAGAAGTACCCCAACACCCAGGTCCACGTATACAAGCCCCACAACGCCAACACCGTCGCCGAGTTTGAGGAGCAGTACGGCGAGAAGCTTTACGAGACTGCCGCCGAACTATATGACTGGATCGCCAAGGTCGAGCCCCAACAACGCGCATACTCGGAACTCAACGTCGCAGCGGTCCTCACAGGACGGCGGCGATCTCAAGGTGGTGAGCGCGACAAGATCCCCATTCTCGAATTAGAAGAGGACACAGGGATCGTCAAGATCAACCCGCTGGTCGACTGGACCTTCTCGCAAGTGCAAACGTACATCCGCGAGAACGATGTGCCGTACAACGTGCTTCTCGACCAGGGGTACAAGTCCGTCGGCGACTGGCACTCGACGTCTCCCGTCGCTGCTGGCGAGGATGAGCGAGCCGGTCGCTGGAAGGGTCAGGCCAAGACCGAGTGCGGCATCCATAACAAGAAGTCCCGCTACGCCCAGTATCTCCAGGACCTCCAGCGCAAAGCCGAGGAAGAGGAGCTCGCCGCTGCCCTTGAAAAGATGTCGAGGGAACAACAACAGCAGCAACAGCAGGAAGTGACGGTCTCGTGAGGACATTAAACAGAGGGGGAAACGAAGAGGGAAAAGAAGCTGCCTACCTAGAATGCGGGGCTGGCTTTTTTTTTCTTTTCTTTTTTTTTTCCTATCGCACGATGCCCACGAATAGATGGGGAATCGCATTATAAGCTGGGACATACGGCTCGGCTATCATAACCAAACCTTCCTGCCTGCCTCTCCTCCACACGACGACGACTTTCATCATCATCATCTTGATTTTTATTTTTTTTACTAACCCCCCGGGTGCTGGGAAATCGGGCATTTGCAAACGGCGACGGCGTTCTGGCGTACTCACATACAATACATACCTACATCATACCTGGGTATCCTCACCTTGTCTTACCTTACCTACCGAGTACAACATACATACCTATCCACCTACACGTGTCGATAGTGTGCCTCTTCTGCTTGACTAGGTATCCTAGTATCTAGAGAAGAGAGAGAATAGTATATATATATATATAAAGAATAAAGTTAAAGAATTGTTAACTTGACTCGCTTTCGTTGATCTCTTGTGATGATGTGGCTTGACGGTGTCAATGTCAATGTCAATGCCGATGCTGATAGGTGAATGATGAATATTTGTATATTATGTACCTAACCTAGGTGAGGGGGGGAGGTGGCACCTTATGTAATTTTTAGATATCTAACCTACATAGTTATGTAAGTTATTCCAGACTCCGAGATCACGATCGATACCGCTTCCCTGACACCAATCAGAGAATGGGGTTGAATCGATGCGGGGCCCCCTGAGCTTACATACCTAACCTACAGTAGTAGTGTAGAACCATCTCACGATCGCATCTTGATGAATAACTACCTAACACACCAAACCAGATAACCATTCCGGCTAAAGAACAACCAATTTCATATTCATTCATACATGTATTCGTCCCTATGTACCTAGGTTAGGTAGGCTACTTTCAAAAGACCGATAGATAACTAAAACGGGTTCCCATATCATATCATATCATATCATGTACGTACGGAAGAAAAGGAACACCGATCACTTCAATTAGTTATAACAACAAGCCCAAGTGAGAGAAGATGATTAACACAGCTCTTACATAGGCATTATGTACCTCCTAACTAACACATCCATATCGTTGATATTATTATTTTTTGTCCTCGATTACTTGAAAAGCCCCCCCCAAGTAGACCATCCCGACATAATACCTAGTTAATAGATAGTCTACCGAAATATCTGTAACCAATATCTTTCTTTCTTTCTTTCTTTACCTAAGCCTAAGTGCCTAAACCTAGCATAAGTAAAAAAAAAAAAAAAAAAAAAAAAAGTAAAACGGTAAAAGGGTAAAACCTCCAGGGCTAGGTATCAATAACCCGGGGAAAATAACAAAATTCCATCCATCCATCCCATTCCATCGACACCAAGTCCTTTAGATACTTCAAGAAGAATGGTTCTCGTACCAACTCATTTTGTGTAATTGTATTCCTGATTCCTTCCATGGCCTCCTAAATATCGTCTTCCCCAAGGATTGCTTTCTGTTTTGTTTGAAGTTGTGAATATGAATGGATGGGTTCCTGGTAATAGTTCTAACTGAACTTGGAATCCCTTATGGTTGATGATATCATGATTACTTTACTCTACGCTAGGAATGTTGTTGGCTTCTGCACCCGGAAGACTCTGTCCATCTTTTGGGCTGCCTTGTTGGTTCAGGGCGGCCTCTAGACCGCTAAATAAGTCAGGGCTCTCGGGCTCGGGCTCAGTATCTTCTACTCCCCCTATTACTGCGGCCAAATCCACTACAGTATCGAGCTTTTCCGGAGCGGGAATAGGGTCCAGAGCTGGAGCCGAATCCGAAGCCGGGGCCGGGGCCGGGGCCGGGGCCGGGGCCGTATCAGCATCAACAGTAACAGCTACATCAGCCTCGACAGCTACCACGGGCACTTCAGGACCTTGTGGCTCCTGTGGCTCTTGATCCGTAGACATGCTCACAACCGTGCTATGAACAGCCTCTTCAATTGGCTGGTCAGTGACAACAGCTTCCAGCACCATCGTACGCGGCGGCGACTGGACTGCCGTAAGAACATCTTCGGTTGGGATAGGATCTAGGGCCGGTAGCGAAACTAACTCCGTGACATTAGATTGCTGTATCTCTTGGCCTGCCGTTGCTTCCTCGTGTACTTGGTGAGAGGCATCCAGCATCTCGATGTCCTCATTAAGCATTGTCGTGGTAGGAGCCGAGGGAATAGGGATAGTAATAATAGGACTAGCAGGGGCGGGAGCAACAGCGGTAGGAGCAGCAGGAGCAGCAGGAGCAGTAGTGATAGGGCCATTGACAGGAGATGGCAATTTAACAAGTTCAGTCGATGCTGGGATTGGCTCCAGGGGCGCTTCTGGTAGCTTGGTTTCGGTTGTAGTAATAGAATCTAAAGAGTTTCCGTCGTTAAGAACGTCGTCAAGTATAGGATTTGGCAATGGCAATGGACCAGTCGGCGACGCAATCGCTACAACATTCTTCAGAGGACTTCCTTCGAAATGGGACGGGAGATGTGGTATATGGCTTTGAGTAGCGGCCAAGGCAGCATCGAATGGGGGCGAAGGTTGCTTCACGGGTAGTGGTGCGACTGCGACTGGGACCTCAATCGGTGGTGTGTCGGCGGACTCGGTCTGGAGGACGGTCGGTGGAACTTCCGGCATAGGATCGGGTTTGGTCTCGTTATCAGCAAGAGGTCCCGCTCCGCTCTCACCATCCGGCATCTCGCTATCCTCTTCGTCCCCTTCCTCGCCCTCTTCGCCATCGTCGTCTCCGTCGTCTCCATCGTCTCCATCATCGTCGTCAGCCATTTCACTATCTTGATTCTTGATTTCAGACTGATCTTCCCGTTTGATGTCCTAGAAAAAGTTAATACCTACATAAGGGTTTAAAAAGAGGAGGGGAACGGCTGGTTACAGCCTACTTACATTGGTTTGTGGGCCACTTGGTTGAGTAGCATTGATAGCAACACCGGCACCTGGATTTGGTGCTTCGGGTCGCGGATTTACTTGCACAAGTACCTTCTTTCTTCGACCTCGACCAGGGCCCCTAGGCTTCCTCTTTGGTGGCGGCGGACGTCTTCGCACGGGTGTTTGTGCAGCGGGTGTATCCCCATTCGTGTTGGTATTTGGCGCGGGTACTACCGTAGTAGATATGATATCTCCATCCACATGCTGACCCTCGTTCAATGTGATCTCTTGTGTATAGGGATTTCCGGCTGCATCAACGCGACGGACGGTGGCTCTTACTACGGTAGGGCTGGATGATAAACCTGAAGGGAGACTCGAGGATAGTGTTTTTATTCCCTTTCTCCTCTTCGCCAGATGTGAAATAGTAGGTCCTTCGGCATTGCGGGGGACCTGCTTCCAGGTTCTAATTTGGAAGCCCCTAGTGCTTGGGTCATCCTCTTTCTTATCTGGCTTCTCGGCGAGGGCGGTATCTGCATCGCCCTCTTCCTCCTCAGTAGGCGGCGGTCGTTTGTACAGTCTTCCAGAGCGAGCTGCTCTCAGAAGCTCTTGGGTATGTGTGGGTAGTAGATGTGAATCCTTGGGCATGCCATGAGGTAGTTCGATTGCCCATACGTCGTTCTTTTGAGTTGTGTTCTCGGTCGGTGGCGGCGCAACGTTCACCCATTCCTGGCGCCATTGTCTAACGGGTAAACCTAATAAGAGAGGATTAGACATGCTAGTGCTAGATATGGCTACTTTGTATGTTGCGATAGATTTGGAGATTTGGAAATTGTGTATCTGCATCTACATCTGCATCTATGTTTGTGTTTGTATAGAGCGTACCTTCGAAGTCGTCATGTTCTACATATCCACTTCGATTTCCACGTCGGGTTTGAGTATTCTGTCGAAACTATTGATGAATTTATTATTAGTATCACTTCACTATAACTTCACTGTGATATAAGAACAGCCAGGCAGGCAAGGAGGCAAGTATGGCTTAAAAAGGGCTGGGAACTGGGGATGTTCATACATTTGGAGCCATCTAGTCGCCGGTCGCAAAATAATTTAGTTGGCCTAAAAAGAGTATGCAGACGATTAAAGAGCCAATGGGTTGAAATCAAGTATGCAGCAAGTATAAAGACCGGTGATCCGGTAGCCGGTGCATCTAAAACAGATTTCCAAGAAAGAAGTGTGACGCAAAACAGGAGTTCGCTTGCGATACCTATTGGTGGAAGAGTATGGTTAAAGCTGCGCAATTGGGGGGGATTTATGTACAATCCAATACGTGATATAATACGTCGCGAAAGTTGAGAAAGGCGTCGACATGCGCGCGACAACAATTCGTACTAGTATGTGATATTCATTTAAAAGGTATTCATGAAATACCGAATATATGAATACATAGGTACCTAGTAGGTACATACCTATGTAACATCAAAACTGGTACGTACCAACTTGTCAACAGTGAACACATCCATGATTCCATGATAACTACTAGGTACCTAGTACTAGGTAATAAATAAGAGACGACAATTATGGACCGGAGAAGAGAGTCTGGTATACATTATCATAGTCTCACTTAGCTACATAACCCTAGCCTGCCTACCAGCCCATCTCAAAAGCAGCACCCTACGTATCTGCTCGCAATAAGCAGCATAGGGTACCTATGTAGGCACTATAGACCCCAGACCTAGACCTAGACCTAGACCTGTACATCGTTTCGCCTCAAGGTATCATAAAAACTGTCGTGATTTAAATCGATCGGTCTATCGATCTATCATCAACATCCATCACCATCACCTCGCCCGCCTTCAAGCTGGACAGATGTCTGTGCTCACAAACACACAACTTCAACGCCCAATGCTCCCCCGCACTTCCGAAGATGGTTGGAATCCTCCAATAAAGGGAGAGGAGAAACCCTGCCATAAGCCTTAAAGTTTCAACAACTGCGCGATTGATGTACAATGGACAAGTATGTATAGTAGCAGTAGTAGCAGTAACAGTGCGAGGCGCTTCGCTTCTCACAAATACGAGGACGACGCGTGAGTGAGAATACCACGGTGAGCGAGCCTTTCGTGGCTCACAATGTAAGGCCCCCCGTTGGTGAGGTGCGATTTCAGTCCCAGCTACAGGTAATGGTTAGTACTAATCTACCTAACCTAGAATATTCATACTAGTTCGGGGAGGGGAGGGGGTAAAGTATGCGCTTACCCAGTATCCTTCTGTCGAACGACTTCACCAGATTTGCCGCTCTGCTTGCCCTATTCCAGGTAGACATTGTTAGCCAAAATACTTCTTTTTCCTTTCTTGGCGTGGAGGGGTTGGCGCAGGCGCATGCGCATGAGAAATGTTATATATAGGCAACAACATACCGATATTCCACCCTCAACCACCAATTTATCTATTCCGTAGAACTGGCTGATGACTGTTTGGCGCTACAACAACGAAAAAAAAGTCTCACGTTAGCCTGACATACTGCGCCTATGAAAGTCGAACTTTGGCTGGGGTGCCGCACCTTCATCATCTGCAGCTCCTTGAGCCCCTTTTGTATCAGACCCTGAATCTCTCTGGGGTCCTGCACGGCGGCATGGTCGCGGAAGGCGTCTCTCGTCCGTCGCTTCGCGTATGCTCGGAAGTTGTAGGCTTGGAATTGCTCGCCCTGGCGCAACAACTGTCGGTACTGATATCATAAAAAAGAGTCAGCCACAACTTGTCTATAATGAACCCTCTCCATAAATTGCGCAATGGTTCAAATGCTTTCCCCCTCTTTCTCTTTCTCCTCCTATAAATGTGTACATAACTCAAGGCAAATAATAAAAATGAAAAAAGAGTAGGCTTACCAGCGACCGTGCCTGTTGAGGCAAATCCCCTTTCAGCCCCGAAACGATAGACATTGTTGGATGCGCTATGCTATCTCATGCGCTGACGTAGGTAGGGTCGGTTGAGTAAAATAAGTACAAGTAGGAGGAATTTCTAGAATTCAAAGAGAGGGGCAAAGTTTGTGAATTTGGGACTTGTGGATTTGTAAAAGGTCGGATCCGATATGATACAACAAGGTGATATTGTCGCGGCAAGTTTCTTGGTTACGTACCAGGAACTCTTTTTTTTTTTTTTTTTTTTTGGTTCTAGCGATCACTGCTCCGCTCGGTCTAGATGCATAATCGGCGCCGAGCAATGGGTAGTTATGTCCGCCCTCCTCAGCTTGCACCTTCCATATTGTTAGTGGTCAATCAAAATCAAAAACGTCACCTCGGATTTATTAAAAGCGGAGATATGCATTAATGCATGTATCAAATGTATGCACCTATTAGGTCATGTAGCTGGGTAGATTTGTGTAACACCGTGACGGATACCTATATGAGCTGCTGCTATTAGGTAGGTATGTAGGTAGACACTTACCATCTATTAAGGGGTATATGACTTTTTTTCGGAATCGACCTGTTCCATCCTTTTGCCCATCGAATTCGACCCATCTAGCCTAGAGTATATATATATGTACATACCTACCTATATACTAGGTTAGGTAGGTTACTAGGGAGACTGTATGTAGGTACTCTATCATTATCATTCAACTTATATCACTTCACCGTAGCACCCGTCTTTCGCTGCCACTCTGTCATAGCGTCGTCAAACGTGACTAGATGTTCCTCAATCTTCCTAGCCCGATATTTCGTCCTATCATCCGGATCGAATTCGAGACTAGTCTCGTCGTGCACCTCGCGTCGGGACTGCTTACGCTCGGGAAGATGGACTTCGTCGCGGTGATGTTGGAAGTTCTCGTTCAAGCAGCGAGACGAGCAAAACGTAGATGGGTTACTCCGTGTCTCCATGCACTCTCGACAGAATACGATAGTGCTCCCCCCGTCTTCCATCTCCACGTCCTCGTCGTGGAGACCAACGCATCTCCAGCCAGACGCGCATTCGTGTTTTCCAATCACGTGTTGGTCCTATTCACCGTTAAGAATTCAAAACACATATTGAGATGAGGGAGAAGATCAACTTACGTAGACATCGTCCTCACATTCTTGAGAGCAGAATATGGCAGGCTCAACTTGGAATCCGTAATTCTCGTCAAGTATTTGACACAAAGGGCATATGATGAAACCCTGTGCATCTGGAGGTTTGGAGCAGGCTGAGCAAGGTGGAAGGGCATGCTCTTGACTAGCGGAGAGAGCAGCGGCTCTAGCTTTTTCCTGTCGGGCCTTGTCCCTCCTCGCTTTATCGAGCTCATGAGCTGCTTTGGCTCGCTTCAGCTCCTCGAGTTTCTTGTGAAGTGCTTGTTGCTGATCTCGATTACTCTCAGCCGAATGTCGATCCCGGATTATGGAGCTCATAACGTCGGCAATCGGTGACCCATTCATGACCAGTTCGATGTATTTGCTATATTTTGCAGCGTTGGTGGTATCGTGACTTGGCTGAAAGAACATATCAATGTAAGCTTCTGGCCTTGCCTGGGGTGTTTTGGCAAGCTTTAACCGTTCTATAAAACCGTTGAATGCTTCTTCGTTCTGAACGGGACCGTCGCTAAAGGCCCCCCTCAATTCCGAAGCGAGCTGGTCCACGGGAATGCTCCGGTCGTTGATTTTCTGTTGCAGAATCCGTTCCTCGGACGGAGATTTGGTCGCGTGTTGAAGCCCTAGATTCTTCACCTTGTCTCGATACCATTCCTTCTTCTCATCCATTATGCGTTGTTCTATGGTCTTAAAGTCGACCTCGAGGTTGTAAGCCTCGGAGAACATGGTGTCCAGCTCAAGAAGAAACGGCCGTCGGCCTGAAAACCATTCCTTGGAAGCAGAGTTGAGATATCGATCTCTTATTCGATTGAGCAGGCGAGTCCAGCAATCTGGGCACTCAATTGGATGCTTCTTGTTGTGGTCCTTCATACAAGAAGTTTTGACATTTTGCACATCATCGGCGCAGAGCTGTCGCTCCCTCTGAAGGGCGATGACCTCATCCCATGGCTCTAACATAGCGTAGCTGGGCATGCAACCGTAGGATTTGAGCCTGTACAGGAACGGAACTGGATGGTATATATAAATAAATCCCGGTGTGTCTCGTTATTGTGACAAATGTATACCAATTAATTTAGAATGTAGACAGGTACATATGAGAAAAGATGTCAGGATTGGTGTATCTTATATTAAGGAGGTGTGGCATGAAAAGTACACTACATAGTCTGATGAAGAAGATCCATAGATCGTTTTAGTTAAGGTATCTCATTCATTAAAGTTGCATGTTTATAACTACCACGTACATAATACTTCGTAACCAGGACACTTCAGGTCCGAGCGCCAGAATTTTACTGCGTTACGCGCCCCGTTACCAGATCTCGAAGTTCGTAACGCGCCCAGAACAAAAGTACATACATGTAGCTTACAGGGGTAAAGGTACTAGCCTACTACCTAGTACTAGGTAGCTACAACATTGAAGATACTAGTAGACCCACAAGCAGGTGTATACTAACCGTTTATAGTAAGGTTTCTACCGCTTAATCTCACCTTACTACAAGGTACATTCCATTAACTGTAGCTAAAAGTTGCCGAAGGAAAAGCAACAAATCTCTTAACAACAACGCAAAGTCATACACAGTCACAGTTAAACCCCATTACACAATCCAAGAATCATGGTTCGTCAACCTTTTTACTTGACTCAACACCCTCTTAACCTCAAGTAAACCTCTATAAAACTAACAAACAAGTAGGCGGACAAGTTGCGCACCCAGCAGGAGCTAGAGCGATTGCAGGCCAAGTACGTCGGAACCGGTCACCCGGACACGACTTCGTGGGAATGGAGAACCAACGTTTCGCGCGACACCTACTCGAGCATCGTCGGCCACCCTCCTCATCTAGCTTATATATCGCTTGCCCAGAACGAACCTGCCGCCAAAGTCCGAGCTCAGCTTCTACGCAAGATGATACAGCCCTCTGGCCCTCCTCCCCCGCGAGAAGGCGAAGAGCCTATACAAAGAATGACTGAATAGTTGGAGCCTTGACAGGAAGCCGCCGCATTGAATTATTCTAAATAATCCTCGGGCTGATCAAGATGGGGGGAATTTTACGTGAGATCAGTTCAAGTGGAAATTGCATGGACATCGGCGTTATTGGGAAGCTAAAAATGAACACTTTGGATTGAGCATAGTAATAATTTGATTTATCCTCATTCCTCCTCCTCCTCAACATCGGGGAGGTCATCGCCGACTTCCAGCCGGAGGAAATCCTGTATTCCCAAACTCCGTTCGATTTTCTTGTTGAAATCATCCGGCAGCTCGCCCCAGACTTCGGCGACAACAGCGGCGATGCTCTCCGGCGGAACCTCGATTCTTCCTCGGGTGCCGATACACCAGGTCACCGTGTCCTCGTCCCCCTCGCTTCTCTCCACCACTTTATCAACATATCCCTGTCTCACAATCTTCTGCAACACGTTGTCGGTCTTGTCCATTGGTAGATTCTGACTCGCATTCAGACGGGTCAGGTATCGTCTCAGCTTGTTGTCGCTCAGTTCTCCTCCGTTAAGCACAATCAATGAGATGACCATGGTATAAAATCCGACGTATGCTGCTTCTTCGGCAGTGCTAGGTATACGTGATGGGGCGACGATGACCTGGGATTTGTATTGGCGCGGCAGGACAGATACTAGGATGTACTGGCGGGAGGACGTGGAACCTTGGGAAGCTGCCTTTCTGGCATTCGCCTCTGTAAATTACCTTGTCAGCAGGAAACAACACAGAAACTATGGTATGACTGGTACAAGACAATAGCAATCACGTTTCACTTACTCTGCTTCTCCTTCAGCGTACGCTTTTCCCTAACGGGGAGCTCCTCCATCTCCATACCGAAGACGGTTCGCAGCTTATCCTGAGCGCCCTCAAAGACAGCCTTGAAGGATCTCGCATTGCTTCCGAGGACTAAATTAACCATGATCAGTTAAAAGTGCGAACATGGAGGACGTATTGCTTGAACCCACCCTTGTCTCTAATGCCGTCTCTCCTGATAGGTATTCTCGCATATTCACATGCGAGGGCGTATCGCACAAGTTTCTTGACTAATTGATCTCCTGTACCGTCTGCTGCTCGATCCATCTCAACATCGCCATCATGGTCGTCATCGGAGGCATCGGAATCCTCTTGATTAACCGTTCTGCGCCGTCTCTGAGATTGGGTCGCGGGCGGCATTGTCGACTCTTGCCTTTACAGGTGTTGGTAATATGGTCGACTTAGTTTCCTTTGGCAGAATATCTCTAGAATAACAACCATCACACCCGCATGATCATATATTCGGTGATGAGATGTACAGTGTATGTATAAGTGTAAGTGTACTAGGCAGTGGGCAATGCGCAATACATACGGAGCGCAAGTGCGGGACAAGTTGAATAAGAATGATCGCGTTGGAACCAACAGCCAAACGCGTAGAGGACTAGGTTGGTCTTATCGATAACCGGCAGGCTTATCGAGACTCCCATTTAAAGCGAAGCTTATTGCCCGATTAGGAAGGATGATTTTTTTTAATTGATTTTTTTTTCTTTTTTCAGAAGGAAAAGAAAAAGTGGCGACGAACTTTTTTTTTTTTTCAATGCAAAAATTTGAAATACGATATAAATCAAAAGAGTAAATCAAAGACAAGAGTATAGAGCAACGCTCTGCACTTCTTCATGATTTCTCCCGGTGTATCCGCCGGCGCTGTCTGTCTCAGATGCCAATTGCGCCTCCTCTCCCAGCGCACTCCTCGGTCCATTCAGAGATGCAATCCCATCTTAAGGCTCCCGCGATCAAGTCTGCGATACTCCTCCAGCGAGTCGAGTGGGCCCTTGCCTGATGATGAACCAGTTAACAGAAACGTTGTCAGATTCCCATACCATGATGATTTCCCTACCCCTTCAGAGAAGGAGATCCAAGGTTGGGGCCCTCGCGCGAAGAGGAAATGGGTAGGAAAGAAGCGCATTTCTCGCAATCGCATTCTCACAGAATCTACCGAGTCACTCCAATCGGATATGCTAGGAAAGCCCGCCTCTGTCATTGTCATGAAAGATGGCGGTACTTATCAGAACAGGAGTCGCGCGCTCGGACGTGATGACTCCGTTGAAGAAGAACATCGAGACGATAGCCCCGTTGATATCCAAGCCATACTTGACCATCAGCGGACACGCCCCGAACACGAAGAAGTTCGTGCGAACATTGATGACCTAAAGCCAAAGACAGAGACTACATTGTCCGAAAAGGAATTCCGCTCGCTGCAGTCCTCGTTGATGGAGGGTTTTCTGGTTCCCCAGCTCGAAGACTACCTCACTCATCAACGTTTGATTCGTGAACTGAACCCCTTGGCGGTTAAAACGGGAGACGCATATCTCAAAAACTACAGCTGGATTAGAAACATATCACCCTGGATACCACTGGGCAATCAGTCAAGCAAGTTAAAGGACGACCCTGACTTGCGTGGCTACATAAACGACACAGCTACACTCAAGGAGAGACTAGTTGTTAAAGTCATGCGCCAGTGTTGGGGTCTGTCAATTGCAGAATTTGAATCCGGACTTGGAGAAACCGTAATTAAGCTTGGAAATTTCGAGTTCCTCCTTTTGATGCGTACGTTCTTCCATTGCGCTCTATCCCCATGAAATGAATGATTCATGCTGACCCTTCATTAGGCGGTAGCCAACGGTGGGTGTCCGTCATGGGCAGGGTATGGCTAGAACCAGGCGAGAAGATCGAAGCTATCCGTAATTCCAAGTCGCTACGACTAGTAACAACAAAAACGAAGGTTGGAGTCCTGTTAAAAGATCTAAATGACACGCTGAAGCGGACCGTCTCCAAAGTCATTCAATTAGGCCTTATTTCGCCCAATTTCATCAGTGGAGAACTGATAGAGGAGGTCGGGCGCATTACAAACGCACACGTTAGACAAAATGAACCGCAGAGCCGGGTTAGTCAATAACCACACCCCCCCTTTTTTTTTCTCTTTCCCCTTATCCCTTGGAGAGAAAGGGGGTGTCCTGATTCCCCGCTGACATAATTCTGGTAGCTCCACATTACATGGATCGAGGCGAAGAAACGGGATTCTAAGTCACATAACCGCCAAGAAGATATGAAAGAAGTTATCTTCCGTCTATTGTGGACAGCTTTGAACACACCGCCAGCAACAACTACCTCATTCCGTATAGCTGGCTTTGATAAAAATGCCGGCGGTAGGTTCGTGAGGGATACTACAAGCCGGGAAAAGTTGGCATGGAACCATAGGGTGGGCCAGTGGGCTCGTTACGTCGTTCCATTAACCTCATTTGACGGCCGAAAAGAAGTAGAAGACCAGCTGGAGAGGCTCGAATTACCGGTTGAGCCACAACAGTCCTTAGCACTCGAAGCCGACAACGTCAAGGAGCTTTTATCAGCGACAGACGCCTCTGAGTTTCCCGTGGACTGGCCCAAGTCCCTCAAATGGTCAACAGTGGCACATTTTGGCTCCATTCTACACTCACAAACCTCAACCGTCTCACCTCCTCCCCCCCCTGAACTCCTAGCTATAAACCACCCTCGTGTGTTCTCCACCATAACACCACACCCCTTTCACCTCGCCAAATTTGATGTAGAGAACCAAAAAACCGACAATGTACTTGTGCAAAACAAATTCACCATCGTCATCCGGTTCTGGCCCACTCCTTACCTCGACCCTGCCCTGAATCAGCAGACGAAGAAAGTCTCTAAATATAGATTAAGGGGTACCGAAGGGGTAAGAGTTAAGAAGAATATAAAAGCGATCAAGCAAAAGAGGTTGAAGGGTTACGAGCCCAAGGCCGTGACAGTCAACACACCCAAGGGACCGATCATCGAGCTTCGCCTCCTGGTAGTAAACGACGAGGTCAAGGGCGTCGAGAGCGTGCGCGCCATCCGGCAGACACACATCACCGACGTGATGCTCCCCGCTTCCTCCGTCGACGTGCGCTTCACGCAGGAGGAGTACGGGATGCTCAGGGGCGAGCCCGCCGGGTTCACCGCCTGGGAGCCCGTCTCCCAGTTCCTGGACAACGCCGTCTTCGACGTCCCGAAGAACAAGTTCGAGATGCCGCCGCGCCAGAAATTCCCCATCCCCCGCCGCTTCTTCAGCGACTACCCCCCCAGCCCCTTTCAGCCCCAGCCCGAGACGCCCCTCGACCCCGACGAGCTCGTCAGCACCGACTACACCTTCGTCGGCCTCGAGCTCCGCAAGGCCGTCTCCATGCCCTACCACGGCTTCACCCTCACCTACACCTCCGTCGACGCCCGCCGCGGCGGTGGCAACCGCACCGAGATCAGCCTCGAGCCCACCGCGGCTAACACCGAGGGCATATCGCTGATCAAGCGCATGCCCCCGCAGGAGAACTCCAAGCTCCATGATGATTTCTTGGCGCTCTGCCGCAAGTTTGCGGGCGCGGAGACGCTTTGGTCAGGCGATATTCTGGAGAGGGTCTGATGGACTTTTAGATCCTGAAAGGCAGGAGGGGGGAGAGTGGTAGAAGGTAACTATACATACCTGATCCTAAAGAGAGGGAATGGGTAGTGGATGAGAGCCTTAGCATGGGTTCATTGTAACATTAAGACACTGCTTATTAGGTACCCTAAGCAGGTAGGTAGGTAGGTAGGTAGGTATGAAGGTAGATTAGCACTTATGTATGATCGAGGGGCATAGCAGACCTAACCTAGGTATATTTACATACACAATCTACACTTCTATCTTTCCTACCTAAGGTTAGGTATCTTATCTTACTGTAGGTGCATACCGAATGCATCAGGACTCTTAACCAAAAAGACATAGTTAACTACCTACATAAGTACATAAGATGAACAAACTCCCCCAATTCCTCCCCACCTTGAGCATTTACCATCATTACTACCTTTTATTTTTTTATCATGCCTTGCCTTGCCTTGCCTTGCCTTGCCTTGTCTTGTCTTGCCTTGTCTCATCTCAACCTTTTACATACCTACATACATGTACATACATCGCCCACATGCACCACCCAATGGCACCCACAAACGCTTAGTCAATAAACACGTAAAATCCCTCCTACCTACCTAGGTACGTACGTACGTACTATCACGACACCAAAGAATCTACTACCTACTCCCACTACATACATATGTGCAGAACACCAGTCTCAATACCTAGTACCTACATATAAAACATACATACATACATACGTACGTGCATATTATATCATGCCTATGTATAATGTAAGTAAGTGAGTACTAATATAATCTAGGTCAGTAGGTAGGTACGTACATAGTAGGTAAAGTACATGGTAGCAAGTATTGAATGACCCTCAACACATTTATTGTAAAGTGTTGTACATTACTGCCGCTTTTTTAAAACCTCTAACTATGCCTTAACTTTCATGTACATACATACCTACCACTAGTTAATCAATAGGCGCGTCAATTGGAAAAGGTGGGGCTTTAGTAGGCACACTGCCTATGAGTGTGGGTGTGATCAGAACACCTTCAGGGCTGTCAACTTTCTATCCCACTCAGAACTTGTGATGGAGTAAATGCACTAGGTCAGACTAGATCAGAAAAGTAGTTCAGGCAATGGAAGATGGGAGCAGTCTAAAGCTACGAAACCGTCAAAGCAGACACATCACTGGACGAAATTTATCACGTTGGAAGCATAAGTAACAGAAAGACTTTGTTCACGGTCTATTATGACTCTATTTTACTACAAGCACAATATGAGAAAGCTTTGTCGCAGAAATGCCCATAACCCTTCCTCTCATGTTTGCACTCCGAAGTCAAACGTCCGGGAGAACAGATCGTGTCGTGGAAATGTCATGAAAAAAGAGATTCATCGAGGCATGGGCGTGTCGTAAAAGCTCAAAGGCAATTAGACGAGCCGACAGAGTATTACTCCCAGCGGCTGTAGTCTTATTATGACTAGCAAGCTTATTTCTTGCCAGTAGCCTTGGCAGCAGACTTGGTGACCTTGCCGCCCTTGGTGGTGTTCTTAGTGGTGGCCTTGATGACACCGACAGCGACGGTTTGACGCATGTCACGGACGGCGAATCGTCCCAGAGGGGGGTAGTCAGTGAAAGCCTCCACGCACATGGGCTTGGAGGGAATCATCTTGACGATGGCGGCATCACCAGACTTGATGAACTTGGGGCTGTTCTCAACAGACTTACCCGTTCGTCGGTCGATCTTCTCTAGGAGCTCGGCGAACTTGCAAGCAATGTGGGCGGTGTGGCAATCAAGGACAGGTGCGTATCCAGCACCGACTTGGCCAGGGTGGTTAAGAACGATGACCTGGGCAGTGAAGTCATCGACACCGTACGGGGGGTCGTTCTTGGAGTCACCGGCGACGTTTCCTCGTCGGATTTCCTTAACGGAGACGTTCTTGACGTTGAAACCAACGTTGTCACCGGGGAGACCCTCAGTAAGCTGCTCGTGGTGCATCTCGACGGACTTGACTTCAGTCGTGACACCAGCGGGGGCGAATGTGACGACCATACCGGGCTTGAGGACACCAGTCTCGATACGGCCGACGGGCACAGTTCCAATACCACCGATCTTGTAAACATCCTGGAGGGGAAGACGGAGGGGCTTGTCTGTGGGTCGCTGAGGGGGGACGATAGCGTCAATGGCCTCTAGAAGAGTCTTGCCAGTGACCTTACCACCCTTGCCTTCCTTCTCCCAACCCTTGTACCAGGGGCAGTTGGTGGAGGGGGCAAGCATGTTGTCACCGTTGAAGCCGGAGATGGGGACGAAAGCGACGGTCTTGGGGTTGTAACCGACCTTCTTGATGAAGTTGGAGGTCTCCTTGATGATTTCGTTGTAACGCTCCTCAGCCCACTTGGCAGTGTCCATCTTGTTGATGGCAACGATGAGCTGCTTAACACCGAGGGTGTAGGCGAGCAGAGCGTGCTCACGGGTCTGGCCATCCTTGGAGATACCAGCCTCGAACTCACCGGTACCGGCAGCAATGATGAGGACAGCGCAGTCGGCCTGCGAGGTACCCGTAATCATGTTCTTGATGAAGTCACGATGTCCAGGAGCATCTGGAGAAAGAACATTGTTAGCAATTTGAAACGACCAATGATAGGGAATTGCCAACAAACTTACCGATGACAGTGACATAGTACTTGGGGGTTTCGAACTTCCATAGAGCGATATCAATGGTGATACCACGCTCACGCTCGGCCTTCAGCTTGTCCAAAACCCAGGCATACTTGAAGGAACCCTTGCCGAGTTCAGCAGCTTCCTGTTGTTGAATGGGTCGGTTAGCATGGTTCTTTTACCAAATCGATTGGTTGGCTTGGCATGTGTAGGGTTGGTTGCTCGTGCACCAAAAAAGAGTTATTGTGCAGGACGTCAGAGCGGGGTAGGGAAAATTTTGTGCCCCTCGGTGGGGGGAGGGTGAGACATGAACAAAAAAGTAAGAAGAGGGGCACACGCAGATCCCAAGAACGAAAAATCGTCGAGAAATCGAGAAAACACATGTCTCAATAATTCCGTAGCGTGATGAATACAGTATATGTGAAAAAATAGTAGAAAAACAAGAGGAAAAAAGTAGATGAATATGATTATGGATTTGAACTAACCTTCTCGAACTTCTCGATAGTTCGCTTGTCGATACCACCGCATTGGTAGATCAAGTGGCCGGTAGTGGTGGACTTGCCACTGTCGACATCTGGTTTCTTTTGTTAGAATTCCGAATGCCTTGTCTCTAGGGAGTATCAAATAACTTACGGCCGATGACGACGACGTTGATGTGAGTCTTGTCTTCCTTACTATAAACAAGTTAGTGATGGGTACGCGCAATGAGTCTGAGATCGGATTCCAACATACCCCATTTTGGCAGGAGAAATATGTGACTATCTTAAAGTATTGTTGTGTTGCACTGAGGGACCCGAGTGATAACTGAGAAGTTTAATAGTTAGCTTGATTGCTTCATCGATGTAAAAGCTGTCGCTGATGCAGTGGTTTTGTAGGGATTGATGAAGAGTGTTGGGAAGGTTATGTGAAAACGGATGTTGTGGAAGATGAGAGGGTTGTGTGAAAAATGGGCAATGGAAATGGGAATCGGCGTACAAAGGTGTTTGAGAATTGTGGTAGATGATTGTGATTGTTCAAAGAAGAAGGAGGTGAAGATGGAAGTTGTGATGAAGATGAAGATGGGAATATGAGGAAGGGAAGGAAGAGAAGGGAGAAGACTTACGATCAGCAGGTGTTAATGCTATCTGATTAACGGTGTGCGAGACGAGGTTCAAAAGAAGAATCAGAAGATTGATGCGAGAGTGTAATGGTTGGGTTTATAAATTATTTCTGACGGTGGCTAAGGGAGATTTTGATTGTGGGTACGGTTGCCCCTCCTTAGGTCCTTCCCTCTTTCGACTACGCACCCCTCCTTCCCAATTCACAAACTGAAATTTTTTTATTTGTTATTTTGCCTCTCAGATATACCTGAGTACTTGTTCTTTAGAGTTTACCAGCCTTGATTGGTTCAGGGTTTCCCAAGCTAATACGGATATGAAATCTGTTTCCCGCCCATGTACCCTGCTAAGTTCAAATTCTGCCTGGTCCAATCTTTCCTGTAAGATATCTCGGATGTAATATTTATATTCATATTGATGCACGCATGCCGTTCCATGACGATAATCATCTATTACATACTTTATAAACCTACTTAACCATCCATGAATATTTACGCTTTTGCCATACTTCATAATAGGAATTTTAATAGGAATTTGCTCATTGCTACACGGCGGTCAGCTTGATGTCTACTTATACTCCCCTACATGTAATACCCCATCAACTAGTATAATGCATCAGCTCGATCTTGACGGGGCTAGGCATATGTTTTCTCCCATTTTTTTTCTCCATTGAAGCCAATGCGCAATGATGTACTAGCGTAAGTATATAAAGTAACGCCCAAGGCAAGCTACTGCTATCATAGCAGTACTGCAGTAGCTTGTACATAGGTAGAGAAAGCATGATCGTTTAGATTGCCCTACCTACCTAGGACGATACATATATGTAATGCTTAGGTGCCTATAACATATGTTGAACCTACATACATCCTGTCTGGTTTTCGTCTCTACCTAATTCCTGACTATCGAGAACTCTGAAGGCAGTAGACTGTAGAGCCGACCCGTCCTAATAAATGCTTGCATATGTTAGTATCTAGTAGGTACGTGTAAACAGTCAAAGTACCCAAAAAGTACCCAATTATTCTTCAACCACCTCGTACCCGGTCCTGCCAGTATGATATGTACGCTTTGCCCATGTACACCTAGTGTGACTCAGACCGATGGATGTGACTGGATAAAGAAATTTTGTCCATCATGCCGGAATTTTTGGAGAAGAGAAAAGGACATCTGGAGCGTTCATTGATGGCTACATTGGCTAGGTACATCCATGATAGCTGCCCAACCTTGGTACATAAAACTTTTGCCTATCAAAGCCATACGTACTTTAGGTACTACTGCGTATATGTATGTAGCGGTACACATGTGAAATACATGAGCATCCATGCTACAGCGGCTATTAAAATTGTGAAATTGTGAAATTGTGAAAATATGATCATGTGGGATTCGTCAATTACATGTCCTCAGCTTATACATACCCTACATACCTACATGTATACATAATGTCTGAACGTACATGATATATGCAGGATGTGGCCCTCGGATTTCCTACATGTTATGTTTAAGTCCGTGCCGCACCACAGATATGAACCCTTTGCAGCTTGTAGACTTGATGTAAACACTACATACTATAGCAACGCATGCACATCAATGTACACACAACCTGCCTTTATCCATACAGCCTAGAAGTGTTAGTTATTCTGCAAGTACTAAGTAGGTTCAGTTACAATGGTTACAACGGTGGTAACACGAAGTACAGAGAGAGAGAGAGAGAGAGAGAGTCGAGACACGCCAGACACGCCGGACACGAAGAATACATTCAATTTGATATCATAAAAGTCTCAATATTTATTTTGGATCTGAAACTGAAGCACTTGTGGGTATCTATTCTCCGAAACGCCTCCAGGCTCCTGAGTCCTTACACAATTGTAAACCGGGAACGTACCAAGTAGCTAAGAAGCATTCAACTTAGTACTATATGTACCCAGTCTTCACATTAACCATCTTCCTTTCCTTGCGATAATCTTAGCCATCCCATACGTTATTAATAACGTGCCCATCTTCATCTAGGTCGTCTTCTAATCGGCCGGGGTTTTTGCCGCATCTAATGACAGCCTCCTTCTCTTTTTGACCTAGCGCGACTTGATCGAAGCCCGCCGGCAAGATACGATCACCCTCCAGGTACCAAACTTTGAGACCGCGAGCCTTGTCACGTATTTGCTGCTGACTTCGTCGAACCTCAAATACATTGGCTTTCTCCATCTTGCTCCAAGAACAACACAGGTCAGGATCGGCTATTAGGTCTACCAGTCGTGAAGTATCGACTGCGGACCACGGTGTGCGAATTTGCGGCTGCTTGTTTGCTTGGTTTGCCCGTCTATTCCTCCGCGCTACTTGACTGAGTACCAATATATCCTGTTCTTGCAAGTTGGGATCCTCTGGCAAATTTCCTACTGATTGTCTACCGATAGTTTCCCGATTGCTAGCAACTGGCGGTGATGACGGCTGTGAACTACCAGTTTGCTGTTGCCTTGAGAACCTGGGGCGTTTTGGCAATGGCCTCTTAGTTGTCGAACCCCCTCGGCGCGTCTGCTTAAAATCATTGAGTAGCTGCTCGTGAACTTCGAAGTCGTCGTCCTCATCTTCATCGGCACTAGACTCATCGGGACGTTGGCGTTTCCTTGTACCACTCAGGACTAATTCTGGCTCGAGGCTTCGGATTGCATTTATTGTATCTATTGCCTTCTCCTTTCCTTTCGCAGCTGTTTGGCTGGAGGATGCTCCTGTCGTTGTACGCCCCCCGATAGTCTTCTCACTCTGTATCACGGCTGCTAAGGTGTTGGGATTATCGATAAAACTTTGACTACAAATCATTAGCATGGTGTTGTTCGGAAACAAAAAAACATGTGGCTCTGAACATACTTGGCTTCCTGTGGTGCGAGTTGGATATATTCTTCTTCATCAGCATCTGATGCAGAGTCTGAGTCGCTTTCCTCCTCATTATTAGTGTTAACAAATAGAGATTCTGACTGCGCACGATTTGCGCGAGCATCCGTCTCCTGCGTTTCGTGGATAGGCTGATCTTTTGGTTTACCAAGCTGCCTATACGTCTCTAAAGCCCATGGCTTGAGATCCTCATAGAGTTGAGCCAGAGAGTATTTCTGATCTAAGGATGATAGTACCTCAACTCTATCGTTGGAGGAAAGCTTTGAAACAAGCTTCTGCATCACAGCTTGAAAGGTGGTGTAGGAGACATCGTTTTCGACATTGATGCCAGCCAGGCGCTTGAGTGGTCCGTTTTGGAGAACCTCCCGTGGGTTTTTTGCTTGATGGGCGGATTTGCGGCCGAATATCTTAGAAGCTAGCATCAATGGCTTGGCAGAATAATCCGCTTCCAGTGCTTCCATGAAGTGTCGACACCGAATATAGAATGCTAGTTCCAGTCTCGTATCAATATCTTCCCTGTCTGTCTGGGTTTCCGCAATGAAGGAAGCCGGGAAGACACCGTCTAATTGTTCGAAGAATGAAGGTGGGCCCTTCCCCCCAGACATTATCTCGACCATGGATGCAAGGAGTGTGATGAGATTTCCGGAGCAAGTCGCTACTTGAATCTTGGCTTGCACTTCAGGATCGTAGTCTTCAGGTAAGCTGATAGGCGTGATGAAAAGAGCGTTATCTTCAGTCAAAGCACGCCGAGCTGCATTGTAAGCTTTTGCAGTGCTAGGGAATCCCGACTGATCAATCGTGGCTAGCTGGTCATCGCCAATCGACGATAAGATGTCATACATCTTACCGGACCAACGCATCAACTTTGGTATGTCAAAGTCAAGCAGGTCCTGGATTCTAGCGGGATCTATCTCTGGTAATGCATGTCCATCTTCGCTTTCAGAGATTGGACTAGGGTGAGACAGTGGGGGCTCAACTACTGGACTTAAGCCTGCGTGATGATTAGCTGAGAACTGGTGAAAAAGAAGCATTGAAAATGATATACCTCTGTCTTCTGGGCCGGGGCTCGCATTTTCTGGGGAGTCTTTGGTGAAGTCATTTGTAGCAACGCTCTCAAGACTCCTACGACGTGAGCGACGTGTGCCACGCTGGGGGAACTGAGTCTCGGGCTTAGATGTGGGTTCTATAGAGGCCTCGGGACGTCTAGCGCTACGTCGCGTTTGTCTTGTGACGATTTCACTAGTAGGCTCAACGGAAGCGGTCCGTCGAGTAGCTGGACGACGCATCTTTGACCAGAGATCAGAATGACGTGGGTTTTGTTTACAAGTGATGAAATGAATTGAAATGAAATGAAGTGCGATGAATGTTGTTGTTGTTGAACGTTAATTTTCAGGGTTAGGGTAACTATTTTGATTACACGGTTCGAGGCTTGAAGGGCGGTGCACTAACATGCACGGACCAACACGCCACATCTAATTGAATCCACCTGTTACTATGTATGTACAATACAATGTACATAACTACACTCCACTCTTTCCCCTGTCCCAATTCGAGTTACCAATTGAGCATAGGTACCGGTTGGTTGCAGTTGATGCAGGTGGATAGTGGATAACCCATAACCATGGCACCCTGGCATTTTTGATCTTTTTTGTACTTGGCTAGCACAAACAAGCATAGTACAGTACATTACATATGTAGTACCGTAGACTCCGTACTGTAGACTACTGTACTTTCTAAACATCTACATAACTAACTAGTTATGTACCTAGGGTGACTAACTTAAACCTGTCTTGCCCCCTTTTGACCACAGATCGCGGACCACAGATCATAGATCACGGATTACGGACCACCTTCAACCTTCTTCTTTGCATTCTGGCGTTATTATCCTTCTCACTTATGTATGTCACTTCTGTACAACTTAGTTAACCATAGCTGCATTCATCTTGGTGGAGTAGTCCTATCATTCAATCATTCATATCATTCACATCATCTTCTCTTCTAGCGCCCTTTCATCGCCCTTTCATCGCCCTTCCAATTGCCCTTCTTGCTCTGTTCTATCTGTTCTGAGTTAACCGTAGCTTTTCTAAGGGAGAAGAAATAACACCCACTACTCCCATTCCATTCATTGCTCTACCAAAATTCGCGTTTTTCCATCTCGATTCGGCTTTCTGCGCGTTTCAATCTTTCAATTACGACTTCTAGTTTAGCATTTTGCCCATCATGAAACTCCGTCAGCGACGAGTTCCGCTATTTCTACTAGTTTTACCATCCCTCGCCCTTGTCACCTCTGCGCTTGACTCCAGGCCCGCCAAAGATGCTCATGCAGCAGGTGTGGATGGTGCATCCCCTCAGGCTCCTCTCGACTCAACCCTTACACCCTCGAAGAAATACGAGGTCGGTACCAAGGATGCCCCCGTGGATGGTAAAGATGGAATGCCACACGAGGGTCCATTTGTGACTCTCGACAAGGGACGCAAGAAGACCGATACCAACGAGGTCCCAGAATCCAACCCCCTTTCTACCACCAAAGAAAAGCCAGCGGAACCTATAGTCATTGATGGCAAGGAGATCCCCGAGAGCAATGACGGTGTTATGGATGACCCCAATCGACTGCCCCCAAAGCAAGGTACCACGGGCACAGAGGGTGGAGTGAGCCAGAAGGATAAGGCCAAAAAAGCCAAAGAGGGAGTCACAGGGGAGAAGGTCGAGAATATACCCGAGACTCCTAAGGAAAAGCCTCCCTTGCCTCACAGCGAACAAGAGAAAATCACGGTGGAAAAGCCCAACAAGAAGGAAAAGGGCAAAGGGGACTTGCACCAGACGCCTGAGGATATTGCTGGGCTTGAGGTAGGAGCACCAAGTACTTATTATCGTTGTGGCATATGCTAATCCAACTTGCTATATAGAAGCCCGCCGATTTACCTGATAAGTTGCGCGACGACCCGAATCCGCTTCCCAATTCAGCTCACAAAGACCATCTCGATGTATCTAAGCCTCCAAAGTCAACCCCAAAAACGTGGGAGCAAAATGACGACGGAAACGATGGAATTATTCGACCCCTCCACTCTTTTGTCCTCTCCCTCACCATGATACTCTTTTCTGAAGTGGGTGACAAGACGTTCCTCGTTGCGGCGCTCATGGCTATGAAGCACGACCGTATGGTAGTCTTCTCGGCTGCTTTTGGTGCTCTCGTGGTCATGACCGTTTTGTCTGCTGTGCTAGGGCACACTGTACCAGCCTTGATCCCCAAGAGAGTTACGGCATTCCTAGCCGCAGGATTATTTTTTGTTTTCGGTGCCAAGATGCTGCGGGAAGGCATGGCCATGGACCCGAATGAGGGTGTTTCAGCGGAGATGCAGGAGGTCGAGATGGAAATGCAAGAGAAGGAACACCAAGCGCTAAAGCAAGGCCGACGGCGCTCCTCCTTGTCACCGTACGCCCTCGAAATGGGACTTGGCCATAACCGGAAGTCAAGATCCCAGTCTCGTTTCCCGACTCCGCCTAGAAGCCCCTCGACCTCGCCGGGCAGAAGCCCATCACCTCGACGTAGCCTTCTGGGTGGGTTCGGCACTGGTCTCTCGAATCTCTTCTCGCTCCTCCTCAGCCCCGTTTGGGTGCAGACATTTGTGATGACCTTCTTTGGCGAATGGGGAGATCGTAGCCAGATTGCGACGATTGCTATGGCCGCTGGCCAAGACTACTGGTGGGTAACACTAGGTGCCATGCTCGGCCATGCATGCTGCACGAGCGTAGCTGTCATTGGTGGCAAAGCTATTGCGGGCAAAGTGAGCTTGAAAGTTGGTAAGTTAGGTCAGATTCTGAGAGTTGCGAGAGTGGCCCCCTTATATGAATGATAGCTAACGGTTGGCTTGTGCGTCTGACTAGTCACGGTCGGAGGCGCCGTTGCGTTTCTTGCATTCGGCTTTATCTACTTCGTTGAAGCGTTCTATGCGTAAGCACTGTCTACGGCCTAAGATGTCGAGGAGGCCGGCTTCCTTCCGTCGATAACAACGTACCCCATATTATTTAACATGATTCACCAGAATTTAATAAGACACGAGTGTGGCAGTTCTCAGGAGGGCTATAAAAAGAAAAGAAAGAGGATACCAACGGTTAATAAGGGTCTACATAACAGATGAAGGGTACGGACCAAGACGTCCTGGCTGTACTATAATATGTTGGGGCCGGTGGCTACAAGAGGGAAATGGACACCGGCATACAGAGGGAGTGGGCTATATCGTTGCATGGACGGAGTTTGGAATACAAAATAAGAAGGACTCAAGGTGGCCAACGTCAAATCAGGTCGTGTAGAAACCTCCGTTAAATATGGTAGTGGCCGAAGAAGGGAGAGGGAGTTCTCTAATTTCAGAATTGTTCTTACCACATGAATTATAGAGAGATTTGGTAATTTTTGTCCACTGGACGCGACGGGAAAACATATAAACTATCTTTATTGGATCTTATGGTTGTGATATTTGCTATTCATTACCCTGCAAGGCCATTTATATGGTGCAGACATGTAGTTGTCCGCAAGATAGACCGAATACCGAGGCCAAAATTGGGTACATGCGCTATGTACATGCCCCATCCCGTGTATCCCGTACGGGCTCGTCATAGACTTCTACCGAACTCTCGTGTTGCACGAATATTAGTATCTACCTAGGTCACATACGCAGGTGATACTTCAATATCGATACAAAGTGTTGATAATTGTATCACGTACGACTTAAAGGGCACAAAACAAAACATAATAAAACATAATAAGATACAGTAGCAATAATCCAGCATCATGGCCGATACCACCGCAGCAGCAACGTCGCGTGGCCCGGAAACAAAGCCGGGGCAGGAGACGGGCCGGCGCATCGCGCAGATCGTCAAGCTGAAGCCTGAGTTCGTCGACAAGTACAAGGAGTACCACGCCGCCGTGTGGCCGGACGTGTTGCGGCAGATTAAGGAGTGCAATATTCGGGATTGTAGGTTGCCTCTCCCCCCCCTCTTTAGTATATATGTATAGGTACCTAGATATGGTTATGGGTTACACGATTTTAAACGGCGCAGCAGACAGCATATACCACGACCCGGGCACCGGCATCCTGTTCGCGTCGTTCAAGCACGTGGGCGCCGACTACGCGGGGGACATGGAGAAGATGCGCGCGAACCCGAAGGTCAGGGAGTGGTGGGCCATGACGGATGGGTTTCAGGAGGTGAGTTTCCCCTGCCCCTCGCTTTTCCAAAAGTTTGTGAAATACCTACGTTTGGGATGCGTGCTAAGGGTGTCGATGTTGCGGAAAGAGTATGGTCCCCGGTGCTACGAGCAGCGAGGCTGGGAACCCGCCGTGGTGGAGAGAGGTTGAGGAGGTGTTTTACGTGGCGTAGGTGGAAGGAAGGGGAGGGGCGGGGGTTGGTGAGTGAGGGCTCCGAGGTTGTGTGGGATCTTTATATATATATTTCTTTCCTTGCGAAAGCAGAGGTTGTATATGCACGTACCTGGGTAGGTACCTAGTATATAGACATTACTGTGATGCTTGTACCACATTCTCATCTATACCTAGATTCCACGCCTGTGGTAGAATCCTTAGTCTACTTAGGTTGGGTAGGTACTTAGGTGCACTGAACCGAGCATGTGATAAATCTAACCACGCCACCACTCATGGTCAAGGCAAAGAGCAACCAAGTAGCAAGAAGCTGCACTCAGACCCGCTACCACCGCAATATCAACAAGACACCGCGCTGCCGACCATAGGCAACCCTAAGCCAACATCTCCCCTCTCCACTTACTTCCACAACCCAAACAACCCCCCCAACAAACCCCCCCCTCCCCCACCACCTCCTCCCCCTCCCCCTAGCCTTGCCTCACTCCTAACCCACTCCTCCAAAACCCTCCTATCCCCCAGCACCCTCGCATCCACCACCTTCGTCTCCGCCCTCGGCGCCCCCCCCCCTCCAGCCCCAGCACCGCCAAACGCAACCAGCGTCGGCACCGCCGTGATCCCGTACCGCAAGCCCAGGCCCTCGGCGACGACGTCCGGCGCGTCGAGCTCGACGACGGCGTACGCGACGCCCCCCTCCGCCTCGCCTACGCCCGACGAGACGACGGTCTGCAGGAGGGGCGCGATGGTGCGGCAGGCGGGGCACCAGGATGTGGTCCAGAGCGTGATGAAGGGGGTGCGCGAGGAGAGCGCGAGGAGGTGGTGGGTTTGGAAGGTTGGGGCGTCGCGGATGCTATGGAGGGGGGGGTTGTTAGTCGGACAGGCAGGCAGGCGGGTAGGTAATGGTTTCGGCTAGAAGGAAGGGGAAGGGGAAGGGAAAGGGAAAGGGGGGACTAAAATCACCTTGACTTACGGATCAAAGATCTGGTTGCTGGCGCTGAGGCGACGAGATGCCGAGAACCCCCGTGTTGTTGTCGTTGTTGTCGTCGTCGTCGCCCGGGAGTGGCGGCAGAGAGCTTTTAGCGCTATTGATGGGACGAGCGTGGTCCGCATCATTGTGGTGGTATGTAGGTTGGGGGGTTTTAAGAGGCCGAGTAGTCGAATCGGAGTCGTGATAGTATTGGATTTATTCGTTGGTTTGATAGGTACTATGTATGTATACAGATCGGCGTTAATGGTATAGTTATTATCTATATTATTACAGATGTACATAGGTAAGTAGGTATGCAATAGCATCCATGAGATATCGTGAATATGCAGATCTTTGTGCTCTAATTATAGCTATACCTTGTTCATAGGTGGTACGTGCATTCATGAACACCTCTTACGTCACCGTTCTATAATAGATAGATACTCTTCACATGCCCAGGTGTGTTCATGTTTACACGATGTTGTCATTTGTTGCTTGTAACTCATAAAATAATCCTGGAAGGTAATAATTGCTTATATTAAAATCATATATATCATCATGTCATATCGTATGAATAATGCCTCACCTATATAAAACGCCCAAATATGCGGCAACCAACAACATATCTAGATGCATGGCAGATCTTCTATCGTAACAGATCCATGAATGCCCTGCTCCAGTGAAAATGCTCTGGCAAGATATACACGCAATCCACACTTCCACGCCGTTGAACCCTCCCCCAAAAAGGCAAACCTAGTACTTCTCCATCAGATTCATCCTCACCGTCCACATCCTCGCCCTCTTGCCATAGATGTACATCGGGATCGTCGTCAGCACCACGATCAGCTGAATGACGCCGATCCAGATGAACACCATCTTGGACCCGGCATGCGCGAGCCACTCCGTGACAAACGTGCTGAACACGAGCCCGTGGAAGATGTTCTTGCTGAAGTTGAGCGTCACCAGCGCCTCGCCCGCGTACTGCCGATAGCTGTCCACGCAGAACGTGATCGACGTCGTCGACCCCAGCGAGCACCCGAACGAGACGATCCCGAAGAAGACCGTCGGCACGATCCACGCATCCTGCACCTCCGCCGACCACCCGAACCCCATGAGCCCGACCACCGTCGTGACCGCCACCGGCGCCGCCATCACGAGCCGGAACTCCGGCTCGTACAGCCCGCCGTTCCGCCGCGCCATCCCGCGCACGATCACGTCGCTCACCTTCCCCGCGACCGCCGTGCCGAGCACCCCGCCGATGAACGGCGACAGGTACACCAGCCCCGTGCCGAGCGCGCTGAACTGGTAGCTCCCCTGCCGGAAAATGACGGCGACGGACTCCGAGATCACGATCAGCCAGCCCACCGAGCACGCGTAGATCGCCGCCGACCACAGCACCGCCGGGTACGAGAACAGGATGAAGGGGCGCACCGCGGCCTTCCACCACCTGTCCTGGTTGATCCGCCCGTGGTGCACGCGCAGCTGCTGCGCGAAGGATTTGGGGGATGCGTTGCGCAGCGCGTCGGTGTAGGCTTGGCCGCTGGTTACGCGGGGCAGGTTGGAGAAGGACCCGAGCTTTTCGCTTTCGGTGTCGGAGCGGGTGGCGGCGGTTCCCGGGGGTGCGTGGGATGGCTGCCCTCCTTCCGAGGCCCGGATGTGGTCGTCTGAACGATGTGCGTCGTAGGGGGAACCGGGGTGGCGTGCCGGCGACCATGCGCTGCTGTTCGAATGCGAGCGGCTTACGTTCGGGCGGGGTTCGGTAGGAGAAGATGTCTGCTGTTCGGGTTTATCCTCGCTGCCAACTTGATCTGAAGAGGCTTTATCTACGGGAGATGCCGGCAACGAATCGGTAAGATGTTTCGAATCAGACGCTGCTTCTCCCTCAGGGCTCGCCGCAAATCCGATATGGGATCTCTTGCGTCGTGGCTTGGCCTCATCGTGACTCTCCTGGGGCGCCCCCTCCCCAGCCTTTTCCGTATTCTTCTCGTTATTAGCGTCGGCGGCTTCTTTTATCTGAGCCCTAGAGACGGGTCTAGCTGAAGACCTTCGACTGAAAATACTAGGCCGCTTGACATGGCGCGACCTTGGCACCGGAGATCTATCCCAAAAGGTTTCGGGGACGAAGAAGAATAGCAAGGAGCCGCAGAAGGCTACGACCATGGCAACGATCCTAGATGATAGGTTTTTAAGTCAGATGATAGAGGTATATATAACAGGGGATATAGCTAGCCACTTACCAGAACACCCAGCGCCACCCAAGTCGCTGGATGATAGCAGCACTTACGAGGGGGATCAGGTTCTTTCCACTGAGCTCAAAACAGAGTTAGTACACCCTAGCATGGTAGCGGCAGCCGTAGCTTACTAGTAAAAGGGTATAAATCCCCAGCCGCCACGCGCGATCATGCAGGTAGTATATCTCCGCGATAGAAGCCGAAGGGAGGCACTCGACGGGGCTCACCGCGATGCCCTGGAAGATTCGGCCGAGAATAAGCGTGGTGAAGTTGGGCGCAAGAGCACACCACACGGCCGATATGATGAACAGTATGGCGCTGTATAGGTAGACGGGGCGTTTCCCGTATAAGATGGCGGTGGGTGAGAATATGACGGAGCCGATGCCGAGGCCCATCATGTATAGACCGGTGGTTAGTGACACCTGGGCAACGTTGATGTTATACTCTGTGTGACATAGTCAGTAATGGTTACAAAAGATGGGATGTTGCCCAATTTTCGATAGGCTACGAGTAGCTAGTCTGCCTGCACATACCAGCAGCAACATCCGTGAATCCCGCCGCGATCAAAGGCGTAATTCCACCTCCAATCATACAGTAGACGCCCAGACAAAGCAACGCCGTGTCCCGGCGCCAGGACGGCCAGTTCAGCGGGTCGTTGTGCGAGTCATCCGGCTGCGGCTCCAAAATGATCTTCCCGTCCTTCGTCTTCTTCTTGTCATCCTCCTCCCTTGCCGCCGTTGCAGCCGGCGTTTCTTGGAATATGCCGGTGGGGAGAGAGGAATGGGATGTCCTGGCTGGGGTGTTCCGGAGACCTAGGGGCTCGTTCCGCTGGGCGAGGAGGAGGACGGAGCCTATGTGGGAGGTTAAAAAAGGAAAGCAAAGCAAAACGAGAAAAGGGGAAAAGGAAAAGAGAGTGAAATGTATGTCTCTGTCATGTGATCTGAGTTCTATGTAGGTTAGATTGTATCAAACTTACCAGGTACGGCTATAGTCTCCTTGTCGTTCAGCATCCCCATGTTCCATTTCAACTTCTCGTTGTTCCGGTACTCTTCATCCCGGTCAGGTCTCCTCCGGAAGAGCACTTTGCGCAGCCCTTTCGGCGGCTCTGTCTCTGATGGCCCGTCCATTTTGTTTGGTCTGTGCCCACAAATGGGGTGCTTGTTGACGGCGCTCAGACTCTCCCTTTATTATTGAGCCAGATGGCTAGGATAGAGACAGATATTATAACATGTATAACATATATACTTGGTGTGTATCACACTTGGCTATATAAAGTATTAGACACTGTTAAAACCAACTTGGGTTAGTCTAAGGAAGGACGTATATGTAAGGGATAGGGGCCCTGGTGTAAGTGTAACTTATGAAGCTTCTTGCGGTCAAGTTGCCAGACATAATAAGCAGGGCCAAAGTAAAAAATATGTTTACGCAAGTGGTCTATGATGGACAACAAGGCAAGCATACGAAGCCGGGGTAGAAACAAGAGATGTTCACCTTGATATGTACCTAGCCAGCCTCCTTGGTTCACTTGCTCTCACAGCCCTGGAGGCAATGAATATACTACCTTACGTAGGTAGACAGCGTATAGGGCCAGACGCTAACGAATAACAAGCCCACCTGAGCAGCAAATTCCAACGGCTAGGCAAGTAGCCAGACGGCGTGGAGCTCCCAGACAAAAGCACGGGACTCTCGCGGCTACTAGCCAAAAGTCCAAAAGTTAAAACTAGCAGAGTCAGTTAGTTATAAGGAATGGGAATGTAAGGGTGGGAACGATAGGTTACTCACCTTGTAGACCACTAATATGTGATTAATACCAGGTAGGTATGTATAGGTATGTAGTCGGTCTTACCAGCCACCCGGGTACAATTACGACTTGGATAGGTCTTAGGTAACCTAGGGGAATCAAGCACGGACAAAGGTTGGCAGAGGGTCTAAGGAAAGCTTGTTTTAAGGATGGACTGTAGGCTATATGTATGTATGTACTGGAAGCTGACCAAGCTATACTATATACATCTAAGATCTGGAGGTAGGTATTATAAAGTCGAGACAAAGAGACGGGATCGAATAACAAGGGTTGGTCAACCAAAATACTATGTACATAGTAGTAATAGTAATGCATACATACTACATAGTAGGTAGTGTTTATGCGTGGGTAGGTATCTAGATACGGTAGTTGACTACATCCAACAGATCCATACATGGAAGAAGTTAGGTAGTCTAGTGAAATAGTGTGTTAATGACAGGACCCCCCTGACAAGCAACGAAAACCAATGAAATCGTAGAAGACGTCTATAAATGGGCCAATGTCTCTCTTTTTGGGTGGTGGTAAAAGTTCGCAAACGAGATGGAAGTCAGGTGGTGATGGGGGAGGCACATGGACTAGTAGGCTGGTCAATCAGAAAATCGCCGCCATCAGCCGCCTGTTGACGGATATACCTATTTTGCCCTAGGCAGATGTAAGCTGTTAGGGCAATGTAGCTTGCTTACCTAGTCTGTTCATGTGTGTGCGTGGAAAGAGGTTTAAAAATTGGCTAGTCTCCGAGATGCTAACATTTGAAGTTGGAAAAGGAGAGAGGGGGAAGAAGAAGTGCATCCATTTAGAAGATCAATTGTACAATACAATACAATACAATACAATACAATACAATACAATACGGCGGGGGTCAACCACCTACCCAGTACTACCCACCCCCTATCAAGTAACTCCTCTAAACCCCTAAACCCCTAAACTCCTAGGCCGCTTAGTTGATGCATTATGACGGCATCTTATTTTTTTCTCCTCTTAGAAGTTAGTTAACCTAGGGTTTTTTTTTAAATGGAGATGAGATCCACTGACATGTGCACATGAACTTTTATTACCTACATAGTAATAGTACCCTACAACTAGGCTACAAGAACTTCTCAGCGCGCTTGTCGCTAGACCTTATGGTAATACAAATTGAATGTGCCATTCGTCATTAATCCCTGTCCATTTACCTAGGTAGTATACTATTATGTATACCTAGTAACACTGTTAACACAACCTCATGAATTTGAGTACGTAAAGATGCACATATTACAGGTAACCTACATATTCAGATGTGTGTATTCGTAGATCCAACTTGAAGCTACCGCCGGTAAAACAACAACATTGATTGAAAAAGAATCAACCCTACCTACGCACATACTTAGGAGATATCTCGGCTCTCTCCCTCCCATGGCCTCCCGCATCCCACCCCTCCTAGACACCTACCTCCGCCTGCCGCCTGAAACGTCCCTCGTCCTGCTCAGCGGGGTCCTGGGATCGACCACCAACTGGCTCCTCCTCCGCTACCTTCACTCTCTCCTCCTCTCCTCCACCCAGCCCGACCCTGCAGCTGCAGATGCGGAGGCAGCAGGGGCTAGCACCACTGTAGTTCTCGTCAGCTTCCTGCGGGACTACGCCTTCTGGAAAGACGGCGCCGGCAAACTCGGCACCGACCTCGACGGCCTTTCCAAAAAGGCCCGCTTCGTCTTCGTCGATGGGCTGACTGCCTTGTTCCGCACCTCAGTCGGCGCCTCCCCCCAGCATAGCAATGGCAATGGCAACGGCCATGGCCCGGGCCTGAAAAGCAGCAGGGCCTTGTCGGCCCCTACGCTGCAGCAGCTGCACAAGGAGTTGCAGGATGCCGTTGCGCAGATCCGGCGCGTGACTTCTGAGGAGCAGAAGATCGTGCTGGTTGCCGACCAGTTAGATCTCTTGTTGGCTGCGTCCGGAGGTGATATTTCGAGTCAGCAACTACGGGAGACGCTGCTTGATATCCGTGAAGTAAGTCGTTCCTTATAAGAATTTTTACTTTTCTCGGTTTTCTTTGTTTGCCTTGTTACATCCCCACGATATACACCCTCACCTACCTACCTACCTTACCTACCTACCAGACAGAGACTAGAGGTTAACAATTGGTAGAACGTGCATTCAGCCATCGTCACCGTGTCCGCAGACAGTCCCTTAATAACGTCGCAAACCACGTCCCTAGAAAAAGAGCACGCGGCCTTCGCCATTTCTTTAGCTCACGACGCGCACCTCACGATCGGTCTTAGGATGCTGGATACGGGCACGGCAAGGGATGTAAGCGGCGTGCTGAGGATCGCCCAAGGTGGCGCGGAGAGCAGCACTACTGCTGCTGATGTGGTCGAGGAACGGGAACTGCTGTATTACGTAGCTGGCGATGGTGGAGTGCGGGTGTTCGAACGAGGCTAATCACGCAAGATTAATTTTGCCCTGTCGTACTGAATATACCCTAGGTAGACAGTGAAGTTTGATACTTTGTGATTTTGCAAGTTTGGATACGAAGTAATCCGTTCGTAAGTAATAATCCCATTTTTGACTCCGAAACTTCTCCTATGAAATCAATTCCGAACCCCTCGAAACCTCGACAGACCGGAACTGTATCTTTATATTCACGTCACAATCATACAGAGAAAGCGTTGTACTTGTCAAATCACGATGCCATTTTGTTCGGAAATGCTAGCTAACTAGCATAGGTACCATTTCCGCCGAAACTCTTTACTCTTTATGTAAGATTGTTACGAGTCCCTCGATGAGCCAGTCCAAATGTCAGAAAACACCGTTCCCTTGCCATGCCACTGTCGTCACCCATCAATCCTGTATGCGTGCGCCTTATTTCAGAGCAGGACCTCGCGCATCCTTGGGTACGCCGGTTCGGAAGCCGTTCTTGAATTTGCGGGAGACGTCCTTGAGGTATCGCATGCGGCCGGTACCGACAGTCTTTCTGCGCTTGGCCTTCTCGCTCCAGTTGTCTGTGATGTGTGAATTAGAATCAATATCGTAGAGTATTCCCCGAGGATTGGCTATAGGTATATCCATTCTTGAATGCGATATACGTCGGTCCTAACGGAGAATAGAGATCATCAAACGTACACTTTCGGGTCTTAGCAGCGGGGTATCCGCATGAGGAGCAGGTGTGCTTCTGGATGTGAAGAGATCGACGACCTAAAATAATATTTCCCGTCAGTCCAATTCTGTCGCGGTCCTAGGCGGGTAGACGAGTCCAAGTCCAATCGCGAACTGCAATTGCTATCCTAATTCCACATTCGTCCTTCCCCAAAGGTTGATTGGAGTTTTACTAACCGCATCGTCGGCACAGAGTGTGCGTCTTGTTGTGACGCTTTCCGAAGCTGGAAGTTCCCTTGGCTATATTGGAGGTTAGTCGGGAGGTGATGGAAATGGGATTAGTATTTTTCGAGGATACGCACTCATCTTGACGGCGAAACTGTGATGGTAAAGATTATTAGTATGACCGAGGGAATTGACGGAATATTTTTAGAGGAATTGAAACCGGGCTGGATCTGAATATGGTAGAATTATAAAAACATACCTTCAATGTGATCTGGATTAGAGAAGTTTCGTGGATGATGTGTGCGTGCGTCTTAGTGTGTTGCGATTGTGTTGCAGTCTGTCTTGGGAAATTTTCGCTTTACGAGAGATTTCGTGGGGAGTCAGGGATTAGCATATCCGATGAAGAACCGAAGCGACAGCCCTAAAGGTAACTAGGCATTGGAGTGGTGGGTAAGTGAATAAGTACTGATAACTGGGTTTAATTATGGTCTAATGTATTTAACAGGTGATATGCCATTAAGTGGAGTACTTGTATGTAAGTAACACTGTAGCGAAAGTACCAATGTACCCACATAGTACTACACGTACCTATGTAGGTAACTAGTTATCTGTTATCTTAAATTTGATAAGATAAAAGATGGGGGGAGGGGCATGGTTAAGAAGTGGAAGTCAGCTCCCGCGCGCTCATGCCATGTGACGGAATTAGGAGAGCATCATTAAACTCAGAGCTGCATGTGCTACCTAGAACTTACTGCCTATGGATGTACCTACATAATAGCCACTGACACAGCACCTACCGACCGTGGGCCGTGGTAGACCTACATATATGTACAGTACAATACAGTACCGTACCTTACCTCATTCAAGTTCTTTATAAACAACTGAACCTTAGCACTTGAGATCTCCACTCATCGCAAACAGTCTACTGTACATACTATTTACATTACATCCATACTAATCTCAAGTCTATCTCCTTAAGCCTTTAGTTGAGGCTTACAAACCTTTGAATACATGTCACTTTACTCACTTTAATCATCTCGTTAGGTTTGTGGAAGCACAGATAAATAACCTTACCTTTATCTCGATTCATCCTTTGATCCTTTATAGCAAACAAAAAGCCTCAGCCGAATCCTCAACACTCCAGCGTTTGCACACCATCCATTGCCCAGGGGGTTTGTCCCACATATCCCGACAACGCCCAAGATGAATCTCATCTACTCGACCGTCAACACCATCCGGGACAGGTACACTCCCGTCAGCCATACGTCTACCTTTCGAAAGACGGGTCAGATTACACCGGAGGAGTTCCTAGCTGCTGGCGATTATCTCGTCTTCAAGTTCCCATCTTGGTCTTGGGCAGATGCCGACTCCGAGTCCAAGCGCGTAAGCTTTCTTCCAGCTGGAAAGCAGTTCCTAGTCACACGAAATGTTCCCTGCAATCGTCGTCTTGATGATGACTTTGCTGGAGATGCAGGCCATGAAGAAGCCGTCGTTGGTGATGGCGACGACTTTGGTTCCAAAGGCCGCCCGGATGACGATGGATGGCTGCGCACAGGCGGTCTAAGCAGCTCGCAGCCCCTCAAGGCAAAAGATGTGCGCACTGTCGATGATGCCGGCAATGTAGGAGACAGCAGTCTAGACGATGAAGATGAGATCCCAGATATGGAAGACGATGATGATGACGAAGCAATTATTCGCGATACTGATGCGCACAAGAAACAAGGGTGAGTGCTTGCTTGCTTTCATCTGCCAAGGCTCTACCCTGCCTGTATAGCTACTAACTACCATACTACTACAGAGCCCGTCGCACATACACTCTCTACATCATGTACTCCCCCTACTACCGAACCCCCCGCCTCTATCTCTCGGGCTATTCCGAAGGGCAACCCCTCCCTCCTCATCTTATGATGGACGACATCGTTGGCGACTACAAGGACAAGACGGTTACGTTGGAGGACTTCCCTTTCTTCGCCAACAACGTCAAGATGGCTAGCGTGCACCCCTGCAAGCACGCTTCTGTCATGAAAACCCTACTCGATCGCGCAGACGCCGCCCTGAAGATTCGGCGCGACAAGATGAAGTCGGGGAAGACTGTCGGAAATGACCCCGGGATGGAAGGTTTGGTAGATGAAATCAACAAGCTGGATATTCGAAGCGCTGAAGCTGCCGCCGAGTCGAGTAATGACGATTGGGAGGAGGTAGAGGTGGAGGATCAGGAGGTAGCCATCCGAGTCGATCAATACCTCGTGGTGTTCCTGAAGGTATGAGCACCCTTATTTATAGATCGGCGACGGTCTAGGCAAACGAAAGTCTGAATGCTGATCATCATCTAGTTTATGGCCAGCGTGACTCCTGGAATCGAGCACGACTTCACCATGGGAGTATAAGTCGTCATATATTGCAAGCATTTCTCAGGTGTGGACAGGCCTATTGATCATTAGTACCTCTGGGACGGCGTTATGGTTTGGATTTGGACGACGGACGGGTAGAGCATAGGGTTGGTTCTTAATTGTTTACTGCCTCGGCGAATACTATTATCTAACAGTATTCAAGACTTGCATTATACCATCCGACCTCACCCACGATGAAGGCAACGCCTAGGTGTTTTCTTGGGTCTGTTAAGCTCTTTCGGAGGAACAGGTACTGAATGGGGAGGGAAACACAATCTCCAGCAGGGTTATTTAGATATATAATGTAGTATTCGCAAGATTAACAGGGGCACTTTTTTCTAAGCCAGCGTGCTCTCTCACGTAGGCGTCTTATGGGATTATTATAATAAAGGCACGTCTGACAATATGAAATGACCGAAGAAGCAATCAACTACGAGACACGTCATCGGGTCTCATTCCGTACTACTGGGTACTATAATGACTTGTTAAATCACATCAAGGTCTTTTTATTTCTCGAAGCAAACTAGAGGTTCCAGTATGTATTCGTATACTTGGGCCACAAAGCACGAAGCCCTCTCCTTCGGGTGTAACCCCGTTCCCCTAACTACCCTCAAATTCATATCATCGCCATCAACATTGCCGTCGTACACTTCCCCTCCTCTTCTCCTCCTCAATCACCACCACCACCACCACCACCACCTCACACCTTCGCCGCCGCCCTGCCCCCCTCCCTCTCCTCCATCTCAATCTGCAGCGCGACCTGCTTGTCGACATTGCTCTGGACCTTATCCTGGACGCCCTTCCCCTCGAAGATGAAGGACAGCTCCTCCAGCGTCCGGTTGTGCGTCTCGGGGAAGAGCAGGTACACGACGAGGACCTCGAACAGGATCCACGCGCAGTACACGATGTAGTACCGCCACCCGATGCGGTCCATGGCGATGGGGTTCACGTACGTGTTGAAGAAGACGGCGAAGCGGACGGTGAGCTGCTGCACGGAGATCCCCTTGGCGCGCTGCTGGTAGGGGAATATTTCGACCACTGTGGGGGGGGAGGGTTAGGGGGTTGTTTGGTTTTGTTTTGGGGCATTTCTTTTGGAAGGGGGAAAATGGGGAAGGATTGGGAGGGCTGGAGGGGGGGGGGGGGGGGGGGGCTTACTGTATGTGTAGTTCCTGTGATGGCACGAGTTAGCAGTTAGTCCTATGCGTGCGGTAGAAACGAAAACATCTCGCGGATGGGTGTATCACTCACAGTGCGTTCCATCCGATGTTATAAAACTAGGTAGGCAGATGGGCAGGTAGGTAAGCACAGGCATATCAGAGCACAAAGAGGCAGATTCGATGCAAGGCAGGATAAGACTGCGTCGGGTGCACACTCACGGGCGAATAAACAAAGATGAAAACCAGCACCGGGATCGCGGCCCTCGCCGAGTTCTCGATCGCGAACCGCGCCGACGCGATCGTCCACACCGTGTACACGACGCACGTGCCGACCGTGCACGTCAGGAACATCGGCCGCCGCCGGTACCGCGGCACGATGATCGCGATGGGCACCGCGCTGATCAGCCCCCAGCACGTGTAGCTCAGGATCACTTTCTGGACGGTCCGGTTCTCGGTTATGCCGACGAGGTTGAGGATTTTTTTCACTGGGGGGGTTTGAGTTAGTAGAGGTATAGGTATGAGGGTGTTTGGGGATACAAGTAAAGATCGAGGAAGGATGCCCTTCTAGACAGATGCCTAGATAGGTAGGCAGATAGGGGAACTTAGTTACGCAACGCACTATTTTATGCAGGAGTCAGTTGGTCATGCGTAGATACAGAGTAGCGTTGTAGAATTCACATACCTGTAAAAGCTAAGTAGTCCGTTTCCGCTCCATTGGGTGAAGAACTTTGCAGTGGGAGTCAGCGCTTTACCTCTCCATATAACCTCATTTTCCAAAGAGGCGAGGCATTTCTCGAGAGCGTAGTGACCCAGGACAGTCCGTCTCCCAAAACATTACAGAAGGGGGAAGGGAGGATACATACCCCGACAATAGCAGCGAGCAGGAATCTGCGTCTCATAGGGGGGTCCCTATACAAAGCTAGTCAGACACCAAGAACCCCTCGGCAACTAAACGCGATTCAAAAAAAAAAAAAAAAAAAACACCCACCTAAAAACATCCGCCCACACAAACGCCTTCGCAACCTCCCTCTCCATCGCCAGCGTACTCTGGATCTGCGCAAACTCCAGCCTCACGAACTCGTCCCCCCCATCGCCCTCCCCATGGTACCTCCTCAGCACCTCGTGCGCCTCATCCGCCCGGTCGACACTGATCAAGTACCGCGGGCTCTCGGGGCAGAACGGCAGCGTCGCTATCTGGCACAGGGAGGGGACTAGCTGGAGCAGGGAGGGCAGACGCCAGGCCCAGGTGGACGCCATCTGGAAGGTGCCGTAGGTGACGCCGGCGGCGACGATGGCGCCGACGTGCCAGGAGGAGGAGAAGAGGGAGGTCATGGTGGCGCGCTCGCGCTCGTAGGAGAGCTCGCCGATGAGCGAGGAGGCGTTGACGATGGCGAGGGGCACGCCGAAGCCGAGGGTCCAGCGCGAGAAGAGGAACATGTCGCTGTTGATGGAGCCAGCCTTGGGGGGGGGGGTTAGTATGCTACTGAGGTTTTTTATATATGTGAAGCTACAACGAGGAAGAAGTGGTATGGGAGAAAGGGAAAGGGAAAGGGGGAATTTGTTAAGGGGTTGCCTGGCTCGCTGGCTCGTTAACTTTACCTGAAGTCCAGCCCCAACACAAAGAATCAACGACGCAGCCATGATAGACCAGCGCCGGCCCAGGTACTGCGAGACGCTGGGGATAAAGGGGATGGCCATGAGCGCGCCAAGCGAGTACATCGCGTTCAAGAGGCCGAGTCGGCCTTCTGTGGGGTTGTCGAAATCTACAGAGTTTGCTCTACGTTAGCGATATACCTACTTGGGAGAAAGAGAGGGAAGGGGTAATAAATACATACACTCAACCCACGAGGCGACGGCTTGCAGCGAGTTCATCATCGAGGAGTCGAACCCGGATGTCCACTCGACGCCCATGGCGCACGGGACCAGGATCTATAGATGAATGCATTAGATAGGCTGGGACATAGGTAAAAAAGACACATCGTTAGGAATGTATCAAGAGCTACAAAAGGTAGATAGGCAGATAGACAGACCAAGTAAAGAGACCGCAAGTTCGGCTTCTGGTACCATCGTTTGGTGTCGGCCTGCGCGATGCTCGTGAGCCGCGGGTCGACGTGGTGTTCTTTGGTCCCGAGGATAGCCATCGTGACTGGGATTTCTGGTTTCTAGAAACCTGTCCTATCCTATCCTATCCTAACTTAGCCTAACCTGTCCTATATATCTGTAAAACTCGAGAGGGCAAAAAAGCGAAGACCAGAGGTCCATGCCACAAAAAGACAGAATAGGTCTCATGGTGATAAGGCTGTTTTGCGATTTTGGGGTTTTGGGGTTTTTGTCGTCGCATCCAAACTTGAACTATTTGGGGAAAACGGACTCCGAGGTTCCGCATCGGATCTTTGTCACGTATTCAGCCCTCTTGGCTGTAGGGGTTTGGTGTTGTATTGGGGTTTACGTTGGAGTATTTGTGGTTAATTGGTAGGGGAATATGTGTATATACATTGCCTAGGTGGTAAATAGGGGTATAACGACTAGGCCAATTAAGAGTGACATAGGTAGAGTAAGCGTGGGGTATGGTTCCAACAAATGCGCGAGATGATGGCCCAGAGACTCGGGACTTGAGTAGGTATAGAAATACCTCGGTAGGTAGGTGTATAATTATACCGAACATGTTAAATAGGTATGGTAGTGATGCGATGGAGTTCAGGGGGGCATGAGAGTGGAAAAACTTGCCTTAGTACCTACCTACCTACCCTTAACATTAGTAGACTAAGCAACACCATGATGACATCAAGGTAGCATCGTAAATAAATAGATGGCAGATTCTACGGTATCAAGTATAGGACGAGAAGCCCGTACCCAATGGGAAGCAGAGCAGGCAAGCAACGTAGCTAGCTTTTGAGGTAGTTGATTGAAACACTAACATGGCTAAAGCCTTTTTTCTTAACCTATCGTTACCCCTTGCTACGATAGCAGTCGTCCCAAATTATAACATTGACACTACTGACCTCATCCATCTTCCTTCATTCCATACGTCAGCGTAGCCAACGGCGGAACAACCCCGGCTCCTTTTAGTTCATAGGTGTCCTACTCAAGCAGTGGGGGCCGGCACGCAGGTGTTACACCCGCAACGCTCTTCCACAAGCACCTCCACGGTACACGCGGGCAACGTGGTAGTCACGGTGGAAAATGGCGACCTGACAGGCTCCCCCGGCGCGCAGGTCTTGGTTGGTGGTACGCACTCCTGGCGCTGGCAGATACCCACGGGAAGAACGGTGCTGGTGACGGTCGTGAGAGATGTGCACACGTAGTGTCCCGGGAGCGTAGTAGGCTCGCTAACAGGGGATGCGAGGGCACTATATATACGCTGTTAGTTTCAAGGGGAGTGGGAAGAGGATGAGGAAACCCACCCTTGGAAGACGGCCACGATGGCGAGAGTGAGCTGGAATAGAGACAGCATGATGAATGGTGGGTACAAGGCTCAATGTTCCGAAGGGTTGTTTATTGGGGGCAGCTGAGGAGATGCTTGCTGGGTATCATATCTCGTCGATTTGACGTGCAGAACCATCGTCCTTATATATTGCTTGGCGCTAGCTTGGTCACTTAGAGGCAATATGATGATACCGGCTCATTGAGGCGGAGTGGTGTAGGTGGCGCTCATCATTGGAGCCGAGATGAGGGGATGGAGACGGTGTTCGCAATAGGGTCGAATACGATAGGATATATTGGGTGCCATGACACAGACTCCCAAGGTACTGATTCAGCAAGCAGCTTCTCAGCACACTCAGCTCTTAGATAAGCTGATCCTCCTATAAGAGGAAACGGTATAGGAGGCAGGTAGGTAGATAAGTATGTACATAGTGGTAGTAGAGGGTTAATAATTTGCACTGTGATATAGACCAGCAATTTACTGAATCATGCTCAGTAGCCCCATTGTAATCAGGAGATGGGTTCTCATTTATCACGTACTACCATGATCATGGCACGCATGACTGCTTATGACGTTCACTGGGCAGCTTTGTAGAGAGCATACCAGGGGCCTCAATTGTTCGTCAGCCCTACAAGGCACAGCATATGCGACCTCTCAATGATGCCCGTTCAGCTGACGGATGATTGGCGGGACCCTATTTTGGGGACATCTGTCGAAAAATTGGATGTAAGCTTACGGCTTCTACGGGGAGTATGCGCAACGTGAACCGGTTGGGTAGGCACCAGAATACTGGGAAATCCTGCCATCCAACCGGAATGTGACTGAAATAGGGGGTTCCACGAATCTCTCACGGGGCGTAATCTAGAACTCTTCAGCTCGGCGCGCCTCATCCAGATTCCGAAAGTGCCAACATGGTGGTCGGACCTTAGGATTGGGCTAGAGCGGATGGCTGCTTATGGTTCGACGGATGGTGAAGACTGTTGAAATGTATTGGCCGATGATGAATAGAGGCCGATATTAGTTCGTATTCATCTCACTGACCTATCACAACAATATTATATCAAAGTGACAGTATCGGAGCCTGGAGCCTTGAGCCTTGACCTTTGTATCGTACCTCTCCAAACATCGCACTGTATCACATCAGTGTCATGTGCGATGAGCGGTCCGAGAGTAATCCTGACAATTTTGATATCGAATGCGATGCTATCTCGATTTGGCTGCGCTAATTTGACGGATGGGGAATCGTTCGGTACGGATCTTTGCTTTTACCAATCGACGGCCTGTCGCGATATATCTTGCGTTGGAGCGGATGCCCCATCGGCTTCGGATTGAACTGTGTCACCACTGAAGATGGCGAGATTTTGGTCCAAGTTCCAGCTTTTGAGCTCTTGATCTACGAGTGCACTCCACTTCGAAATCAAAGGGTGTTCGCTCGCAACATCCTCGTAAACAACATCGCCGTCACTTCCGGATCCTTGAACGGGATATGTCCAACTACCATCTGATGCCCAGTATTCTTCTGCGAATATGGAATCGACGCTGAGTTCACTCGTCGCACGTGATAAAAGCTGGTCGGCATATGCCATTGCTTCGTGACTAGGATTTTCTCTCAAAGCGGCGGCAATTCCTTCAAGAAGACCGAGTAATCGACCAGCTTTTAATCCAACATGGGCACCCAGTCCGAACCCTTCATCAAAACCCTGCTGAATGCTTTCTGCCTTACCGCTAATGATGCCATCGCGATAGCCCTCAGTTGTATGCTGAAGCTGCAGTCTTCTAGAATCTAGCGAAATCGCATGGTCATTCTCGGCCTGATTGTGATAGGCTTCAAAGTCTGGCGAATGCTGAATATCTAGGCTAACCATATTATCGATAATATTGGCACCGACGGGTATGTGCGCATGACCGATTTGTAGGTATTCTTCTTCGTCTTGAAGCGGTGGTGGCAAATGCATTATTCAGCAATGTACGTGCGATATCAACTGGTTCTGATTACAGAATTCTACGAAGTAGCATAATAAAAATAAAATAAAAATTGGGTTGAGATGAAAACTTTACACTTAATCACTTGACTTGATGATCTAAGCTTTGCTAGATACAAAACAAAAAAAGAAATAGATGCATCCTACGCCGGGCTCGAACCGGCAACCTTCAGATTAGAAGTCTGACGCGCTACCATTGCGCCAGCAGGACATAGATCGACTTTTGGAATGCTAGTTAGCTTATATGTATCATTATCATATCAGTAATGGTACTGGCACTGGCATGCTGCAAATAATAACGTTTTAGGGCTGTGGCTGTGATTATAGTGGCTTTCACAGGGTCTCAGTGCTGATTAGTCCCCACTCCGCTCACTCTACCACTAACATTGAACTGGGAACTTTCTTCAGCTTCTCCCGTCACAAACCACCAACCACCATACCCAATCATAGATGTTTTCCTGTTTCTTAGAAATACTTACATATTAATTATGTATCTAGACACTCTCTCTTACCAATACACTCTCGCATCATAACAGTTGATGTACCTACCGCCCCATTGACAAATCATGTAGTTAATCAAGTCACTGAAATAGATGATGTAGGTCATTTTAGGAACTCGCGGCATATATGGCGGACCAGAGAAATGGTAAGCAGTAAGTGAGACAGCACTTTTGCCAGCGAGTCACAGCCTTGCCTGCTGTGTTGAACATCCCAAAGCAGACATAGTTGAGGAGTTTGGTGTATATATAATTTAAATCCCCATGTCGCCGGCAAAATGCCTTATAGTACGTTAGGTAGCATGGTGGGAGCTGATTTGCCTATAGAGAATCTACGGAGAAGAGCATGACCACCCTTTCTTGGGTTTAAGATTTGCCTTTCAACTACCGCGATATGTAATGTGTAAGTAATAGATTGGACCCTTTTCATGATGGGTGGGCACGATAAGGGAGGTAAGTAGGAATACGTAGGAATATGTAAAAGAAATACTAGGCTATAAGAGTAGAAAGGGGACCGAGTTTGGGCCAGCCTACTTCGCTTGCTTGGTTTCTTTTTGCTTCTGCACGACTTTGCAGCCGAGAACAATTTTCACCGCCAAGATGAAGTCGTTCTCCACCATCGCTCTCGCGCTCGCCGCGCCCGTCCACGCAGGACTTCGCTTCGGATGCTCGTCGCTGACCATTCAGCGACTTGACCCCGTCGTCGAGCCTGGCAACAACCCCTCTGCCCATGTCCACCAAATCGTAGGCGGCAACGCCTTCAACGCCACCATGACTGGCGATGTTGGTGAGAGGGCCACCTGCACCACTTGCGAGATGTCCGAGGACTTCTCCAACTATTGGACCGCTGTCCTGTATTTCAAGCACCCCACTAACGGCTCCTACCACCGTGTGCCCATCATCAACAACGCTGCCCTCGCGGCTGGCACCACCGGTGGAATGACCATCTACTACACCCCGTACGACTTTTTCACGGACAACATTCAGCAGCAACCCATCCGAGCTTTCCCACCAGTAAGTATATCTACCTAGGCAATCCACTAATGCCAAACGTCACTACCGACGATACTGACAGCTTCTAGGGTTTCCGTATGACCGTCGGCAGTCCGGCTACGGGTACTCTGGACGAGGCCAAGGGCCACGTCGGCCTCCGCTACAACTGTCTCCGGACCACCATCGACCGAGGCCCGGAGATGGTCGACTTCCCCGACAGACCATGCCAGGGAGGTATCTTCGCTGTCCACCACTTCCCCGCGTTAGTAGCCCCTTTAGCCCCCACCAAAACGTGAGCTCGTACACTAGGTGCTAACCTTGGCTGGAATAGCTGCTGGGATGGCAAGAACCTCGACAGCCCCGACCACCAGTCGCACATGTACAACACCATCAAGTCCGACGGCTTCACGAACGCTCCCCCGTGCCCGGCTTCTCACCCGTATGTACCTACCTAGCATCGAGAGTCATTCTCATTTCCCCCTTTTTATCTGACAGAGGAACTAACTTACTTTATTCAAGCGTCCGCATGCCCCAGTTGACATACGAGACCGTCTGGGACACGACCAAGTTCAACAGCATGTGGCCCTCAGGCACGCCTAACCCCTTCGTCTGGAGTTTCGAGGGGTCCAGCGGATACGGCACGCACGCTGACTACATGTTTGGCTGGAAGGGTACGTTTTTAAAATTGAAAAAATTATTATCCAATGATGATATGATTTGCTGATGTAAGATCTACAGGCGACTCCCTTCAGCGCGCCATGAACAAGTCCAACTGCTTCTACGATGGCTGCGGTTCCATCACGAAGCAGACCATGGCCCAGGCCAACAAGTGCACGGTCAAGGACATGGTTGGCGAGGAGACCGACGGATGTAAGTCTTGATTTGATGCCTACCTGCTTGATAAGTGATCAAGGTTATATGCTAATTCTTTTTTTTTCCACTCCAGGGCTTGACAAGCTACCCGGTATGTAAAGAGTTCATTCCATCCAGCAGCGGTGGTGTGCTCAACGGGAAGAAGGCCAAGATCGTTAGTCTGGTTAAATTCCTTGTGTGTAGAAAGTTGAGGCTGTATAGTTGAGAATTGATGGTGATGGAGGGGGGAACTGTTATGTAGTTCTTTCCTTTCAACGATGTATATCGATTATGTCGTTTTAGTGAATTGGATGACTACATTATAGCGACGTTGTTATTGGTGCAGTTTGACGATTGTGCTATGCCGTGAATTGTTTGCTATGTACCTAGGTAGGTCATTCCTTCCTTGTCTATCTTTTATTGTTATGATGATATGATATGAGAATGAGGTTGAGTAAGTATGTACTCAGAATTTATGTCATCCCGTAGGTGGTGAATATCTACCAACATTGTATAGGTTGGTGCCTATCTACTACCATTATTTATATATACTTACCTACACAACTCGACTACAAGATGGAGAGAAACTCGGGCCGTTATATTTCAGTACAATATAGGGGCTAGACACCGCTACAGGGCATATCTAGGACCTAGTAGGCGGCTACAAGCCGACTTTACAAGGTACAAAATGGTGCCTGAGGCATGCCTCCCATCGTGGGGCTATCTCAAACCTTACTGCCGCGCTCGACGCGTCCTGATGCGTTCTAAGACCACCAGTCTGTTTATTTCAGGCCCGCTATAATGCAAAAATGTACCTACCTAGGTGACCGCCCAACTACTTTATCTTTCTTCTTCGGCGGCTCTGACAATTTCGTTTCTTTTCTTCTCCCACAACCCATCATACATTTCCGACACCTCCATTTCTTTTTCTCGTTAATACACACCTACTCACCCGCCGCCCCCCTACTTACATCATTTCAATTCGTTTTCTATCGTCTAATCTCTGTGATTAACTTGTGAAGAAGCTATCTGTCGTTAGACAGAAATAGTTATCGATATGGAGTCATCTCCAGAGCTCATCGTCGATCTTTACGACAAAAAACATCCCAAGTATAAAAAAACACTGAAGAACCAAAGCTCGCCATTGTTCGCGAAGCTACCTGTTGAGGTATTTATTTTATTTCTCTTCCCTTTCATTTTTCCTTTTTCCTTTCTTTTCTCTCATTCTCCAATTTTCATCTTCACCTGTTATCTTATGACTCAATTGAGAACACACACTCACGTGCTTTTTTTTTCTCAAGACCCGACGAGAAATCATCCGCCTGGCTGTAATAGCGGATGAGTATAAGAGACGATACACCAAGATGCCGATCCGCCCACAGCAGGTGTTCCGCAACTCCAACAAGTTCCACCGAATGGCGCTGGCGGAGGAAGTCCTCCCGCATAATTGGGTTGCCTACGACGACGCGGAGCATGACGAGTTGGTCGAATACTGGTTTGACGGGTCTTTCAAGCCCGCCAAAGAAATGCTCGTTGCTGTCGCGCTGTCCCGAACCTGTCGTGCGTTATACCACGACCTTGAGCACTGGGGCCTCTTCTACAGCGCCAACACTTTCGAGTTTAACAATGTCCACAGCGCCGCCTTATACCTGGCTGCCATCACCCCCCGCCGACGGGCATTTATCAAGGACATACACATTAAGCAGAACCTCTTGGCCGAGGGTGGTTGTGGTAGTCCCATGACCAAAGATGACTACCTGCTGTTGAGTGAATCTCCATTGGGACACCGCAAGCTTCGATGCACTGTCAAGATTCAACTCGGCGGCTTTAGTGCCCAAGACAAGACCGGCCGCATGCGGCACATCATAAACAGCTTGCAAGCTGTCAAGAACAACAGGATCACCGCCCCAGCCTTCGAGGTCAACCTGGGTACCATCGGGAAGAGGAACGAGCCTCCCGTGAGAGAATTGGTGTAGGACATCAAGCTACCCTGTAAGTGCCTATACCTATAACTATAACAAAAACTCCTCTCCATTTTACGCATCCCAATTCCCACCCCCCCCCCCCCCCCCCCCCCCCAAAAGCCTATCTGCTAAACTCGTTCCTCCTTTACAGCACGAGCCAGCACAGAACTCCTAGAGTGGACCAAGGACGCCAACCGCGTCGACCTAATCAGCCAGGCCACCTTATCCTACGACCTCCATTTCCCTGGCCCACTCCGCATGCTAACCACCCGCTTCGACATGCCGAGCGGCCCCGTCGCATCCCGCACGCGCGCCATGTGCCGCGCCCCCAACGACATGGGCTTCGTCTCCCACCGCACCGGCACTAAGTTTCACACCGACGGCACTATGTTCCCCAAGTTCGAGGCCGTCCACGACATACGCGAGTATGAGAAGGGCAGCGGCATCGAGTGCGAGCTCACCTTCGGCCCCAACACCAACACTAATACCAACAGCAACAGCAACAACGCCAATACCTGGGTAGACGTGCGCGCCATCTGGAACAACGCCGACCACGCCAAGGTCTACCAGTTCTACATGTCCAAGATCAACCTCGGCGTGCGCCACTCGCTGTTCAAGAAGATCGAGGACATCGCCGCGCGCCCCTCGCCCCTGTCCGTGCTCGAGGCGACCGGCGGCGTCGTGGTCCCGAAGAACGAAGTCAACATCTTCGGCATCCCGCAGCCGGAGAAGGGCGAGCGCTGGTTCGGGATGAGCCGGAAGCAGCTGGACGCCGAGGAGAAGGAGAGCCGCAAAGCCTGGAAGCAGCTCGACAGAAAGTGGGACGAGTGGATCGAGGAGGTACGGCAGGCGGCGTGGGTTGAAAAGAAGAGAAAGGAGCGCAAGGCGGCGTGGAGGGAGAAGAGGGGCGAGGCGGTGGAGAAGAGGAAGAAGAGGGAGGAGAAGGAGAAGGTGGGTAAGAAGGCGGATGCTTGATTTTGCAAGCTGAGATGTCTATGACAAGAGGGCCTACGACGAGAAGGTTTGGGGACGGAAAAGGCATCAAGACAACATAAGGGGAGGAAAAGCACCCAGGCTGTTTACCATGACGGCATCTGTGGTTTATCGAGAAGGTATCGTGATGAGCCGGTGTTTAACGAAACACTGTTGGCCGATATCGAGGAACACAAACCACAGATGCCAGAAAGGAAGGGAGGGGGTGGCTGTTTAGGTACCATGACGGCATCTGTGGTTTACCGAGAAGATATCGTGATGAGCCGGTGTTTGAAACAAATACTGTTGGCCGATATCGAGGAACACAAACCACAGATGCCAGAAAGGAACGGAAAGAAGGGGAGGTGAAGGGGTTGATCGAAGGACTGATACTGTTTTCTTTTGTTTTTTCCTATGTTTTCTCTTTTCCTATCACTCCTCTTCGTTGATGGCTTCAACTGGCTGTCGGCCAGGGTTCATACATACTTGAGTCCTGTGTCGACTTTTGGTTGTTTCCATCTCCGTTGTTTTTTTTTCCTTTGTCGTTTCCTTTCTCATTCCCTGTTGCAAACTGCTGCCTTCCTCTCTGAAGGCGTTGATGGACCTCCTGTTGTCGAAGGAGGTATACGATACGACGATCAAGTCGCCTTCGCAGTTGATGTGCGAAGGGTGAAGGATGAGGATAAGATGTCTACGAAGGAGTGGAGATGTTAATGATGGAACCGACCTAATGCTTCGTGCTTGGGTCGATATAATGATGTTTTGCTTATGGCTACTACGTTGAGATACCACTGGGAGCTTTTAGTTAGCACGTTAATACTTTAGCATACCTACATACGTGCAATTAAGGCTCGATTACATACCTCACAAAACCCGTTCAAGTGAAAGACACTGACCTGACCTAGGGGTTTTCACAGCTACTGGGTGCTCTTCTTGTAGTAAACTCACATGTAGCCCTATTTCGTTAATCCTGCTAAACCTGCTGACTCCATCGTCGCCAAACTAGGCAGTCTAGCTTCCTACTTAGCTACCTTATTAAAGTCCATAGCTACCCCTATTCGCATCTCATCTTCTATTCACTCCTAAACTGCTACTGGTTTCCTAACCAACCTCCACCACCACCTCCTCCCCATCCCCATCCCCATCCCCATTCCCCACCTCCGCCTCCTCCACCCCCCCTTCCTCCGGAACCTCCACCACCACTTCCCCCTCCCCCTCCTGTCCCACCAGCACTTCCACCACCTCCCTCCCATCTCCCTCCTGACTCGCCTCCCTCACAGTAATACACACCCGTGTACTCTTCTTCCTCTTCTTCCCATGTCTCCGGCGATGCCTACCGCATGTTTCTCTGCACCGGTTCGGGATCTGCGTGCGGACCCCGTTGATGCGGCGCGGGAGGTGGAGGCGGGAGACGTCGACGTTGGAGCGGAAGGCCAGGGCCCAGTGGTCGCGGTTGGTCTGTTATTTATTTATTTATTTATTATTATTACGTATTCTTTTTTCTTTTTGGGATGTGGGGGTTTAGTTAGGCGTGTGTAGGGTTAAGTAAACTACCTGCATAGGTGAGAGAGGCTTGGGAAAGGGGCTCGGAAAAGAAGAAGAAGAAAAAAAAAAAAACCTACACAGCCCTTCCGCCTCGCAACCCCCACCACCGCGCCCTCCCAGCCCCAACCCCACTGCCCGTAGTTTCCCTGGTGAGGAAACCAGAACATATCCTGCGGCCAGCCGTACGACGTGTAGTAGACCTCTACTCCCTCGCCGTCGTCGTCGTCCTCTTCTTCTGAAGATGTGGTAGATGAGGAGGAGGAGGGGGAAGAAGAAGAAGAGGAAGGATCGTAGCTGATGTAGAAGACGCGTTGTTTGCCGAGGATGTTGCCCATTATTTGTCTGTATGTATTTCTCTCCGTGTAAGAGAGAGAGAGAGAGAGAAAGAGAGAGAGAGAGAGAGTGTGTGTGTCTGTATGGGTATGTGGGTATGTTTGTCTAGGCCATCGAGATTAAGACGCTCGCTTGATCTACTGGTGTAGGTAGGTAGGCACGCCTACGTTTATTGACTTGCTAGCTTGGGGGTATTAAGTAGTAGATTACCTAGGGTAGGTAGTAAGTAAGTATGTAGGTAAGTAGACAGCAACAACCCTCTCCTCATATACGTAACCAAAGTGATACCGCCCTGTCCCGAATTCACCCAGTGGAAGCCAAAGGTAAAATATAGATGGTCTATCCACTTCAATACCTACCTACCAGGTATCCGGTATCTCTTTCAACCAGCATAAAAAGGCGCGAGCCAGACTATTTCAGCTCCCGCCGATGAGGCTGAAGACCGGTACAGGGCCGTATTTTTGAGGCGCGCTCAGTTACATACAGAGGTATATAAGGTAGGTAGGTACATGCCTAGCACACTTACACCGACACCGACACCTAGGTATTTACACAAACACGCATACATTCAGGTACACAGACACATTTACACACTAGGTATATAATTGTATACATAGGTACACACACACACACACGCACATCACAAATCACCACCACCTCAACCCTACCACCAAAACCAACCACAGAAAATTCGCACCGCCGCAACGGGACGGGGCGGAAGTGCGGGAAGCGAGCTGGCACGTCTCACCTTTTTTTCTCTCGGAGAGTTGAATAGGGTTACCTACCTACCTACCTACTGTACCTACCTACATATGTAGTACCTACCGGCCTATACATATATGTACTGACTGACCGGCTGTTGCCGTTGCGTTACGTGGGACATGTGATGGGTAGTTGCATGTATTCATACCTACCTAGGTACTTACCCACTTGTGAGATGGTACCTAGGTATACTACAATTCAAGGCAGACGTTGTATGAAGAGTGGAAGTTGCAAACATATCACCCAGCAGGTCTGATATATCACATGATCTTATTTTGATACCTACTACCTGCCTACACCTTAGCCTGTGACCTCTTGGCTTGTTTGCTTGTTTGTTAATGTGTGTATGTGTATGTGTGCGCGTGCGTGCCAGGAAAAGGCGAGAAGAAGAGGGCCAGAGGGAGAGAGAGGCAGAGGAAAGGACAAGGGAATAATGAGATTCTTACCCCCCCTATTCACTTCCAACCTACGAAACACAGCAAAATTCAAAACACCTTCAAACTCCAGGTGCCATCTAAACACATCATTCAACACCTTAACATTCATTATCCTGTCCCCTATCCTAGCCTCTGCCTCTACCTCTGCCTCCGCCTCTGCCATCATCTCGACGCATTATCATGATTAATACACGTGTGCTTACCTAGGTCCTAGGCACCTAGGGTAAGGTAAGGTAATTCCACAAGATACTACTATAGTCAAGAAAGCCCAAAAAAAAAAAAGAAACAAAACGCCCCAAAAGCCGGTCACAGTCATTGATACATTAATAATACCCCCTCCCTCCGCCTTAATCCCTCGTATTTACCCCCTCCTTATTCATCTCTCATCCCCAGATAATTAGTTCCTCATAAGAATCCCTTCGTTAAGCTAGGCGTGCGTCCGAGCCCAATGCTGCTTTTCCTCTTGGGCACCTCGATACCCGTTCCACTCAAGCTGCTCGTTTCGTCCGCATCACCACTAGCCCCGGTACCGTTCCGCCACGCCGAGAGCCGCCTGGTCCCCCCTTCCAAGACTGGTGTGCTGAGTCGCACGCTACCATTGACACTCCCCTTTTCCATCCGCAGGTGCTTCCACCCTTCCAATTCCCGCTCTAGGCGTAACGTCCTCTCCTTCTCCTCTCTCAATTCTCGTTCCGCCCTCCGGGTCGTTAGTTGGTTGTCGCTCTCGCTAGCTTGGAGCTCGTCAATCGTCTTGAGAAGTTTGTCGACCCTGTCACGTAATCGGGTTACATCGTCGTTGAGTTGCACTGCTTGCTTGTCCTTGCGCTCTATCTGGGACTGGAGGTCTTTCATGACTCGGTCAACGTTGCGAACGGAGCGTTGCGATTGCGAATGTTGATTCTCTTGGGCTTCGAGCTGTGATTCAAGCTATGGTGGTAAGGCAATATTAGTACCACGTCTTGTGAGCCTGCGAAACAAAGAAGACTTCTGTTTCGTAGGAGATTTTGATGATGACCTGGATTGTGATGGGATGGCTTTGGGAGGTTCTAGTTCTAACTCGGATGCTGATGGGGTTGTACTAACCTCCTGAATACGTTTGTGCAAGAATTTGATGTCTTGGCTGCCGCTTGAATATCCCTTAGTCTCCAGATCGACGAGGCGCACTTGCACTTCGTTGAGGCTCTTCTCCAGAGCAGCCTTTTGTTTGGCTAGGTCTGCACTTGCTTCGCGTTCTGCTGCGATTTCTTTCTGCACTTCCGTAGCCAGAGACTCGGCCCGTCGCATCTTCTCCACTGCCGCTACGGCAATGTCTTCTTGTTGAGCGAGGCTGGATTTCAGTTCCAGAATCTCCTTGTCAGTGTTGGCCGCATTGCGCATGGCTGGGCTCTCGCTCTTGGCCAGGTCTTCAAGTCCGGCCTTGGCTTCCTTGAGCCTGGCTTCGATACCAGCCTTCTCCCGAATAAGTGCATCACGCTCAGAGGTAATGTCGTCCACCGAAGTGCGAAGGGATCGGACTTGCGAAAGCAGTGACACAACCTTGCCCTGAGCTTCGTTGTGAGCGCTGACAGCTTCGTCGCGAGAAGAAACCACGTCGGCGAGCGTGGATTCGAGCCGTGCCTTTTCCTTGGACCACGTTGTGCTATTGAGTACTTCGTCATCCCATTTGGAGCGGAGATCATCCAGCTCTTCACGTAATCGGGCGATTTCGGATTGCTTGTAGAGCTTCTCCTCCCGTGCCAGATCGAGTTCCTTGGTGAGGGTGGCAAATTCGGCCTGGTACTTTTTGCGTGTCTGCTCCATGCTCGCCTCTTTGTCCTCGAGGTCAATAGCCCTCTGGTTTCTGTAGTCCTCCAGTTCATGTTGAAGACGCTTCTTGGCTTGCAGAGCAGTTTCGAGATCTGTCGACATATCTTCCAGCTTCTCCTCGAGACGTTGGTTCTGGCGTAGCATATCCTCCATGCTTCCGTCTGATTTTTGGCGTTGAGACATGATCTCCGCGTAGGCATCCTCGGCCTCCTTGGCTTGAGACTTGGCAAACTGTTCGGCCCTCGTCGCCTTAAGAACGGCAATTTCAGCTTGCTCAAGCTTGCTGAAATATTCGTCAGCACGACTCTTGTACATCTCGAGGCTGGAAGTCACATCCTCTAGCTGGGAGGTCTCCGCATCAAGCCGAATCTGCAAGTCGGCAAACTCCTGGAGTAATTGGTTGCGACTAGACGCTTCTTGCTCTCGGGCGATCGCCATTTCCTGGAGATCCGACTTAGTGTCTCGAAGTTCCACCTCTATTCTGGCACGCTCGTGTCGCATCTTCTCGAAGTGATCCTTGACATCAGACAACTCTGCAATGGCATCGTTGTGGTTGTGTAAGAGCGTACGGCGAGAATCCTCTTGGCTATTAAGCAGATCAAGAATCTCTTCGTGCGACTTTGTCTGCAAGTCCCTCACAGAAAGCTCACCACTCCTAATCGCCTTCTCGAGCTGAGAAACCTTCTTGGTGGAATCATCGAGCATGTCATGTAAGCGGCTATTCACCTTCTCTAGCTTCTTCATCCGGCGAATTGAAGGACTTTCGTCGGGGCTCGAATCTTGAGTGGGCGTGACGCGTTCTAGCTGGCTCTGTAGGTGGCGGTTTTGCATCTGTGATATTTGAAGTTGATTTTGCAGCTCTTCCAGTTCAGTCTTCAGGTCTTGTTTGTGGTTGAAGCTGAGAATATCCGCTGTACGATCAGATCTACCAGAGTCCGGAATCACATCATTTTCGTTGCCCATTCGCTGCCGAGTAGGCGTAGAAGCTCCTGAGTAACGTCGGGAATTGAACTTGCTTCGCTTTTGCGTGGGGGAACCGTTGAAAGGGGCCTCGTTAGGGTGCATTTCTTCGAGCTTAGGTCTCGTTGGCGATTCGGATCGGTTTGCACGCATCTCAGATAATTGTGCTTCCGCATTGGCTCGCCCAGCACTCTGTACGCGGAGATTTTGTTGCAGTTCCTCAATCTTCCTAACCATATCGAAGTTCTTGCTCATGATCTTATCGTGACTTGCGTCACCCTGAGCGGGAATCGAGATTTCTGGGTCGACAGCCTTCAAAACCCGTAGCATTTGCGCTCGTAGCTCTCCCAGTTCCTGGTCTCGGGAATCGATGGTTCCTTGCATAGCTCGGATAGTAGATTGAGCCTGAGTTCGTAGTTGGCGCTCAGATTCAATCGTACGATTTGCCTCAGCAAGTTGGATCGTGTGGTTGGATGCCGCTTTCTCAGCGTTACGGGCAGACTTGACTTCACGTGCCACTTCGTGGTTGAGATCCTCCACGTTGAGTTGCAATTTTTCAACCTTCTTTTCCAAGCCTGCGATAGTCAGGGATGAATCCACGAGCTGCTTGTTGAGGTTGGCATGCTGTTCTTCCATTCTCGCCTTCTCACGCTGGAGAGTCATAATCTGTCCCCTTGAGGCTTCACTAGCCCTCGAGCTAGATCGTGCAATCTCAAGCCCCTTCTGCTGCAGCTTATTAAGTAAAGCCCGATTGTCATTTTCAGATGCCGTTAGACGACCTTTTACGGTGACCAGTTCCCGTTCCAGGCGTTCCTTGGCCTGGTCATTTTTGAGGCCATATTCGCCAGATGAGATCATGAACTTGTTGAGATCTTCTATCTCATGATTCAGCTTTTCACACTCACCCTCGAACCATCTCAGCCGCTCTTGGGTCGCATCAAGATCCTTCTGCAAACTAGCCTCTCGTTCTCGAGCAGCGCGTGTGGCATTGCGCTCACCTGCTTCTTCGGCTTCCAATCGAGCCTCCTCGGCTTGGCTTTTCGCTACTCGCAACCGCCGAATTTCTTCACGCGCCTCGTCTCGTTCCCGTTCGACCGTTGCTCGTGCTTCCATGGTCCGTCGTAGTGTGTCTTGCTGGAGATAGAGCTCTTTCTCAATTGTTATCTTTGACTCCTTGAGTCGGTCGTGCTCGTCCTGCAAAGCTTGAAATTTGTGCTCGGAAAGGAGGGCCACGTCATCTCGGGATTGACGCTCTCGGCTCAAATCCATTTGAACTTTGTATAGTTGCTCTTTCAGATCCTTGATCTGGGCCTCCAACACTTCTCGGTTCTGGTTTGCTTGAGCGTCCTCAGAGAGTCTTGCTTGAAGCAATTGTTTAGCATCTTCTGCTTCACGCTGGAGATGAGTATGTTCGGATCTCATAGCCACCATTTCAGCTTGGACCTCACGCAGTCGATCGGCCGTTTTCTCCTTTTCCGACAGTAGCGCTTTCCTTTGATCCTCGAAACCACGCTGCTCGATTTGAAACTTCTTGTTATCTGACCGAAGAATCGCAAGCTCGCTCTCCTTCTTCATCACAAGCTCTTCGTAGTCTGTCGATGTCTTCGATAATTCGGATAGTTGTTGATGCGCTTCGCGGTTTTCTTTTGTCAGGCGCTGCTCCTTTGACCTAAGAGTTTGTAGTTCTTTTTGGGTGGCAGCAAATTTTACGTCCGCATCTTGCTCGCTTCTGAGTAATTTTCCTTCAACGTCTCGTAATTTACGATCCTTCAACGATAGTTGACTTTGAAGCATCTTAACCTCATCCTCGAGAGCGTTCTCTTGTGCGCTTCGGTCTGCTTGCTTCTTAGAGATCTCCTCGATCTGCACCTCAAGGTCGGATACTCGGGAGTCAAGTGCCGACTTCTCTTCTTCGAGTCGAGCAATGAGAGCGGCGGCCTGTTCCAACTGAGCTCGATACTTGTCCACGTCGTGCTCAGCCCTCTTTTTTGCATCGAGGAGGTCATCCAGCTGAGTCTCCAGCTTCTCCTGGTCCTCAATGGCACCCTTTAGTTCTTCCTCGAGCTCGGACTCGCGAAGTTGAAGTCGTTTGAATATCTCTTCCTTGTCCAGGGCTAACGCACGCTCACTTTCAAGGATTTGCTGTGTTCGCATTAATTCCGCGTTGCAGTTTCTTCTCTCTTCCTCGAGCCGAGTGCGATTCTCTGCTTCTTGTCGCATCTTGTCGCTTAATTGCCGAATCTTCTCATCGCGTCTCTTTACCTCGATAGCCGTTCGAGTCGCACCCAATAGTGGTTTCATCTTAATAAGAAGTTGCCACCAAGGATTCTCGCAAAGATCAAGATATACATTGAAGTTCCTCTGGATGACCCGGGTTGCTTCGGTGCGGTACAGCCTTTTGAAGGCCATACGCCGTTGTATATAGCCACGAGCAACGGACTGAAATCGAGACATTATCTTGGTGATCAGGGCGTCGCGCTGCTCTTCTAATTCGGCAAGAACACCAGCTCGGAAGAACACCTTCGTGAGACCGACACGGAACAGGGACCTGTCGATACCTAGCTTATCCAGCATTAACGCCGCAGCCGCCTGCCCTTCCAGTAACCCCTTTGGTATGTCCTTGCAGAGAACTTCATATCGCTGTCGGAATTCTGCGAAAGAAAGTCGATTAGGGAAACCAGTTCGAGCGATTCTTATGCCTTCCAGTACACCATTGCATCTCAGCTGGTCAAGAACGAGTAGCGCGTTAAATTGCTTAGGGCGCTTCTTATGATTCGGAAGGATACAGCGGACGAAATGAGGGTGAGTACATTGGAGCTGCGACATAAGGCTGGACAACTGCTCCTTGTGTCTCTGTGCAACGGTGCGGAAGAGCCCCTTCTTGACTCTACTACGAGGACCGCTATTGCTGTCATCAGTATCGGCACAGTCCAAGAACAGGTTCGCGACATGCTTGTCTGTGGAGGTGGCCAATAGCCGTGTTACATTGTCGTTTAAGGGGTCTTTATTCTTTTCTAACCAACCCTCGGTGGAATATTCTACTTCGGCCGCATAATGGGTAAGAACGAATCCTTGACGAGCCCCAGGACGCGATGTTCGATATTTGGTAGATTTTTTATCCCACAATGAGTTCAGTTTCTCGGTGAATGATTTATCGGTCGCTTTTGGCATGACGCTATCTTCGTCAAGACAAGAGAATATACCAATAGGGTTCGGTAGCTCGATGAGATCGATGGTCGGCTGTAGGTCGCGGCCGAAATCGATGAACTTCCACTCAATCTGCTCTCTTGCATACTCCTCCTGCTCGAGGACAAACATGTGATGGTTGAAGAATTGCTGAAGCTTTTCATTGGTGTAGTTAATGCAGAGCTGTTCGAAACTATTTTCTTCGAAGATCTCGAAACCTGCAATATCGAGCACTCCAATAAAACGCGCGTCGTCGATGCCCATACCAGTCCGGTCAAGCTGGTGATTTATTCTTGTGACGAGATCCCCGAAACCCCGTTCGTATATACCTTTGGCCAAAGAATCGATGCCGAGTCGTACTTGTTCAGGGGTTTGAACCTTCTCCACCCACTCACGACCTGCCTTGACTTTTGGATGAAGTAGCCCTTGCAAGAAAGGCTCTAGGGGCACTCCCAAAAGCTTACAAACTCGGGCGGCAACTTCCTTTGCATCTGGGGCAAGGCGAGCCTGGTCGGCCATGCGACTTTCTTTGACAACGGTGATGTTGCCAAGGTGTAAAACAGCTGCGACGGTACGTAGAATAGCACTTTGATCCTTGTCAGAGAACTTCATCACGTCGAAGGCCTCTAGTAAAGATTCCCACTCGTCGAGATCCGAGACGCCGGATATCGTATCGTGGCCTTCTCGGGTGTAAGCAAAATCTTCCACCTCGAAATCGTCCAGCAGAAAGTCGCGTCTCATTTCCTGATTTGCGCCCTTTAAGAGCTGGTAGAACACATGGTAATTTCGCTCCTGGGGGTTGATACGGACCACTCTAGATTTCTCCAACAGGTACCAATCGATGAAGGCGCCAGCAATAGCTCCATTGCGAGTGAACTCGATACGAATGAATTTTCCGAATCGGGAAGAGTTGTTGTTTCTTACAGTTTGCGCATTACCAAAGGCTTCGAGTATAGGATTGGCCCTTAGGATTTGCTGAGAGAGTGTAGACTGCTGCCCCCTGCCCTTCACTGGAGACTCCGAATGGGCTACCGCGGCAAGGTATTGAATGACCTTCTTTGTATTCTCGGTCTTTCCTGCACCAGATTCACCCGTGACCAATATGCTCTGATTCTCCCCTTCATCCACTAGGTTTCGAAACGTCTCGTCCGCCATAGCAAAAATATGTGGCTTAGTGTCCTCTCTGCTTCGGCCCTTGTACCTATTGACGTACTCGTTCGTATATATCGGTAGAGGACAGTAGGGATTCACAGTGACCAAGAACAAGCCAGAGTAAGTGTATATTAAGTCGGCTTGATATCTCATATGAAGGTTATGAACAACGGATGCTTCGTTGAGGTGCGTTAGCTCTGCCATATCGTTTGCCTTGTCGAATTTGGCTGGGTTGACTTTATCGACGCTTTCGCTGTCCACCTCCCGTTGCTAAGCATTGAGTTAGTACCAGTAAATACAAATCCCCAAGAGAAGTAGCACTTACGGTCCCATCGTCACATTGTACTAATATACGACCCTCGCCGAGCTCCTCCACGATCCAACCTTTGACGAAGGCAGCTTGTGGGTCCTTAAGCCAAACATATCTTTTGCCAGAGAAGTCATTTTCACCCTCAATTCCTTTGACAGGGTCTAAGGACCTCCGCATTTCTTCGGTTTTGATGAAGGATGGTGCAAATGTGGTCGAGTTTGGGCCATTGCCTTTAGAGTCGACCCGGTGAGGTCGTGGGCCATTGGAGCCAACGGGAAGTAAATTAGCTGCACCTACTGATGCTTGCGATTGTGCGCGAGCATGTGATGGTGGTGTGGTACCCCTCGGTAGGAGAGAGGGTTGGGGGAGAAATATAGCTGATTTTGGTCTACCGACACCGCTCGAAACCGGCGAGGGCGAAGGTGAGATCTTCCGAGCGAAGGGATTATTTCGTTGTGACATGTTGGGCACATCCAATATCGAAGTAGACAATATGTAGAATCTTGAACTAGAGCATTAAGCTCATTGAAAGTAGGTATGTCCTGTAATCGTTGTCGGTAGCGTTATACAAGAAGAGAGGTAGTATGAATGGTGAAAATGGGTATCTCGAGGTAGGATGCCATAGAATAGGTAACACAAAGTGTGGCGTCCCAGACAAAATTAATGTTGATATGGAACACAATTAGAAATGAAACCAAAATCTTCGTTTCCGAACTTTTCTCAGAGGATTTGTTCCTTCTGCCGTACAGTTTATTTTTCTCCAAGTCGCAACGACGATGCTTCAAGAAGGTTAAATTTACTTGTTGACATCCAACGGGAAAGCCCAGCAACGGTTGTGTGGGGGGAGTAAACAGTGCTTGCCCAATGCTTATCGACTTAATTATTTTAGTGCGCCCCCACCTATGTAGATTAGTGGACCAATCCAGCTTGGGCTTCCGAATTTTAAGCAATGACCAAGTAGCTGCCAAGTTTCAACGCTTGGGCTGCCCTACCTAGTGTAATCCTGGTCAATTGAATCGGAACTAGTGTATTTCCGTCGTATGTGAGAATTGGAATTGTAACTTTGAATTGGAAAAGGTCGAGTTCAATATTCAAAAAATAATCCCTGCATGGTTTATCCTTTTTACCTACATGTAACTAGTACTCAGTACCTAGTACTGCACATATGTCATATGGTGCTTGCATCTGGTACATATGTACCTGGTAGTTACATGCTTAACACTAGCGTTCATCATTGAATGCTAGGCTGGATAGGTACCAAGGCACCTACAGTACATGCTTTAAGCTCCATACTACGGCAGTTACATCAGTTACTTAGATTCTTCGTTTTCAATCCGAAAATTCTAAGCTTTGACAACTTCATCCTCAACAACAAACACCGTTGTTGAAGAAATAATCATTTGTCAACATGGATTCTCGATCGCCTTCGCGAGAGCGTTACGTATCGCGCTCTCCCACTCCTAAATCGCGTTATTCGCCGTCACCTTCACCAGCTCGGCGACGTCGATCTCCTTCCCCTACGCCTCGTCGCAATGGTAGACTTCGTAGTGAAAGCAGAGGCCCGAGTCGCGACCTTGATGACCGTGACGATCGTGGTAGAAGCGAGAGCCCTCTTAAAGGCAGTACCAAGGTTAGTAACTCACATCCATATCTGCAAACTAATATATTCTTTCTTTAAATGGATCTCCCTTCTAACGTTATCCCGGGTTACAGATTGTCGTTGAGAAGTTAACCAAAACCATCAATGAGGATCACTTGCACGAGATATTTGGCCAGTATGGCCCTATCAAGGACCTGGAACTGCCCAAGAGCCGACCTCGTGAGTTCTATCTTTTTCTTCCCCTAGCTGACTCTCTTACATACCCGATCTAAACTCAAGGGCTAACTTTTGGCTTAAAATAGACAATACAAACCGTAGTACGGCTTATATTCTTTACGACCATGAGGCAGATGCAGAGGCGGCCATTGCTCACATGCACGAAGCCTCTGTTGACGGCGCCATCATCAACGTATCCATTGTCCTACCCCGACGCAAGTTATCCCTTCCTCCACCAACTGCAAGCCGAGGTGCAAATATCGACCCTCGCCTTCCCGCTCCTGGTTCCAGAGGTGGTGGTAGAGCTGGTGGACCCGGTTCCTCTGGCGGAAGAGGCGGTAGCTTTGGCGGGGGAAGACCACCTCGATCATCCCCGCGCCACGGACGGGCAGGTCGCGACAGCTTCGATACCTACCGGCCACGCTCCTATTCAAGATCTCCTCACCGCCGTAACCGCAGTCCTACTGGATCATACGGCTCCAGATCCCGATCTCCCCCTAGACGACGAGGTGGAAGGAAAGATAATTACGACGATTACGATGACCGACGACGTAGTCCTAGCTACGATAGCGTGCGAGGCCGCAGTCGTTCCCGTAGTCGGGGCAGAGGATATCGTTAAGCAGGGAGGATTAGGGATTAGGGCGATTGCATTTAGATGGGCGTCTGGTAGGTTATTCGGTTTAAGGCCAAAGACGATAAGTGTCTTACGTATTATTGACATCAACTATTCTCTGGCCATTGACTACTACCTACTCAGTACTAGATAGTAGGTATGGATCTTGGTGTCCGTATGTTCACCCGTCTTTTTTTTCCTTTTTTTTTTTTCTGGCTGTCTCGGATCAGCTGCTCATGGTCCTCTAGGGCAACGGAATACCGATCATAATGGTTTGTGGGCATGCGTGCCACATCTGACGACAGCCTCCACTCCGTATCATAAAAGGACGGGCCATATTGTCGCCCATCTGCTATACGTGCGTTTTAGAGTCGCTCTACCGTCTAATAACATACGAGGAATTACTTGACTTCAAGTTTGCCCTGATGCCGATGCCTACATCTCACAGTAACTAGGGAATCCTTTACGAATGAGTATCAAGGCACCTGCCAATGATATTCATAGATCTCTTCTTATACTCTAGCTCTTAAACTCTCAAGCCTCCAGGTAAAAATAAGTGCTTTATAACATGCACCATTTCTCTTGATTTATAAGAAATATCCATATATTCCGTTGTTGATCGACAAGCCTAATTTGTCATCCACGGCTGCCTAAGACTGGATTAGTGATAACTTCTTTGGTGGCATCTGCCTTGATATATATACGAACTTTCTTACGAGGCCAAACGCGGTAAATATGCCTAGTACACACAACATTACAACTATCAGCGTCACACGGTATCACCAAAGAATCATGACTTCACCAATCCATTTATCATCTCCTAGGCGGATTACTGCGTCCAACCTCCCTCTCTCAGGATCTAACGCCACAAGCTTGCATTCTGAGCCCGGTGTAGAAGTCCTCGTGGACACGCTCAAGTCCGAGCCTATATTGGGGGGTGCCTTGATAAGATCGCGGATAGCATCTCATAACAAGGTGCCCACGAGCAACGATGGACAGTGAGTCGCTCTCCTCTCTACGGTCCCAATTTTTTGACCTTACTCCGTCTTATATATAAAGGGTCAATCAAACAATGAAGGAGAAAAGAAAGCTGACATGCATTTCAGCGGCAAATTAGAACTCGATCAAGTGCCCGGGATGGGAATCGTGCGTATGTGACTTTTATATCTCCTGGGCTCATTTCAGTCCATTTGCTATGCTCTACCCCCAACTGTAGACTTACTACCGTATACATACGCAGCTGCCTACATAACCTACCTGGTACTTGGGTTAGAAGGTAACTATCTTTGGTCTGTCATGGATTGCTGACCCAAGTTTCTGTTGCAGTACCAGGAGGGCTTAACGTGTATTACTTGGACGTTGCCCCCAATACAGAAGGGGTGATGCATCGTACAACCTCTACCGATTATCTTGTGGTCATACAAGGGACTCTAAGTCTTCTAACGCCCCCCAACCCGTTCAACATCGTAGATAAGCAAGGCACCTACGGTACGCCTGCTGAGACCTTGTGCAAACCAGGTGACATCGTGCTTCAGCGCGGAATCATGCACGCGTAAGTATATTCATTTCTCAAAGCCTAGCATCTATAACAAGATAAGATGGGATTCTGATAAAGTTATAGCCTTTCGAATCGTACTAGCGAGTGGGTTCGTGTCGTCGGCATGGTGGTGGCTTCGGAACCTAATTGTGTTCCGGTGATGGGGCCGGGCCCCGCGAATCAGCTGGATACGACCGTCTTGGGTGACAGATGGCTTCAATAAGCCAATTAAAGGCCTTGGCGCTCGGCAAACCAACAGCATGGCTGCGGCTGTCGTCTATTTCTCACTCAGCTCTGGGCCTTTTGACGAGATGCCAGTACCACTAGCCATCATTCACCCCCTCTCTTCTTCTTCCCCCACGCGCTTAGCTCGGTTGACATGCGCAAACGATGCGTTGGGTTGGTGACGACAAGGGGCAATGCCAACCACGCTATTATGAGCCTCACTTTCGAGATCTCGCTCTGTGTTACCCTTTCTGTGATCATGACAGGCCAATTATGTCGCTCGAGGTCGTTCCCATCTGTACGGTAACCGAGAACCAAGCACGATGATAACCTCTTTGGACCGTTTTTCTTTTTTCGCTAAGATTCTTCACCTTCGATATAGCCTTTCACATGTTCACACCGCACACCGAGTTCGCTGTATACCTACCTACCTTCATTTTTCGAAGATTACTTGGGTTCGCACACGCTACTGAAGTATTTCAAATATAGTAATATTTTTATTATTATAATACCTGAGACGCATCTCACGAGAGTGAGAACAGTCAGACTTGAGTCACGAACCTCCCGATATGTGTGCATTTTTCGACTCTCATTGGATTTTCATTCGGATTCGCGTCACTTAGTTACGCGCTCATTACTCCTGGCCTACATAGCTCCCCAGAATATACTCTAATACGAATTAGCTTCGTGAGGTTTGCGCCGTAATTTATAGTCCATCTTTCGTCAAGTGCTCAAGAAGATGTTACTCTGTTGGAATAGACCCACGCCTGGAAACATGACCGCGATGACTTCATTGTCTACCATTCAGTCCTAAACAGTAATGTCATAGGTATAGCAAGTACCTAGATAATAAAAGCCTAGTCGCAGCTATGAAGAGAGTAAATCGAGGCGCAGATCTGAAGTTCCTGTCGCAAATTGAATCCCTAGAAGCAGTGTAGGCCCGTAGTGGGGAAAGCACTATTTGCAGCAGGTTGGTTTGCTCCCTACCTACCTAGTACCTAGTATAGCAGCTACCGTAGCCGTTTTTGGATCTCTGTAGGAATGCCTGCCCAGGTGCCCAGATGGTTTGCTTGCTCCATCTTTAGATCATGATGTGAGTCGAATCTATTGCGGTACGGCCCGTCCATCTCACTAACCCACATCCTTTTTTTGGTCCCTTCCTTTGCCTCCTTTTCCCGGGCCCCCCTATTTCTATCTACTTCAGCAGGAATAAAACTTTGCCATGCGGTCGAAAAAGAAAAAAAACTATAAAGCAAGGCCCTTGGAAGCACATCTGGATGGAGAGACCTCCTTTACTCGCTACCCTCAAACCAATTCATCAGGGCAACACTCATCACAGCAACTTTTATCTTTCCCAAAAAATTAAACTCAACCCAAAGAGGCTTCCTAACGAGTCTTGTTGCAACATCGATTCTCCAGCACGATGTCGCTTTCTACATCCAAACCCCCTTTTTCTCCCTCATGGCCAACGCCAAAACTCCCAACGGGCCATGGAGGAGGAGCTACTGGTGTATCGTCCAACATGCTTGACGATCCAGTCTCTCCAGCACCCCAACAGCATGTGAACGTGTCTGGCGAGATCACGCTCCCCTACCCACCACGTCCTCCCACCCCAGGACCGCCGCCCAGGCCACCCCCAATCCCTCCCCGCCCGCCGGTCCCAACGCCGCCACCCAGCCCAAGGAACTCGATGGCAGAATCAGAGGGGCTTCAGGACGTGATGGCCAAGCACTTCTCTGATGTTGCTGTCAGGCTTGTCCAGGTTTGGCTCGCGCTAGACGTGCCAGTCCATCCTCAGCCACCGACGACTTCTTATGGGCCTAGGTTAGTTAGCTCCTATCCATCCATCTTTCTTCTTTCTACTCCCTCCTTCAGCAGTCAACCCCCATAGCGAGCCAAAGCAGGACATTGATATAGGCCTACCCTGAAACAATGACTTCATATACCCATCACATTAAGGAACTTTTCCAATAGTGCCTATCTTATCACCCTCACTCACTTCCTTCCTACTCACCGCTGAGCCCACGCCATGCCAGTTACAGATATCCAGCTAACAGGGGTAAATGACTATTATAGCGAGCTGAATGGCAGCCGGTGCCGAGATCTGGAACTTCTGTGCTCGGATCCGGGTTCGGGTTCAGACCAGGCTTGGCCAGGACGCCGGTTCCCCGGCCTTGAGCTTCGTGGCCATGGCCTTGGATATGGCGACAACAACATCCTCATCGCGGCTTAACTCGCATTCGCATAAGCCCAAAAAGAAAAGCAAAAAATGGGGGGGGGGGGGGGGGGGAAAGGACGTCGACTTTTACTTTTACTTTTCTTTTCTCCCCCTCTCCCTTTCCCAAAACGGCTAACCCGGGAAAATAAGCTTACCTATACGATACGATACGATACGATTATGATATGAGGATTCCAATTTTTTTTCTTTTTTTTTTCTTCCTCTTCCAGATTGGGTGTAGTTATATTACGGCAGCCCCCAAATGGAAGGGGGATCCCCCACATGTCTTACCTACCTACCTACCTACCTACCTACCCTACTGTTCCTGCATTGTTGGGAGGTAACTAGTCAGAAAGGCTACTAGACGAAGAACTGGATTCCGGGAGCGTTTGCTTACCTGCCTTACATACCTTAACTTAGGGAGGGAGAAGAGAGGGGACGGATGGGATGTTTCCTTGGCATTATGGCAAAAGTGGCTGATGCGTGCACGGGTTGTACGACGCTACACACGCGACACGGCGGCTTTGCTTTTCTAGATTTGCTTTTTGTGGGAGTTTTTTTTTCTTTTCTTTTTCTGTTGGGTTGGAGAATGCTTTCAGGTGTTATGGGATAGAATTACTACATAGATTGATAGAGCTTTCTCGCGGAAGAATCACCCCCCCTTTTTCTTTTTTTTTGGGGAGGAGGGGTTACGTACCTAGAAAGGGGATGAGGGGGGTTATGAACTTTTTCTTTTCTTTTTTTGGTTCTTTTGACGATTCTGGGAGGTTTTTTGGGGGGGGATTTGTTCTCGGGTTACTTATGGCGATTGGCTTGCACATGCGGATTTGCATGGCAATGGCATTGGCCTGAGATTTCCAGGGATAGGAGACTAATGCGGAGGATATACATGATGAGAGATAGCACACTATCTTAAGGCAGGCACCTCTTCAACTCAGTTTACTTCTTTTTTACTGCCCGCGTGGGGGCTTGTCGATCTCTTTTAGCTACCTAGTTAGTTACAACGAAGAACATTGCTATACTTACCTACCTAGGTATGCAATGCTACTCTACTAGATCTGACTCCGACTTCCATTATCATCCCATAGGAGGTGCCTAGGATCAAATTTCAAGTCTTCAATGGATTCCTATCCTCGACGACTTTTACCAGAAGCAGCGATAGGATTCGGAAGGACTCCGAATCCCCAGTTGACGATCTATATATTCCTCGCCAGATATATACGGAGTCGTCCTTTCGGTTCCGGGACCGAGAGTAGGCGCGGTCGCCGATACGCCCGTAGCGTAAGCCGCGTTCATGGATACTAACCTAGGTGCTTATGATTATGATGATTATTGTTATTATTATTATTATGTCCGTCATTGTATTTCGTTCTTACTACGAGCTCGTCATTGTGGATCATTCTGAAGATATATTTACACTGGAAGCTATCAACATGAAACAACGACGAGCAAGAGCCGATTTAGGTAGCTACAGATCTGTAGGTCTGTATCAAGTAGCTATTACTATTTCTAGACTTTTCCCCGGTAGGGCTGGGAAGCTCACGTTCGACTCAATCCCGATATTCTTTTTCATCTATCCTAGGTAACACCGTCCCAGCTGCTGGTCATGGTGTAGGCAGAAACCGTTTCCCCTGCCCCCATTTGATTTCCAAGACTTTGACTAATCCGGGTAACCTAGTACACTGCTTATCCCCGATCATCATCCATTCTATAGGGTTTGTTTCATCTAATCGGTACTGTTCTTCCTGTCATGATATACCTAGCCCCAATTGCTTCTTTTCTGTGCTACCGTGGGATCAACGACCGACCACCTTTACTTACTGTGACACAAGCAACTGTCGTGCACATCAGTCAGTCCCAAGCAAGCTCTTTATTTTCCCCTTCTGTGTAGCACCCACTGCCTTTCCAAAGCCGGCACATACATGGCGGGCCTATAGGTACCTACTCCAGACCCTAGGTAGCCCTACGCGCTGATAGTACGCCGTGGACACCGTCTCTGCAATGCGCCAGTCAGAACAATGCGCATACCTACCTACCAGAAGCACGGCTTGCATGCTTCGCCCAGCGACGCATTTCCGTTAAACACGTCGTCGTTTCAGAGTTGCTCGCAGGTGGCACCCAAGCCATGTGCATGCACAGCGGCACAGGCGTGTGTGGCTGACTCCCAGCAACCTTAAGGAGAGCCATGACGGCGACCTGCGAATAGGATCTCACTTGGCGTCCCCCTTGTGCAGCGGTATGGAAGCAAGACCGCGAAAGTCGTCGCCTTGCTGTTATGTAGCTTCCAGGGTTGTTATATTAGGTCTGCGTCTGAGTAGGTACCTTAGGCACCTACCTAGGTAGTTACGTCTACTTACCTACCTAGGCAGTGCTCTGTTTCCGCATCTATTTATCTCTCTGCGAGAATGGCGAATGCCTAATCAGCAGTCATGGAACTAGAGAAGGCCGTTCTTCCTGTTAGAAATGGGCGTTATGTCTGTGGTGGCTTGGATATCCTGCCACCACCATGATGCGCATGCATGACATGCGTATGCCATGCCACTATTTTATCCCCCCTTTTAGTATCAATATCTGCGGCATGGAATAATTGGACTGGGGCGCCGTGGTTTCTAGTGTAAGTAGGTACTCGTAGATGCTCTGAAGTTTTCTGCAAAGTTATGATGAATTTTCGATGTTGGTGCAAGAAATCACGTAGGTTAGGTACCTATATCTCCGTAAATAATGTTACATGCCGTCAATATATGGCCTGGGTTATAGATTTTCGTGATTTTATATGGAAGTAAATATCATGTCGCGAGAGATCAAACTGTACATGATGTATAAAGGGTTAGATAAAACGTATTAGTTAGCCCCTCTCCCTTCTTAACGTAAAGGAGGAAGGCATCTAGTAATTGCTACTCTGCCAGAGTCCATAGCCCACGACATGCTGTGACATGGATACAATCCACAGCAATGGCAAAGCCTGTGGGCGATGTAGGTCTACTTAGGTTAATAGGACTTAACTAACCTAGGCTAGCTGTTATTGAGGTCATCAACGCAACCGTTACTACTCAAAACTACGACAAAATCACGAAGTACGTAAAAATCAAGTACCTAATTTCACAAGCCTTAACTATCTTCTACCTAATAGTAGCAGGAGGTTCAGTACCTATTGCATTGTGGTTCACGTTCAGTTCAAAGCAAGGATGAAAAAAATTTCCCATTAAGAGAAAAAAGGCCTTTTACCAAGGCCTCTAACATCCTTGTAGAACCGTGAGCACAATGCTATCGCCCATAGTAGCTTCAGCCACTCCGCGCAAACTGGAATGCCTGCAATCACGCCAGGTATCGTAGATGGTAGCAAGGAGCTACAAACGCAGAGGGGAAAGCGTAATGCGGCCAATTCATGCGTGCAGTTGATCGCCTATCGGGGGTTGTGTAGATGCCGGTTCCTAGGTTTCGGGGGTTCGATCGTAGCTCACGGAATGACGCTTCACAGATGTGTAGGGCCTTGATGATTCCGAATCGTCACTTCAAGCTTTGCCAGCAGGCATGGCTTCTGCTGCCACGGACTTCTTCATATCCTCTCCGTTCTCCATACTCTCCATCTCTTCATCCTTCTTACTCTTGTCCTTGTCCTGCTTCTCTTTCTTTTCCTCCTCCTTGTTCTAATCGTTCTTCTTGTCATCCTTATTCTCCGTGCATTTTTTATGCTGATCAGCGTTCTTCTTATTCTTCATATGCTTCTCGAAAGGCCGCTCAGATACGGGGCCCAGGAATGAGGCGTTCTCGACGGCGTAGTGTAGGTACTCCCAGATCCGCTTGGCACTTTCAGTGGCCAGTGTCTCCCCCGAGGTCGTGCCGGCTTTCATTTTCTTAGCTCGCACCGAGTCGATGATGTCGTGCTCCGCGTCACGCGCGGCGCACGCGCGCGCGTCGTTCAGCAGACCAAAGAGGCCCTCGGTCTCCCAGAAGGTGGCGTACGTGTACTGCATCACGAGCACGATCTCTTGCTAGTAGATGTCGTGGCCGTGTGGAGTCATGTGCACGCGGAGCGGTTGGGCTGGGTCGAAGAACAGGTACAGCATGAATTTTGGATTTGCTTCGTCGATGGCTGCGCCGAGCGTAACGCACTGCGCTAGAAGCTTCTTCTCTGTCTGTAGGAGCGACGCGTGAGACATCAGATGGAGTTTCTTGGACAAGGGGCTGCGAGTTGTCGCCAGCTCGATCTGGTCCTTCATTTCAATAGGGAGGTGGCGATATCCGGAAAGGGCATGTCGGGTGACCTTGATGTTGCGAATATCAATGAGAAGCTTTAGCTTCAAGATGAGGAGGCATACGAGGGAACTCAGGTCGTTGTGTTCTCCGAGAAAGGTAAGATCCTCGAGGGGGTCGGCTCCATGGACGTCGAGGAATGGCAGCAGAGTCTTATCTCCTCGTTTTTTATCATTGCCGGGGTCGGCTGTCTCCCACCACTTGATGAAGTCATAGCACTCCTGGTCAAGATCCAGGCGCAGCATGGTGCCCGGCACGAGTTCGCGAACTCCCAGGTCGTCGTCCTCGCTTAGTCGCAGCAAGTCTCGCAAATGTTCGAGGCCCTCGGTGACAGCGTCCACGGTTCCTAGCAAGAGCAAGCGCTTGGCCAGTTCGAATCGCACTAACATATAGGGCCGCGTGCTGACAATGTTGAAGAAGCGACCGACGTGTGTTGCAAAAGCGTTGGCGGGGACGTTATTGGTTTCTGTCGCATGGCGGACTTTGTGCTCTTCTTTGGCAACCACTGCGCGAACTTTCTTGAGCTTCTTACAGACTGACTTGTGCTGAGGCCTGTGAGCAGTCTGATGCTCGTGGCCGCAGTAGCTGAGCGCAAGGCATCCGGTGCAGCGACGAAGATCGGAGGTGACTAAACGCGGTGGGCATAATGGGCAACGTTGGACAAGGGGGCCGATCGGGCCCTTGTATAGGGCGATATTTGCTGGGAACGGCATTTTGAATGAAAATTTGACGATGAGAGATGGAAATGGAGAGTAGAGGTAGATATCTACCTAGGTAAGTGGTCGCGAGGAAATTTTACGATAATTTTCAGTGTTGTAAGTTGTTTAAATTGTGTTGGCAGGTGCGATGTAAACGCCTTCCTAGGTACACAACAGTTGTACCTAATTTTGAATCTAGCCCGTTGGTCCTACCTTCCATTGACCGCACCTTCCCTAGGCTGCAACTTCCATATTTTACTGATTTGAGATTATGGATGAACAGGCATGTGGACAGCGACATCCTACCCTATATTTGGTGCATGATTACTACTTAGGGTATGTACAGACTAGCTAATATACAGAATCATTAATCACCTTACTGACATTCGGTACCTGGCTAAACACCAAGCCCGGTCGGCGGGCGTAATCCGGGATCGTGACTGCCGTGTGTATTGGATTTAGTCAGCACAGACGCCCACATCCGCGTCCGTGCCCACTATTAACTTAAAAGAAACATTGAATAATAGAGGTGGGTGAGCAACAAGACGTTTTATATATCTTTTGGTATTTATTATATTACTTTCCATCACATACGTGCATACTTTCAACTATCGTAATTGACTTGGCGTCGCTTGTGTCATTGTAGTCCTTGTCCGTCGCAATCAACTATTGGACAGTCTGGATCTGATATTATGTCCTCTTTACCTTCTATGATTGCTATTTGTTGTAATTATTTCAACTTATCTCAACAGTGTTTGCGTTTTCACGTATCCTAATATCTACCCCTTAACGACGAGTGCAAATAACTGGCATATATTCTCCCTAGGTATTTCAAAAAGGCATGCAATTCTCAAATAGGGCACTCTTGTCACCTACAGGCTCGGGATGAATTATTGCATCTTCAACTCAAGATGGTCTACTCTAAGTGCTTGTGTATAAGTAGAGCTTCGTAGGAACTTCCGACAGGATAGGCGACCAGAGCTGTAAAGGAAACATTTTCTTGGTAGGTATAACGCGAGAATCGGCGAGCCTATCATACACATCGATGCTGTGCCTAATCCGTCCACGTGCCTTTCCATTCTCTCTATCTACAGCCACATCAATCTATAATTGAGGCCATAACCGCCTGGGCAGCTGAAAACCTTCTGGCCTAGGTTGGATTATGGACCTGCAAGTATACGAGCAAGTATACGAACACACCCTCATCCCAAAGCTCTATTGATCGAAATCGCCCCCTGCATACGTAGATAGGTAGGTAGGTAGGTAGGTAAGCTTTGGGTAATCAGGCCGGAGTTTTCAGTCTAGGTCATTGTATTATCGTGCTCGCCTCTTGGAGAAATACCGTCGGGCATTGGAACAATAATATTTCGTCAAAAATCCGACACTCCGATAATTATCGTGGGATGTAAGATAAACTCGTGGGATCTCGTGGGAGAGCTGAAATGCGACTCGTGCCTACCTGCACTACTTACACTACGTCTTGTGAGCTTATAGGTGCATGATGTCGTTGGCCATTAGATTGCAACTGTATGCGGCGCTAAGGCAGCCACTATTTACCATAGTAGGGAGTCTACTAGGGACCTACCAAGATAGGTAGTTGAATGTACCTTCTCACTTCTCACCTGGCACCACAGTTTAAGCTCTGATCTAGTGGCGTATATGAGCCGCGTGGGTCAATAATTTAGAACAAGCTTCAATACTAACCTTTTCAGTCTTTTTGAACCTCTAGGTACCTAGTGCTAGCCTAGGGTCAATCGATCAATACCTTCCCGCCCGCCCCTATTCACTTGTCAAATCTTGCGGCTGAACACTAGATGGACGTCATCACTCATCCCAAGGGGTTTTCTATCAACATTAACATTCATATTATGTTCAATGATAAGCCGACTGATCGAACACCTATCTGGTACAATGCCTACATTCGTTCCAGACCTGATAGGTCTGAGAATGAGGTAGTAGGGATCGATTTGGATCGAATCGAAATGAACAGTTGATTTTCATTATTTTCGACAGCAAAAATTGGGAATTTCAATTTCCATGCCTATTTACCTTACCCAGGCACATTCCTATCAGCGACAGGCCTCATCAATTTCTGACTTCTCCAGGATCTCTTATTATTGTAGTACTATCTCAAGCTTTGACGCCGCTCAGACGCCACTAAACCTATTCAAGTGTGTATGGCTTTTAGGCGCGGGTTGGTGATCCCTAATGTCACCATGTCACCCAACATCTGCTTGCTTTCTTAGGCTAGATGAGGAACCGACCGACCAACCCCTGACGCCCCCACCATAGACTTCCCCCCTTGCAATCCATAGGTAGGTAGGTACTTGGTGTGTACAAAGCATCTTGAGTGGGATATGTATTGTACAATGCTTACATCTAGCATTGATGTAGTAGGGTTACTGGGAAACCGTCGAGCAAGCGGCCCTGAGTCTAGAAGCTTAGAGACACTCAAAAATATTTGGTAGGTACGAGGTACAACGAAAGGGCCAGAACCATGGGTAGCTCTATCTCGCACATGCTTCTCGTTCCTATTTTCTTATCAACCAGTATCCTATACAGTTGGATTCGAGAATATACATAGTTGTGACGTTGGCCAGACTCTAGAAACGAAGCTACCGTACATCGGCTTGTCCTCAAAATATCCCTTCTTAGCTGCTTCATCGTTCTGTTCTTTCTATGGCACTCCGGTCTTTCTCGCTGTCGTTGTATCTTGTCTGATTGCATTTCAAGTCATTCTCTTGCTAGCACCAGACACCAGACGTGCACTGTCACATAATTTAGATATCCGGTATGATGGATCAACACCAAGCAGGTAGTTCTTCCGCCCAACCGACAGCTCTACATCCGCCCGCTCAACCACGCACCTCCAGCACGGGCAGAAGTGATGAGAGGGTAGACTCTCAATCTCCTACACGGAGAGTAGGTTCCACAGACCCCTTCACATCCCCCCAAAATTCACGGCCATCCTCTAGCTATGGCAGCTCCGATAGTCGTGTACGAATCACCGGGTCGCAATACTTCCGCTCGAGAAGGGTGAAGAAAGGGGAGCTAGAGAAACCTTGGCTAGACAAAAAAGACCCCAAGGAGAAGTGGGTGACCATCATCCCGATCCTAGGCATAATTGTTGGGTTGGGAATCTCTGGCTTTTTGGTTTGGGATGGGTTGCGAAGTGTCGTGAAGCATAAGTACTGCTTGGTACTTGCGGACGACTTCACGAGCTTTGATGATGCCGTCTGGACCAAGGAAGTCCAGGTCGGTGGCTTTGGGTGAGTTGGAATGAGGAGAATTATCCATTGCTTCTCCATCCAGGCTAATGATTACGTCTACGTAGCAATGGCGAGTTCGAGCAAACTACGGGGGATGACGAGAATGTCTATGTCCATAATGGACACCTCTTTATCAAGCCTACGATTCAAGATTCACGGCTAGTTAATAACGACGCCTTGATCGACCTCCTGAAGGATGGGACCTGCACCTCGACTAACCCGTCCGACTGCATAGCTGCCACCAATACTACTGTTGGGAATTCCACCATCGTGCCCCCTACCAAATCTGGCCGAATTCACACCAAGAAAGGAGCAACTATCAAGTACGGTCGCGTGGAAGTGACGGCCAAACTTCCACAGGGAGATTGGCTCTGGCCAGCCATTTGGATGATGCCCGTGCAGGATACATACGGAGCTTGGCCAGCCAGCGGCGAAATTGACATCATGGAAAGCCGAGGTAACAATTGGACGTACGGCCAAGGCGGTAACAACATCATCTCATCAGCTCTGCACTGGGGCCCCGATCTGATCAACGACGCCTGGTGGAGGACCAACGTGAAGCGCGAATCTTTACATACAACGTATTCCGCCGGCTTCAACACCTTTGGCCTTGAATGGTCCCAGAAATATCTCTTTACCTACGTTAACTCTCGGCTACTCCAAGTCCTCTACACCAACTTCGACGAGAGTCTTTGGCACCGTGGAAACTTCCCCGAAGCCACCAGCAACGGCACCCGCTTCGTAGACACGTGGTCGCAGACGGGTCGCTTGAATACCCCCTTCGATCAGGAATTCTACCTCATCTTGAATGTTGCCGTTGGCGGTACCAACGGCTGGTTCGAAGACTCACAGAGTGGGAAACCTTGGATCGATAACAGCCCCAACGCTAAAAAAGACTTTTGGAACTCGCGAGACTCATGGCTGCCAACGTGGACCAGCCCGGCTTTGGAGGTTAGTAAGGTTAATATGTGGCAGCAGTGCGATGGTGACGAGGAGTTGTGAGGAGGGGAAGAGATGAAAAAAAGGAGGCTTTCCTACATAATCAAGCGAGTAAGCAAATAAAGATAGGTGGCGATTGAAATGATATTTGGGTATAGCGGTATTTCTCTATGAGCTTAGATACCTACATAGAAACTTCTTCGGGGTAGGTGGGCTTCGAGGTCATTGAGGGGTGATGATAATATTATTATGTACAGCGTTAGGGGGTTTACAGGGGTATTTCTCTACAAAAAAAAAATACATCAGGTAGCCAGGTTGGCTATGAGTTGTGGTGTTTTAATAGTACTTAATGACGATCTCTTGAGTTAAAAAAGGTACATAGGTGTCGATTACCAGAATACTGAATACTACATGCAGCATGCACCCTGCCAACTGGAGACAGCGATCCCTGACCTTCCACGTTGCCGTGTCTCAGATGCGAGTACCCGTGCCTGTCTAGAACATGCAGCCGTGGCTTGGGGCTTGGGGCTTCACTTAACGGTTTTTTCTTTTTTGGTTTCCTTGTTGTAGAAATGCACATATTTTTATTATATCTAGATGCAAATATCTCTAGGGCTGTTTACTCGGCAGCAGACCCCATCACAAGAAGAATGTATTATGTCAGTGGAAAGAACTATACATACATGTGGTTGAAGCACCGAGCCTTACCTACCTAGTAAGGATGGCCACTCGGGTTCTAGATACCTCGTACATAGCTGTTCTCTAGCCTGAGATAGTTCAAGCCAGCCCCGAGATTATTTAGATTTCCACATTGGTAGCTTATGTTAGCTAGTTCGGCCCTATATCCAGCTCTTGTACGCCGCACCGCACACTACCTACATGTAGCTAACACACAACAAGACAACGCGGGATATGTGTTCCTCGGGATCGAAGTACTGTAGAAGTACCTGTATCTATCTGTTCGAATATGCAAGAACCTACTAACTAGGTAACTTAGCATATGGTAGCAATGTGAGGTCAGCATTAACACTAGGTACCTAGTATGTAGTATAGCATGGGGATAGCGAGCGAGCAAGCTGTAGAGTTCACCTTAGTAGATTTGGCAGCTCGCGATTACATGTATGAATGAACCAAGCTTCAACTTAAACGCCACGTGCTGTACTTGTACATGTGTAAGTATGGCAGGCTACGTAGTCTTGCACATGTAGCAGCTCAGATTTGACAGTTCAAGCCATGTAGCCACTTTGGCTTCCAGACGCAATCGACGACATAACATATGTATTGAATGTTAGTTGTTAGCATACATACATAATATCGGCTCGCCTATATGTACGCGAGTGGGTATTGTACCTACCTACATAAGATACTTACACGTAGGTATTTGCCAAGTACCTACTACCTACCTGTCGTTTATTTGGCATGCAAACTACCAGGTAGCTCGGAGACGAACCGGATCTACTTAATAAGCAAACATCACCCCCCTCTCTTGCATAGAAGATAGAAAGAAAAAAAAAGGTAAGAAAGAAAACAAAATGCAGGAGGAATACGAGAAAGACGACAGTTGCCTGAATAGGAAGGTTTGGGGGTTTCTGTGTTTTCATTGGATCCCGATACGCGTGGTACAAGTACAGCATCGTAGCTGGCTGCTGCTGCAGGCGTGCAGATGCAGAAAGATAATCTACTACCCTGGCTACCATGTACATACACTGCTGGGTAGATAGATATTTCACATTTTCGCCATCGTCGAAGTTCGCAAAGAACCATTGGAACGGCGTTTCTGGTTACGATGTGTGCTGCGGGGTACGAGGTGCAGACAGCCCTGGAGGTTATGGATATGTAGGCATGTAGTGTATGGATGAATGTATGTATGTATGTAGGGGAGAAGAGAGACATGCATGAGAGCTACATAGCAGCTGGGGTTGCTTTTCGGTCGGATAAATGAGATTGATAGGTATCTCATGCCCCAGATGTTCGGGCTACACGTGCAGCGGCGCCAGGATCTGGACATCGAGCCCGACTCGGCATTGATATATTGTTTCTTATGTATGGCGTTTGTTATACATACATACATACCATAGACCATAGTATGTTCGGCTATGTCTACTACGTATGCTATCAAGTAGGTACCTAGTAGGTAAGTAATGATAGTAAAATCCCACTATCATTCCCTTCTTAATCTAAACATCCATCCATTAATAGATGATACACAGTAGTAGCTACAGCAACACGATGCTAGCCTTGGAGAATTGAGTGGTTGGTTTACTTACCTACCGATTTCCTGCCAAGACGCTGTCAATACCACCCCCTTGATAGATACCAAGTAGGTGACGATGTTCCTTCCTGCTCAAGTGGTCGATGGATTTTTGACAGGCCAGGGGTGTATCATGTATGTGCCTATTGATTGAGTACCTACCTACCTACCTACCTACCGTGACCAATGCGGCCAGGCCCTTATCGTCTACCATGCCGCGACTGCTACACTGACAACTGACGCTCTTTCGCCCCCCAACCCGGAACCCCTGTTATACATATCTCGTCTCGACTTGCTGCTAACCCGAAGGCTGGAAGATAATACGGCTGGCCTAGGTATGTGGTTTTCTCGTCTAGATAGGTATTCCCGGCCATGACCGAACCGATCCAATACTGGGTGGAGTTACAGCAGGTGGCTGCATTCAACACTGTTCTCGACTCGGTGCTGAAAACTCATTGATCCCATGCCTTGCTCATCCTTCAGAATCCGTTACCTATCTATCTTCAGGTCCTTCTATGAACGAACGCCCCCTCGCTACCTAGTATGTTTAAGACCCTCACTCATATCTACATTCGTTCCAAAGTCCCGTCCCTCGTTTAAATATTGAAACTCGAACGACTTGTGTGGCTTGTCGACTAGACCGAAGTTCTTTTTTAACTCGTGAAATTCATACCGAGCTATTATTATCAAGCCACATGAACTTTCTATCCATGCTAAATAGATACCTAGAGAAGGACTTGTTCTGAAGTAAGCTTGAGCTATCGTAAACCTAGACGCTCAGTCAGTTGCATACTATATGGTGGAAGACGCTATGTCGATCTAGTCCGAGCATTGTCTCTTTTACATTTGTCCGTCGTCTGTGTTACTTTTGCTTCCCGGTCCGTCTGTGAGTATATTTCTTCCTGCTCCTCCTGCTCTGCCACTTGGCTTTTCGAAACCCTGGTATCTAACCCTAGTGCCAGACGATTTGTTTTGGTCATCGTGGGGCTTGACTACTATCGAAACCCTTCCAGCCATTTTTATATCCCACGCAGGATTATACTTTCAGTGGCCGCTCTCATTTCTCACTTGACACTCTTGGAGGCTTAGGTGATTCATCCAAGGGAAACGATCTTACCCTTATTGAAAGGTCGACTCTATCCCTTCTTTTCTTTCACAAGAGGCTGTTACATACACCTTATTCTAGCGTTGCTGTCAAATCCTGGAAGTGGTGTTGAATACTCTGTCGGTAGCAAAAGTATCTAGCACGAGCCTTTGCTGTCTCTGATGCTCTAACACGCTGGGAAATCTCTTTCTCATCTCATGACTACCTGTCGTCCCTGCCCAATCGTGAGTCAGCTTCCTGCCTTGTGAGGATTCTGATAGTCTCTGTCCAACTCTCTCGCTCCCATACACACACCTCGTCGTCGGCTGTCCTTCCAGTTAACCTATCACCTCAGAACTTGCCCATAGCGGAACTCACCAAACGCACACAACACCATGGGCCTATACAGCTACTTCCGGGCCGAGAAGCCCAGGAACACCGCCCTTTCTCCCAGCAACACCATAATGAGGGCCCTCCCACCACCACCACTCTCCCCGGTTCACCACGGCGGACTGTTCGAGGGATCCCTGCCAGTCCCGATAGACCTGGCAGACTTCGGCCTGCAGATCCCGCCGTCGAGCTTCGGGTCGTCGCGGCACTCGATATCGGGGCGCTCGACCAACAGCTCCGTCTTCCTCGACGACATCAAGCACGAGGTCATGGTTAACTACCTGTACCAGCAGCAGTGCGCGCACCTCTGGGTCAGCGACGGCAGCGGCGATGTCGAGGGCGTGCTGCTGCGCAAGACGAGGGGCGCGTACATGGCGTGCCCACCTACGCTGTTGGATTCTCCGTTCGCGATGTCGTGTACCGCTCTTAATGTCCAGGTACTGTCTCGTCATCTCAGGCCCCGTAGCCTGGCTACTTTCGCTAACGATTTACACAGTGTGCCATGACCGTGAATTCCAGAGTGATCAAGACCTTCCTGTCCTGGTCCCCAGATGCCGTGGACGTGCCGTTGATGAACGGCCTCCGCATCCAGATCCTGCCGACGATGGACGATCTCGCCAGGGCGCGGAAGCACCAGTTCGCCGCCTTCGTGGCGTCGGAGGCCCTGCTGGTCGTCTGGGACGACGACGCGCTGCATCTCGTCCAGCGCGCCAAGGCCATCGAGTCGGAGCTCATGGAGCTCGTCTGGCAGACCGGCGAGATCGGCGAGGAGGAAGGCGAAAAAACCCCCCGCATATTCACGGGCGGCGAGATCGAGATCGACGAGGAGAGCGGCCAGATCAAGCCGGAAAAGCGGCCGGTCCATCTGCTGAACACCTACCTCGTCTCCTTCGTCCTCGTCATCGTTACCACGTCCCTGGGCGCGGCGTGGAGACAGCTGGCGATCGAGGTGTCTGTCGACGGCAGCTATGTGCGACTAGCCCTCATAGGACTCTTCCCCATCCAAGTTTTCTTCTCCCTCTTCTTCGCGCAGGTCCTCGTCGGGTGTCTCGCCCAGATATTCGGCCCCATTCGCCAGCTTACCATCAATTCTAAATTCTACTCTGCGCGTCCGCCGCCCCGGTTACGGACACCAACTTTACCTCACATTGTAAGTCTTTACTCCTCCATATCAGCTCGACGGCATCACCCTTACCCCGCAAAGGAGTCTTATACCAACCATCTGATTTTTTTAACATTAAAATAGACAGTACAATGCCCCGTCTACAAAGAAGGCCTCGCCGCCGTCATCCTACCCACCGTCCGCTCCGTGAAACAAGCCATCAGCACGTACGAGCTGCAAGGGGGCTCCGCCAACCTCTTCATCAACGACGACGGGCTGCAGCTGATCCCGGAGGAGGAGCGGCAGGCGCGCATCAGCTTCTACGCGGACCACAGCATCGGCTGGGTCGCGCGGCCGCGCCACGGCGAGCACGGCTTCCTGCGCCGGGGCAAGTTCAAGAAGGCCTCCAACATGAACTTCGCCCTCATGATCTCCTGCAAGGTCGAGGACAAACTGGCGCTGTACGACCGCGGCCTCGGCTGGTCGCAGACCGACGAGGCGTTGGCGTACGAGAAGGCGCTCAAGGAGGTGCTGCAGGAGGACGGGCGCGCGTGGGCGGACGGGAACATCAGAGTGGGTGATTATATACTGCTGGTCGACTCGGACACGAGGGTGCCGTCGGACTGCCTGCTAGATGCCGTGTCGGAGATGGAGCAGTCGCCGGACGTGGGGATCATGCAGTTCAGCTCGGGCGTGATGCAGGTCGTGCACACGTACTTCGAGAACGGCATCACCTTCTTCACGGACCTCATCTACAGCGCGATCCGCTACACGGTGTCCAACGGCGACGTCGCGCCCTTCGTCGGCCACAACGCGATACTGCGCTGGAGCGCGATCCAGCAGGTCTCGTACGAGGACGAGGACGGGTACGAGAAGTTCTGGTCCGAGTCCCACGTCTCCGAGGACTTCGACATGTCGCTCCGGCTGCAGTGCAACGGCTACATCATCCGGCTGGCCGCGTGGGCCGGCGAGGGGTTCAAGGAGGGCGTGTCGCTGACGGTGTACGACGAGCTGGCGCGGTGGGAGAAGTACGCGTACGGGTGCAACGAGCTGCTGTTCCACCCGATCCGCAAGTGGCTGTGGCGGGGGCCCTTCACCCCGCTGTTCCGCCGCTTCCTGTTCTCCAACATCCGCCTCACGTCCAAGGTGACCATCATCTCGTACATCGGGACGTACTACGCGATCGGCGCGGCGTGGATCATGACGTCGGTCAACTACTTCATCATGGGCTGGTTTAACGGTTACTTGGACAAGTACTACATCGACTCCTGGCAGGTCTGGTTCTCCATCATCATCGTCTTCAACGGGCTCGGCAACGTCGCGCTCGCCGTCATGCGCTACCGCGTCGGCGAGCGCACGCTCGGCTACGCCGTCTACGAGAACTTCAAGTGGACGTTCCTGCTAGCCATTTTCCTAGGCGGCCTCTCCCTGCACGTCAGCCAGGCGCTGCTCGCGCACATGTTCGAGATCGACATGACCTGGGGCGCCACCTCCAAGGAGGCCGAATTTTCCAACTTCTTCATCGAGGTCCCCAAGGTGCTCAAGAAGTTCAAGTACTCCATGGCGTTCTCGCTGCTGTTCCTCGTCGGCATGATCATCGTGGCGGTTGCGCCGTTTGTCCCGCATAACTGGCGCATCACGGACTTCGTCGCCATCTTGCCCATGGCTACGGTCGCGAGCAGTCATTTTCTGTTACCGCTCGCGCTGAACCCGGCGCTCATGACGTTTTCGTGGTGATCAAGCCTAAGCCCAAGCCTAAGCCCAAGCCTAAGCTTAAGCCAAAGCCAAGGCATAGTTATATTATAATATTATATCGCGGCTATTAATAAGCCCCAAAAATATTTCGTCGTGGCTATCGCGGCAAAGACCTCTCTGCCGTACACGCACGCCCTCCTCCTCCTCCTCCTCCTCCTCCTCCTCCTCCCACAAATCCCACAATTCTTCACGTTGCTCCTAAAAACTTACATTGAACTATTTTCCCTCCAATTCCGAATATACCCTCACCGCAACTTGACTGTATTCTGGGAAGATGGATGCATAGTATGTACGCGTGTACAGGGGTAAAACAAAAAAAAAACAATCATTGTCCGGTCTGATCTGATAGCTACAGTAATAAGAGCGACGACGACTCGACTCCTTAATGGAAATTTTGTGGTCCATAGATTTTCGTGCCATTTGGTCCGGCATCGTCAATGGTGGGATAACTACAGGTGAGCAAGGACCGACCACAGCAACAGCTGTGGAAGTACATAGATAGTACGCGTCTCTCCGGCCGAAGGCGAAGGGGGGGCGTCGTGGACAAGCCTACTATGTAACAAAAAAAAAGCTGTACGTATGTACTACGTACTACAAAATGGATACTCATGTTAGAATTTTGTGGGTGTCGGGTGGATGATGGGATATCTAGTGTATACTATGGACCTGGATATTTATTAGGTAAAGTAGTAACTAACTAACCTACTATGTAAAGAGAAGGCTTAGAAGCACGTACTGTACATAGCCCATATACCGTCTTAGCCGTAGGATAGAGATTAGGGACCATATAATTATTCTTGGAATAATAATAAAATCTAATGTTACCTACTAGGTTAGGTATGTAGCTTTGCTGTGTAGTTAATTACTGGAACAATCGGCTTGTCTGTTCGGCGATGTGTCTGGATGAAGTTACTTGTGCCAAACTGCCAATAACTACACTGGAGACTGAGTAATTTTGTGAAGTAATGTACAATACATGTACCTAACTAACCTTAGCATACTTGCTGATCAGGATTATCAGCACCATTTTGGACTTTGATAGGATATGTATGTATTATTTTTGAGATTTGATAGACAATCCCCATTCTATATACAGCAAAGAACTTCGTACAACGAATGTTATACATAGTAAGTAAGTAATAACTACCTACATAGGTAGATATCGCATCCTTGTGTTGCTCTGTAAATCGGAGTCCCATACACCAAACGGATGCTTTGCTTTGCTTACCTACATAGCAATCACAGGTACACACTTTCGGATGAACTTGGGAATACACTCACAGTGACAAGACATGATCATTTGATGTTGTTCAATGCAATCATGTCAACTGAAACATTCAATGTTTGCATGGTTATTGTCATCAATGAAACGCCCAGGCTTTCTTGCTTGGTACAATACAATACATACGTAGACTGCCGGGTATGTCGTAGACTCATAGTACCCAGCACATTAATACCAAGCCTTTTACAGCGTCGTATTATTATGTTACTCTCGGCTTGCATCATCTCTGTCAGAAGTTACTTACCTATCTAGATAATACTAGTCTGGGGTAAGTACAGATCTTTGAAGGATGTAGGACCATTGTAGGTATGTACTTGGAGTATAAAAGATAGGTATCGATCACAAGTTCTAACATTACTATAATGTTTATGATATTTGGCTATGAACAATGAGGTTAATGAATAACAAGTCTAGCGACAAGACCACGGAGATGACGAAAATAGTACACCTACTATTTAGTAGTAAGAAAAAGAAGAAGAAAAAAAAGGATACACTAAGAAAAGCCATGACGAACGGTGCAGGTCAAGTTAAATTACCTTATCATAAAAATACATGTTGATTGTTGAAGGCGTACATGATTACCGCTTGATTCGGTAACTTCCAAGTAGGGTTTCGGATTGCACAAGTGTAAAAGTGCACTAAACAGTTCTAAACAGTTCTAAACCTGCACTTTTCAAATCAGTGTAGCACTTTTCGGGCCGGAAATATTCCGGACCCATATATTTAGGATTTGGGACCCATATTTAAGATATGAATTCAGTTAATTCCTGATAAATATCTTGGTTGAATATACCAAATTTGAGTTTTTGCTTTTTTGTAGCCGTAATATTATTTCAAGTTTGAGCCTTTTCGCGTGTCTTTAAGAGGCATATCGTGATAGTCACAAATTCGTAATATCGTAGCGACAGCAAGCTCGATATTATATTCCCTAAACATTATGGATTAAAGCTTAAGTGTAAGTTATTGTGGTGATAGTAACGGTAGTATACTAGTGATGTTTTGGGAAAAGTGGGGAAAAGTGTAAAGTGTAAAGTGCTGTTTTAAACAGCACTTTACACTATTCAGCACTTTTCCGAAAAGTGCTACACTTTAGAAACCCTACTTCCAAGCCTATACAGTACTTAATTGTCGATCAACTAAGCTGGAACCAGTAACGCGTCGAACTTCGGATCGACAAACTAACCCTGACCCCTTGTTTGTCTTCCCTGAATCCAAGATATTGGAAGCTAGCTAAGCGGCCGGCGGGAAGCCCCTTTTCCCCTGACACTATGAACCAACCAATGACCAATCACCTTATCCTCTTATCACCTTCGGGAAGTGGACAAGCCAAAACAGGGCCGCTGGATGGTTGAACAAGAGAGAGGGGGCTGCTTTAATGGAAAATTCATTCATTCATTCATTCATCCATCTACCTATCCATTCACACCTGGGCACTGATTCGGCAAATCAAACCTCAAATCACTCCTTTATGCTCTGACCGGCATCCTAATCGGCATCCTAACCCACGCTCCCTTCATCTTCGTGTGTGCGCACCAAGACTTTTGCGAAAGAAAAAAAAAAGATAAACTCTTACGATCCTTACTAACTCGGGTATCTACATTGTAATCTACGGCCTCACGGCTTTCAACGTATCCCTACCTATTAACTACTTCTTATACCAAACCTTTCTCTTACTATCTTTAACAAATATCTACAACTTACCTAACTATCTCGAATTAGACTAAGGGTCACCACGTTCCTTACTTGGATTTACCTATCTATCTGCCAAGTTACATCTGATCTAGAACTGCTGTTGATCACTGCTCTAAAACAGATCCTTCCACTCTCTATTAAAATTAGACTCACAGTCGGGGATTATGTTGTTGTCAAGATAAATCTTGAAAAATAAAAAAAAACGAACTCGTCAAGAAGACTCGTTATATTGGCACTAGTCCAACCCACGCTCTTTGTGCGCCGTACTGTCTTCGAGCAAGGCAGTCGGCTCAACTCGGTACCTACTGTACCTACCTAAAACTGATCTTGAATCAGAAATCACATACACCCCCCCTATATTACACATCATTCCTCGGGCCTCCATCATCACCATGCCGTCCCGATCCTTCAAGACGCTAGCGGCTGCGCTGCTTTCGTCCAGCGTCATATATCCCGTCGTGGCCCAGCTCGCCACGCAGTGCAACCCGCTCAACACGACCTGCCCGCCAGACCCGGCGCTGTCCACGTCGCATACATTCTACTTCAACGCCACGCCGCCCGCGGGCACATTCAACACGACCGCCGGCACCGTCGACTACTCGTTCGACAAGGGCGCGGCGTTCACGATCGACAAGAAGGGCGTGTCGCCGACGCTGATCTCGAACTTCTACTTCTTCTTCGGCCGGACCGAGGTGCACCTGAAAGCCGCCCCGGGCACCGGCGTGATCAGCTCGATCGTCTGGTCCTCCGACGTCCTCGACGAGGTCGACTGGGAGTTCAAGGGCGGCAACACCACGCACACCTTCACCAACTACTTCGGCAAGGGGGAGCCCGACTTCAGGAACGCGGGCGACCACGCGGTCAACGGCGGCGTGCAGGCCGACTACCACAACTACACGTCGACGTGGACAAAGGAGAAGCTCGAGTGGTACCTCGACGGCGAGCTCATCCGCACCCTGCTGCCCCAGGACGCCAACAACACGCACTTCTACCCGCAGACCCCCATGAAGCTCAGCCTCGGCATCTGGGCCGGCGGCGACCCGGACATGCCCAAGGGCACCATCGAGTGGGCCGGCGGCCAGACCGACTACGCCGAGCCGTACACCATGTACGTCAAGAGCGCCGCCGTCGAGGACTACTCCACCGGCACCGAGTACTCGTACAGCGACCACTCCGGTTCGTGGGAGAGCATCAAGATCGCTACGTAAGTTACCACACCTTCCCCCCCCCCTTCTCCCCCCGCACAAATAACCCAAACTAACCAAACCCTTCCCAGCGGCGGCAACTCCACCGCCTTCCAAAACATCAACAAAGAGCCGGAGAAATCGCTCTCGCAGAAGTGGGCCGAGCTCCCCTCGTCGACCAAGTCAGGCGTGTACGCCGGCGCCGGCGGCGTCGGCGCGATCCTGTTCGCCGCGCTGGCCTGGTACTACATGCGGCAGCGGCGCAGCGGGCAGCGGGAGGCGGCCGCGCTGGCCGCGCGCCAGGAGCAGGAGCGCATGGAGATGGAGGGGTTCAAGCGCGCCGGCGGCGACCCGGACGCGCTGCGCTTCGACGGCACGGAGTACAAGGGGGGCAGCGCGGGGGCGTACGCCGGGGGTTACGGCGGCGCGGAGAGGGGGGACTCGCCGCCGGGGAGCTCGATGGGCGCGCAGCCGGAGAAGGGCTGGGATCCGACGGGGTCCGGCAATCAGGGGCCGGGGGCGAGCATGCCGCTTTTGAGAGACGATCCGAATACGAGCGCGATGTCCGGGGCGAGGCGGTAGTTGAGGAGTAGGTGTGGTGTGGTGTGGTGTGGTGTGGTGTGGTGGTAGGCTTGCGATGGATTATGGAAATGAAGGGTTAGCTTTTTTCGATCTTCACCGACCCCTGCCCCCCTTTTTTCCCTCAGGGGCTAGCTGGAGCAATAAGGTGGTGGAGAAGCAGAGAGGAAGATAGAGATGGAGGGGTGGGAAGAAGAGAGGAAGGGAGGTGGAGGTAGAGGTAGAGGTAGCGAGATGATATAGAGAGATTTGGCCGATACAGTTTTTAACTGAACTATACCTAATGCTTGGTTTCTAGAATCAATCGGGGGATACCTAACTATATACAAAGAGATGGGTGGGAAGCGGAGGGAAGGGTACCTATGAAGAGAGGGGGAGGAAGGAGGAAGGAGAGGAGTGAAGGGCGAAGATTAACTCGTTCCATTGTCGTCTGGCTACGATGGGTGAGGGATGGGGTTCGTGAAGTTTCATGTAATTTTTTTATTTTTATTTCCATAAATGGCCTCCAAAAAAGAGAAAGCTAGATGTGTCCCTACCTAGGTATCTACTTGGGTGGTCTGGGTTGGGTTGGGTGTGTTCTCCCTAGCAGCGATTGTATTTGCTCGGCATAATATACTATATATGTACATCTTCCTGTCTTTCTAGGTGCCTGCCTTCTAGGTACCTTCTATATAAAGGAAATCCGTTCCTGGACTTCCCCCGAAAAGGGGTATTACATAATCACCGTAACAACCATTTCACATCATATCAAAACTTAGTCAGGTATAGGTTGTATGAGTCGGACGATTGAATTATCCTGTATGCTATGCTATATATGTCCACGAAGTTGTAGTGTGTCGCTTTCAGGTAATAATAAAAAAGTCTTCGGTTTTCCTTTGCTGGCCCTTCTTAAAATCCCCTTGTCCCGTTGTACCCAAACCGCCTCTTTCGTATCTGGTCACCCCCTTACTTAACCCAGTACCCTACTAAACCTTTCGGCAAGCATCCATACTCGGTCAAGTAGATGGTGTAGGTAGATAATCGGACACCTAGACGTGATCCATCCGCAGCACCCCCCCTCACCCCCTACGCCTTGCATGGCTGCCAGCTAACATGGACCTGCTGGGTGAACGCTACAGTGGCGTCGTCGTCTGAGATCTGGCCGGACGCGCTGGCGTTGCTCGACGTCAGCGCGATGCGGTTGTTGACGTTGAGGATGCCCGAGGCGCCGCAGGGCGACCAGATGACGGACGCGGTCGGCACCTGGTCCTGCTTCGTGTACACCTGGCCGTCGACCCAGAGGCCGCCGCCGTCGATGGAGGTGCGGGTTGTGGTCTTGTTTGTGCTCGTTAGTGCGTATCTATACAGGATATTTGCGTATTCTTGTGGGGAGAAAGGGGGGGTGGGGAAAGGGGGAGAGGGAATAAACTCACAGTAGCAGCCGCATCCTGCGAGAAGTAATAAGTCGAGTAGAAGGTACCCGTCACGCCCGCCTCCAGCTGGGCATAGCCGTGGTAGGTGGACTCGACGATGGCGAACTGGAAGCCGCCGGGGTACTTGAGGTTGAGGTGCAGCTGGCAGTTCTTGGACTTGTCCGACGGCGTGGTGCCGGGGCCCGTGTACACCTGGAAGGCGTCGAAGCCGAAGGTGATGACCTATCATTTCTTGTTAGTAACCTTAGAATTGACGCAAGTGAAAAGAGACCCGGCCCATTCTCTGGCAAGATCAGTTCAGGGATTCTCACATTTCGATCTGGAGCCAGATCGGTCGTCACAGTACCCTGCGGGCACCCGTTCCCGCTAGCGGACGCGCTGATGATGGAGATCTCGTCTAGCTTCGGGGTGTCGTCGTTGCCAATGATGCCGATGGGCTTAGCCACGGCGAGGACGGGGGTAAGGAGGGCAATGAAGGACCGCATGGTGATTGATAGCTAGTAGTTTGAATACCTAGAGAAAAGAAATTGGAGCAATATGAAAACCTACAACTATAGTAGCAGACAGGATTTGTTATAGCTTAGTAGTCGGAAGCTGACATGGACAAGATCGACCATATTCGCGGGACGTGGCCATATTTATAACTTTTTTTTTGTTCCTTGCCATCATGAAGCATGTCGTCAGACCCCCCGGGAACCGAGAACCTGAGTCTATGGGTAGTGCTTCCGGTCAAAGACGGAGATAGGTCCATGACATGACAACCCAGCCCCAACACGCTCTAGGCGATACACATTCACGAATATGTGTGGTGATGAGCAGAAGAAGGAAGTCCTAAGAAGGCGTAAGAAAGCGCTACCTTGATTTAATTTCGGGAATTGATTTCGCGAACCTAGACCGCGAGCATTAGGAGCCAAACCCCAGCTCATGGACCTTTCCAGCCCTCGCTCTCACAATTTGCGGTTGAATTGCTAGTACATACGATGGTGAAATAGATTGAAATCATATTAAACTCGAAGGGGGGCCCCTAGCACAGGTTTCTCTTCTCCGCTGGTTTGGTACGGCCGGTTCTTTTTATAGAAACTATCTATTCATTAACAAATAAAGAGAGAGAGAGAGAGAGAGAGAGAGAGGTTTCAAACCTGATTGTTAGATAGATGGATAGAAAGAACCCTTGAACACATGACACGGGTAAGAAGCAACTCACCGTCCAACGATGTACACTTAGTTTTGATCCGACACCCTGATGGAGGCTCTGGAAAAGCGAAAGGCCTCCCTCTCTCTCCTTTGATACAAGGGATCTAGACGGAGTGGAACCACTTACTTACAGAATCTAGGTCCTGACAAAAAGGCGAGACATCCGTCCTTGCGGAGCCATCATCAGACAACTTTGGCAGGGATACTAACAAGTTGATGCTATTTTCGGTCGGTTTGTAGCGTTCGCGGAATAGATTAGGCTTGATTAACCATTCCCATTTATAGATCCCTGCCTCAGGTCAATTTTGCCCGGGGACTAGGCATAGGTACATGATATGCAGCATGGTTAGGTAGGTACCCAGAAACTGCTAACATCTTGGAATCGAAAGACAAAAACGGTATATCATCCCTTATGCTTCCCAAGCAGAGCAAGAAACGCTGTCTCGAATATACGTCGGGTAGATCGGAATCTGCCGTATATAGAGCTACCGGCCCGGTAACCGCTACTAAGCTTGCCGTCTACATAGGACGTCTAAAGTGAGTGAGTGAGTGGCCATACGAGTGAAATTCGCCTTCAGATCTAGAGTGGGCGGGCGTTATGACGACTTTGATGAACCCAGAAACGATTGATATCAATGGACAGCAGGCTATGCTGACTCGGGCGTCTCCGTCGACGAACTTTGGCTAGACCGCTGACTTGCAACGAAAAGCGATCATACGCGTGAGGAAAAAAGAAAAAAAAGGACTGCCTACTCGGCCTCGAAGGCCTCTTTAACCTCTTTAGCCGCCTGAACGGATGTCAGGGGAATTATGCACGCTAGACCCAACACGACCGTTGCTTACACGTGTTGTTCAAGGATAGATTCATATTACTTTCGTCCCGTATGCTCATTTTGACATTTCGATGCTTTCAGCAAATCCCCGGAATCCTCCTCCTCTGGTCCAAGGAACCAAATATGGATGACTCTTACGAGGGCTAGACCCTTTTACTTCCCGCAACGTTTTGGATCTGAAAGATGCTTTGGAATTCATAGTTCCGTGTCAGCTACCGGACATACATACATGTGCATGCATGCAAATATAACAGAGCGGTGCATGATCTGGGCTGTGAGGTTGGCTGGACCACCTGACGTGACATACGATGATGCAAAAAACGAACATAGCGTTGTATGCGTGAGCCGTGTCGAGGCCCTCGTAACACACTCGGGTAGGATCCAAATTTAGAATCCCTGTGATCCAGTAACCGAGATGTTTTTAGTGGTTAATATTTTCATTCCCCTCGCAGCCATACCATGACGATATCAGCTCACCCCTAATTACCTAAGGTTAGCTCTTCTCGTTTATCGGAGCTCTCAAGGTTGAATGTCCACCCTGCTGAGGGGTTGAAGCTATTCATGGATCTTCATTGTCACATAAAAGAGAGATAATGGCGTGGATGGGTTGTACATTGCGAGTAGGGAGAATCTGCCTTAATACTGTCAGGTAGTTCATCCCCTACACGGTGAAAACTGAGAGCTACAAGTAGCGGTACAAGCTCACTCCCTTGACAGATAAGGACAGCTCGCCTACTTGAACTAAGAGCGAGATATTAATTTCAAAGTTGTGGTAACTAAAGTATTCCCTATTCTCGATGCCGTCATGCAAGTAGAAATCTAATGCGAAAAAAGTTGTTGAACTCGGAACGCCGAAAAGGTACGGTCTTGCGCACAAAACTCTCACGATTCTACCAGCTTCAGTATGCCTTCCAAATTTATGCTCTTGGGTCGCTCAATGGGCAAGCCTAGAGCACGATCCCAGATAAGCTGAGCGAGAGGTCCCAATCCTCGACTAACACCAAAGGTCGCTGTGTAGTAGAGGGTTTCGTGAAAACCGTAATGGTGGAACAATACTCCACTGCTGGAATCGACATTGGGATAGGGGTTCTTTGTCTTACCATGCTTCTTCAAGACTTGAGGGGCAACTTCACTGTTTATCTTGACAAGCTGGAAGACGGGATCGTTTGCAATCGCGGGACGACTAGCCGCATAATCCATCAGTGCCTCGAAACGAGGATCGGGTTTGCGAAGAACAGCGTGACCATAGCCAGGGATGACTCGGCCGCTCTTGAGCGTGGACCATAGGTAATCATTGATATCCTTCTCCGAGTACTTTTCCGGGATGCTTTCCTTCATTTGAAGAATCCAGCGTAAGACTTCCTGTGCGGCAAGCCTGCAAAGTATGGTTAATCGAGTGTGTTCCCAAGACGATACCAAATTGAGACTGAATGGGGAAAAAGAACTTACCCGTGCAGAGGTCCAGCCAGACCTTGGAGACCGGCACTATAACTTAAGAAGGGGTCACTGAGGGCGCTTCCGACTAGGTGAGTAGCGTGAGCTGAGACATTTCCACCTTCGTGGTCACCATGCAGCGCAAGGTATAATCTTAATAGATCCTGGAAATCTTCATTCTCTTTTCCACCCTTTCCAAGCATGGAGGCGAAGTTGTAAGACCAATCCTGATCGGGGTCGACATCACCGGGTAACGCACCGCCAGTTCGGTACGAGTTCTGGTATATCTTGGCGGCGATAGTGGGTAGCTTAGCAAGTAGACTGATCACGTCGTCAAAGGTGGGCTCCCAGTAGTCGGCCTTGTTCAAGCCTTGTTCGTAAGCTCTCGCAAACTTAGAGGTGTAGTTTAAGGCGCTAACTGCCATGGAAAACTGGGTCATGGGATGTAGGTCCTTCGGAAAGCTGTCGAGCATCTTGTTGACAAAGTCCGGAAGCCGAGCCTGTTCGGCAAGCTCGCGTGATAGATGGCGGACTTGGTTGACCGACGGGACTCGGCCTGTCAAAAGAAGCCAGAACATGGCTTCCGGGAGCATTTCCGTTCCCGACGTGCCCTTGGGCAGCTCCTTTTGGCAGTCCTTTATCGTTCGACCGTGGAATCTGATTCCCTCGTTCGCATCAAGTACTGAACCTTCCCAAACCATGGCCTTCAAGCCTCTGTAGCTGGATTAGTCCCCATAAGTGAATATGGCGTAGAAATACACATGACAGTACCTCATTCCACCGACGGTGTTTTCTACTTTGAGTTCACCGATGACCTTGGAGCCATTTTTCTTGATCTTTTTAAGAAGCTCCCTCTTGGCGGGAATAACCTCTTTCAGGGTTTCCTTCAAATCAGGTTCCGCCGACGAAGAATACAGCCTAGCCGCCGGGGTAAAGACCGCTGAGACGGCACGTGGCTGTTGGGCGTTGAGTTAGATTATTATCGCGTAATGAAGGTAAGGCTACCTGGACGTCAGGTGCTTTCCCACTTACCCTCAGAGCTCCCAATGCTCTAGACGTGGTTTTAAGATTCATAGCCATGGCTGGATCGGAACAGCTACCTAATATGCTTTTGTGGTTGAAATGTAGCCGGAATTATGTAAATTTCTAGAATAAACCCGCAAGACGCCGTTACAATTCAAGAGAACTGGGCTGAGAACAGCATGGAATGACCAAAGACGAAAAGCAGACGCAATGCTGATACCAAGTTGTAATGATTAGGGAAAAGGTGACAAGAAATCACGTCGGGGGTTTTCAATGTTCAATGTTCCTGACAACTCTCTCTAATGTTGCATGTGGATGAGCTGATACATGTACATGTACATACCGGTATGCATATATGGGTACCTAGGTATCATGTACTACGTAGGTATTTCACAGATGTGCATACAACGTTGAACGTGTACTACCAGTAAGACAATCATCACAATGGACACCAGATATATGCAGGTCACTACATACTAGGTACAAACAGATTACTAGATATGTAATACTATGACCCTGTATCTCCCCACACGATTGACTAGCTCCTCCCCCGCACAACCGAGGGAAACCATGCCTTTAGCCCGTCATTCATCGTTGTATCTTGTGTACGCCTGCCATGCAATTTATTGTGTATTATTTTGGAGATATGTACCTAGTACTATGTATATACTTAATATACCAAAGAACCTACATGTATCAAGTGGTCGTACTCATGTAGGTACCTGGCTAGTATAGCAGCATAACATGAACCGACTTCGGATCGAAAGTCTGCAGCCAACAAGATTGAATGTTCTCATCTCCAGATATGCAATTTTATGTATACCTACCTGCGGATATGTAATGCATCTCGGCTATGGATATTTACCCCTCATGATAGGTGCAAGGTAACTAACCCCTACCCCTAAAAGCTCGTGCAATGAGAAGATTGACTACATCCCTGGATAATGCAATTGTCCAATCCAAGGGAGGAACGCGCCCTTACTCCTGACTCCGATGTCCTATGTATTAGGGTACCTTTCAAATGTTAACACTTTTAATAACCCTTGGTAAATAGTATAAATGAAATAAGGAAGCCGCGGTTTACCGTATAAGCTTATTAATGTTTTAAAAAATACCCGGCAAATTATAAGCAATTTAAATTAATAAAACTTTATTAATTTAATATTTAAAAAATCGTTATTTTATAACAATTTTAATTTTAAGTATTATTTCTTAATTTTTTTAATTTTTAAAACATTAAATATATAATTATACCTTTAACGGCTTTTATAAAATATTATTTACTTTATTTAAAAAAAAGAAAAATAAGTTTTAATTATTTAAATAATTAATTTAATTAAAAGTTAATTATTAATTAATTTAAATAAACGTTTTTTTTATATAAAATAATAATTATATATAATAAAACTTAAAAAGTTAAATAATTAATTAATGAAAATATATAAAAGAAAAAAAAAAAGTTAAGCTTTTAACGTTTTAAGCTAATTATATATACATAAATAAAGTTTAATTAATTATAATAATAATAATTATAAGGATGTTTATATAATAGTAGTTATAAATAATTATAAAAGTGGTTATTTACGTTTATAATTATGTTTTAATATTACTTTTTTTTTAATAAAAAGGATAATATTTACGTTATTTAAGTTTAATAATTTATATATATATATATATATTAATCCTTAATTTTAATTTTTAAGTTAACTTATATTACTTTAATTAAAATAACTTTAAATAATCTTTTTAATGGGATATATATAATGTTAATAATTAAGGTGGTTTTAAGTTACCTTAAAACTTTATTAATAGCTTATGCGTTAAAGCTTTATTATAACTTTGTTAATATATAAGGATAAAAATATAAAAGGAATAATGTTTTTAAGATAGCCATGTTAAATAACTATTATGTTAAAAGGTTTTATTAGTTAAGGTAATTAAAAGTTAAAAAGTTTTATTAGTTAAAGAGATCGAGAATTAAAGGTTTTAATTATGTATTTTTTAATTAAGGAAAAACGTTACGTTTAATAAGTGTTAAACTAACGTTAGATATATTAAAATAAATTAATATATTTATAAGGGTTAATTAAATTAAAGAAAAATAATTAAACGATAATAAATAAATAATATAAAAGTTATTTTAAATATATAAATATTTATATAATAATAAATAAAAAATATAATTAATAAATAAAAATAAATAAATAAAAATATAATTAATAAATAAGGATTATAATGTTAAATAATAATTAGGATAAAGGATTTAATGTTTTTTATTTAAAAGTTATTTTATTTAATTATAAGAAAGTTAAAAAAAGAGAAAAAGGAAATATTTATTAAAATATTTTTACTTTTATATAATTTTCCATGGTGGATATCTTAAATAATACTTAAGGCTTAAAAGGTAGGTGCGATTTTAAAGCTTTAAGTTTTAAAGATTATATCTATTATAATAATTTCTTTTCTTTAATAAAACTTATTTCGAGTTTTATCGTTGTTTTTTATGGGTTTTTAAGATATTAGTTTTATATAACTTATTATTATCCTCGTGTGAAAGGTTAAAATTATCTTCTTTAACCGCTTTTAATTATATATTAAAGCGGAACGGGGGATTTACGGCTTTTAAATTTTAATCGTAATATTTCTTTAATAGTTTTATAAAGTTTTTAAAATTATTTGCTGGGTATTATTTAAGATTTAAATCGCAGTTTTTTCATTTTATTTAATATTATAATTTTTTATAATAAAGCTTTAATAATTCGATTTTTTTTACCTCTTATTCCTTTTTATTAAAATCTAAGTCGATAATTTTACCATTAGGATTAGTTAAATCTTATCCTAAGATAAGATTATTAAGGTTCTTACGTAATTTATTAACATTAAACCACTTTTAGCTTTTTTAAAAATAAGAAAATTCTAATTTATATATATTTAACCTTATAAAATATTCTTTAATAATTTTATAAAAAATTAATGTTATTAAGAAACTTAATTTATCATTAAAATAATTTATTTATATACTTGCTTTATTATGGATAAATATTTAGTTTTTAAGTTTAAAATTTAATTCTTTTTTATGTTAATTTACGTTGCGAGTTTATTACTTTTATACGCGTTATATTATTTATTTTATAAAATCTTTTTATTTTTTTATTTATTAAGTTATATCTTAAGTTTTTTTTTATAATATGTGTTTTAAAATAGGTAATTATTTTAAAGATTTTATTTACGTCTTTTAATTATAAGTTATTTATATAGGTTTTTTTATTAAAATTTATTGAGGGGAGATATTTTTTAATAACTTATATAATATTAACGTTTAAACCCCATTTATAATTAATAATACCCGAGATTAATTATCTTAAAAATAATTTACGAAAGGGCGTAGTTTTTGGTTAATATACTTATTTATCCATCCGGAGGATATTTTTATGCTAGAACTTTTTCAGAAAATTACTATGGGAAATTACTATGGGAAATTACTATGGGAAATTATTGAATTAATTACGTCATTAAATACCCCTGTAATTCCCAAAAACCCGTGCAGGAAAATCAGGATTGGTCAGATCGTTCTTAGCGCCAGCTGCCCGACAGCCGTGCGTTCTTTTTAAAAGCTTTTCATTGGCTGCATTCCTTTAAAGCAAACGCTTTTTATTGGCTGCATCCCTTTATGCCAGCTGTCCCAAACTTTGTCAACCATAGCCGTGCATCCATAGCTGTTGCCGTATGGGCACATCTCCATTGCTGCTGCCACAGCTTGCTGAACCTTATCGGTGTATATATAGCTAGCCTGAAACGCTGGGAGCTCAGCTCTCTTCTTCTCTTCTATATATTGATTGACTGATTGACTGATTGACCTTTTGAGTCCTATCTCTTGCTACGGTTGGAAGACCTCCAACCCCTATACCATCCCGGTTCATCCGAGGGGTGAGCAATATGCTCACCCAGAAAATCCTCAGACCTTTTGGTTGTTGAAGGGTTAATCAACAACCGTCCTATTCTTATCCATTGCCCATATACTTATTGATTGCCCAACCATGGACCCCATCCTTATTCATTGACCATATCCCTACTCACGTCCTATCCTTATTCATTGACCATATCCCTATTTTGCCCATCTTTATTCCTTGACCATATCTCCTATCCATTGCTGTATCGATACCTCTCCATACCTTTCTTCAATCCGACCAACCCCCATAGATATATCAATCTGTTTCAGCATATCCGGCGCCGGTCCGACACCCACCGAGCCATGTCCTAACATCACCCCCCTTTCAATGGAAAGGATAACGTCCACGTTATCCAAGTCCAATATATACATACATGTGTGTTGATCCCTGATCCTAATCTCTAAGCTGACCCATGCTGCTTCAATAATTGAAGTAACTCCAGACAGTCCTCCTAGCGGGATACATGTGGTCTTAGTGGTTGGATTGCCTGAGGCTCTGCCGATGGCCTATGCGTTAAGGCTCTTGCGGCTCTGCTGATATATAGGGATAAAGATATAAGGGGAATAATATTTCCAAGATAACTATGTTGAATGGTTGTGTTGGAGGGTCTTATCGGCTAAGGTAACCAAGAATTAAAGGATCTTGTCGGTTAAAGGGATCGAGAATTAAATGTCCTAGCCACGTATCTCCTAGTTAGGACATGGATAGCAACTCTTGTAGCTATCTATAGCTATTGCCATATAAATATCTTTATAGTTATTATTACAGCTTGTTAAACCTTATCTTCTAAATAATTATGCCTTCTTTCCGTTACCTATTCCCAACTTTTAACCCTTTTTTAACTTTTTAAGATAGTTTTTTAATTAAACAAACAAAATTTTTACAACCAACATAACAATTCCTAAAAAAAAAAATATCTAAAAATAATTTAAAAGCCCGTCCCAAAATTTACAAAAGGTTACAAACCGATAAATTACTTTTAAATATTTTTTTTTAAAAAAAAGCCAAAAAAATTTTAATCTTTATTTATTTAAATAATTATTTATAACTAATTATAATAAATTTTAACTTTATTTCATATATTTAAAACACTTTATCAATAAAATAATCGATAAATTATTTTTTTTAATTACTTACGATAAATACAAGCTATTTTATCCATTTATAAAAACTATTATAATATATTTAAACTATATCTTTCCTAATCGCAATCTTATAACATAAAATAATTTATATCATTTTAATAAATCTATCGATAATTATAAAAATATTATTATACCCGTCTTTATCCTTTAACATTTCTTTAAAATTTATTATAAAATATTTTTATTATTTATTTAAAATAAAAAAAAATAAAAATAATCCCAAAATCTTATCCCTTAAAACCTTAACAAACTAATAAAAACAATTATCTATATATTAATTTATATATATATACATTTTTAACCATTAATATCGGCTAAACATTAATTTCCTAATCTTTCCTTTCCTTAA